TCTCTATATTTATTCCCTAGAGAGAACTTTATCCTTTAGTCTAAGTAGTAAGTATTATTATTTATAATATATATTCGAGACTAATTCGTATCTTTCCCGGAGTATCTCTTAAATCTAGATCTGAAATCTTATATTATTTCTGCGCTTATAGCTACGCGAAAGCTATTTATTAATATAGGGAATATCGGAAGTAGCTTAAATAAAGCTATTTTAAACAAGGGATTTCCTAAAACTCCTTATACTAGCTTATTACATAGCGTTTCGTTATTCTGTATACTATTATCTTTAAGACCTAATTAGATACTTTATAGCTCTCTTATAAAGCTTTTTAATTGTGTTAAAGCTGATTTGCCTTTTTAAAGTAGCTTATTTTAAAATATAAAAAAGGTTATACTAAACTATTAACTTAAGTATTAATTAGCTCTCTCCTTTATCTTATAATTATTATAAGTAGCTTATATTAGCTCGTTAAACAAGTACCTTTTATTCTAGAGGTACTAGTAGTAGTATAATAAGGCTTTATCTTAAAGTATAGATAGAAATACCTTATACTATAGTATGAACTTTACTAATATCTATTAATAAAGGTTAGTAAAGATATAAAGCTTCTTATTAAGATAATCTCTAGCTTTACTATATTAGAGCTCTTTAGTATATATCTTACTAAGGCTTACTAGTAATTTTACTTATTTTAGAGAGATTAGTTCTATAATATACTAACTTAGATAAATAAGTTCTAAACGTAATCTGTTTTAGCTAAGTACTTAAAAAAGGGGTAATATCTTATCCTTTAGGTATATTACGGGAGCTAGGGTAAGATCTAGTAAACTATTATCCCTTAGTCTTTATACTAAAGGCTAATTAGTATACTATCTCTCTAGTCTTATCAGAAATAACTCCTCTCTCTTAATATTAATAAGAAGAGAGGCTTTATAGAGATCTTCACTTTTTATAAAAGGTTTAATATATAAAGGTCCTTAAAAGTCTAGATATTAAAATAAAACTTATCCCTTTAAAGGATTACTTATTTATATCTTCCTTTAGTTATCTTAATACCTTATCTTTATATTCTTAGGGGCTATAATCTCTATAGATAGAGATAATATATTAAGTAAGTTTTAATAAAGTATTTATTATACTTAATTCTCTCTTTAATTATAAGTCTGAACCTTATTTAAAAAGAGGCTGAATAATAAGTCTAGTAGTAGTTTAGTTTCTTATCTATCTAACTAAGTGTTCTCTTACACTTAAACTACTACTATAAGAGCTTAAGAAATCTGTAATCCTTTTTAACGCTAAACATAAACTTAATTCTTTAAGAGATAGTCTTAGAGCTCTTATTATTACTTACTTATTATTTTCTTAAAATTATCTGTTATTTAATCTAGAAAGTATTCCTAAAAGTCCTAAAATAATATCTCTCCCTTAATACCTTTTCTTATAGAATAATCTATAAATCCTTAAACTAGACTATTAATATTAGCTACTATAAGACTAGCTAAAGATACTTTAAGAGTTAGTATCTTATTTTATATTAAGGTTCTACTACTTCTAACTTTTACTTCAAGTTATTCTATAACTTAATTTATTAAAGTCGCTATTATACTAGAGGCGATTTATAAGTGTTTTAAAAGTATTATTTATATCTCGGAAATATCTAACTAAATAGCTTTAGAAATATCTTAATAACTATCAGAAAGTAGCTATTATTCTTTAGTAGTATAGAACTTACTCTACTTAATTTTAATAAGAGTTCTTTAGTTACTCTATAAGGCTTACTTTACTTAGTTTTAATAAGAGCCCGCTAATGTTAATTTAGTATTATATCTTAAAAGTTAACTTTATTATATTTAACCTATCTATTCTATAGTATAAAGTAACTACTAATTAGTATTAATATTGTACTAGTAAATAAATAATAAGTATATATTAATATATATTAAAATCTAAGGTTTAGTTTAAAGGTATTTAAAAGTATATATTATAAAGAGTATCTATAGGTTAGAATATATACTACCTCCTAAATAACCTTTAGTTCGTATCTAAAAGAAGTCTATCCCTTAACCGGGATTACCTGCACCCCCTGATTTCCCTTTATATTTCCATAGTAAAGGTCTGCAGACTAATATATATATAATTACTAACTCGACCTGTTTTAAGTTCTAGATATTTCACTTAGTAGTATAGTTCTAATTAATATTACTAAAAACATAGTTAATCTTATACTTAAAACCCTTAAAAGTTATAAAAATCCTCTAAGATTCCTTAGTTATTACTATAGAGACTCTTCTATCTTTAGTTTAGTTCTAGATATAATCTAAGAAGAAAATCTTAATCTAGTTAAAAGTAGATCTTTAGAGAAAGAACAAAGCTTAAAGAACTTTATTAGTATCTATAGTAAACTAGTAGCTATTAAAGCCCGTATAAAGCTTAACTTATATAAGGTATACTCTAAGCTTAAATTAGTCTCTACTATAAAGATCTAAGGCAGCGATCTTAAGTATATTTTTAGTATTAAAAGTCTTAGTAGTAGCTAAGTTATTACTCGATAATAATCCTTTAATAAAGGATATATTATCTTTATAAGTTAGTACCTTTAATAAGAAAGTACTTAAAGTATAATAGTCCGGTATTTACTTACTATAAATATAGAAAGCTATAGTTAATCTCTAATAATTAAGAGCTAGGTATATTATATAAATAGGAAAATAGTTACTAAGTATTAGAATACTATTTAAAGTTAAGTATAAAGCTCTTATTTAATAATAAATATACTAGTTTTATATAGAACCTTTATCTTTATAGATCCTTTAAGAATAGATCTATAGATCTTTAGATCCTTTCTCTTACTATAAGATCTAAGGATCTAAGGATCTATTACGTAATATTAAGTTATTAAAACTAGTACCTTTAACTATAGTACTTAGATTATATAATATATATAGTTATTATAGTACTATAAAATCCTAAGAGAGAAGTTCTCTTAAGAGCCCTTTTTTCTTAGAAGATTTCTTCTAGGAATAAGTATCTCCTTAAGCTTATAATCTCTTAGTCTCTTTTACCTAAGAGTCCTTAGGCTCTTAGAGGAATCCCTCTAGGAGCGCTAGGCTCCTAGGTAGTCCGTAACACTTTTAAAGCCTTTAGATTAAGTTTAAATTAGAGTCTATAGTAATATTACTATTATTATTAGTAATATTATTAGTAAACTTATTTAAATCTTCTTAGACTTTTTAAGTAATAAGATATTTACTTAAAATATCTTGAACTATTATATTAATAATATAAGATAAACACCTAATATTAAATAGGTCTTTATCTTTATTAGTATTAATATTATTAATATACTTTAATAAAGTCGTATTATTAGAAGTATTATCTCTAGTAATAGAAATAATATTTTCTAATTTAAGATTATAAGTACTTAATATCCTTATAATAGTATTATAAAGATATAAGCTTATATAACTTTCTAAAAGCTCTTTAAATACTATTAACTTATAATTTAATTTAATATTATTATTAATATATATTAAAATTAAACCTAAGTAGGATTTTTAATTATTAGAAGTCTAAGCGTCTAATACTATAGAAAATAAGGTATTATTCTCTATAATAAGCTCTTTAATAAAGAACTTAAATTCTTCTAAAGAGTTATTATAAGTTTAATCTAGTATTTCTTTTATTTTCTACTTATTAATAATAGGTGAAGATTTATTATAATAATTTAATAAATCTTTAAAAGAATCTGAACTAGATATATTTAGAGGAAGATTATTATCTATTAAAAAGTTTAATACTTTTGATAAAGCTTCTTCTTCTATAAACTCATTTAGAGTATTAGACCTAATTCTTTTATTAGAGTTATCTAAAGAAAAGAAATTAGATTTATTTTAACTTAAATCTATTTTATTTAATTTAGATTTACTCTTAGGATTATAAGCTATAGTAGGGTACTTATTTTTATAATATTAAGTATAATTAGAAGATTGAAAACCTTCTAGTTTAGATATACTATTATAATTATATAAAGTATAAGCTACTTTTATTTCTCTTTCTTTATTATAATTAATGAGTAATAAAGTTCGAGAAAATAGCTTATTTTTAAATATATAAATCATTTCTTCTGTAATAGAAGGTAAAGTATAAGATTACTTATTATACTTCGAGTTTATATATTTATTAAGTTCTATAATAGAGTTTTGATTTTCTATTATATTTTAAGTATTAGAACCTTCTGATTCGTTATTAATAATAACTGAATTATCTTCTATATTAGAAGAATAATCGTTATTACTAATAAAAGAGCTTTAGGAATCTATTTAAGGTATTATATAAGATTATTATATAATATAATCGGATATAAGATAAAGATAAGTTTATTTATAAGTAAATATAAGAGTCGAATATAAAAGTCGAGTATATAATCTATTAGAGTTATAATAGAGTATGATTTTTAAGATGAAAAATAAAAGAGAGATATGATTCGAAGCTCTATTATATAGAACTTTTAAAATATCTAGAATATTCTAATGATATTGATAATAGAATTCTATAGAATATAATAGAAGTAACTAAAATACTTTAGAATTTTCTAGATTTTCTTTTAGTAATATTAATTAATAAGCCTTATAAATAATTCTAAATTATTAATAAGCCTACTAAAACCTTCTAGAAAATTCGTTATACTTCTATTACTAATTAACTATTTTTAGAAATTAATTTTTTAATTAATTTTTAATTAATTTTTTAATTTCTTAATTTAATTTACTATTAGTACAAACTCTTATTAATTTCATTAATTTTAGTATTAGCTTCGATTAATTAGTTTTATTTTAAAGGTAAACTAAATTAATTAATTAATTTCACAACCCTGCCCTAGAACCACACCTTCAGGGTAGGGGTTTATTTATCCTAGCCACCAAGTATTCATGACCTGATGTAGTATTCAACGAGGACCAAAAATGTTTTGAAGACTACAAGAGAGTTTGCTTTCTGAAATCCATGTTACTGTGCTTGGAAATAGCATAAGAGTACCCGCCCAATCCTGACTTCTCACTGGTGGATTAACTTCAAGCGAGCCTTTGAGACTTGTTGAATTCCCCCAGTCCCAACTGCTTCTTTCTGATAGTTGCTCTTTAAAAAAAACCTTGCAATAAACTATTCATATCCCCTTCTTCAACTCTCCAAACCATGCCCACCTCCAAATTCTCCAACCCCATAATCCCCGGTTTCGCACCCGACCCCTCAATCTGTGTCGTCCCACCAAGCTCCACCTCCCGCTCAACTAAAACATCATATTTCCTCACAACAAGCACATTTAACCTCTTCCCCAGCTGTGCAATCCACCATTCTACAGATCTCCTCAACTGGGAATTAATCGGTCATGCCTTGACAAGGAGAAGTCAGATTGAGATGCGGACGCCGGAGGCGGGAGGTGGGAGCTGGGCGAGTACGTTGAGACATAGAGTCGAGGATGATGGGAAGGGGGAGGGAGGAAAGGTTGGGAGGTGGTATCTTTGTACGGGTGTTTTCGCGAGGTATAGACCGCAGATGGATGTAAGTTTTTTGTGTTTGTTGATGTTGATTTTGGAGTGCACGTGAATACGTAAACTGGTTTTCGACAGAATATATCTGGAGGAAGGATTCTATAAGTTTTCTAATTACTGCTTTGAAACAGGACTGACAACTGAATAGGAACGGATCTTCCCACGAGGCTTCTATGTAACCACCACCAATATCTGGGACTCATCGAGCTGGTCAGACCCAATCTATTTCGACAACCCTGGTTTCGACCAAGACGTAAGCCTCTCAACAAGATATAAATCTGCGGATCATCTGACAAGTACCAGCTCTTCTGGGACGACGACGGCAATGTGTACCTCTCAACCACCGTCCGCATGTCCCCCCGTAGCGGCGATCCCAGGAAAAAAGACTTCGCAATCCACATCTCCGAGATCTCCCTCCCTACAGGCACAACCCTCACCGCACCCGTCGTAATCCGCGAATCGCCCTTCGGGATCGCAGAAGGCTCTCACATCATCAAAAAAGGTAAATACTACTATCTTTTCACAGCCGAAGGTGGCACCGAGCAAGGCCACCAGGAATGGGTATTTCGTAGCTCGAAAGGTGTGTTTGGACCGTGGGAGGCGAATGAGAAGGGTGGGCCGTTGTGGTATAATGGCCCGGAGGAAGTGGTGCAGAGGACGGGGCATGTGGATGTTTTTGAGGATGGGGAGGGGAGGTGGTGGGCTGTTTTGTTGGGGGTTAGGCCGATGAGGGATGAGGAGGGGAGGTGGTTGGAGCCGCAGTTGGGGAGGGAGACGTTTTTGGTTGGTGTGGAGTGGGTTGATGATTGGCCTGTTTTTAATGGTGGGAAGAATGTCGGAATTGTGACGGAGGGACCGGAGGGTGTTGTTCAAGTGGCGAAGGAGAAGAATTGGAAAGCTGAATTAAGAAGAGAAGATTTGGAGCTGGGTTGGTATGAGAAGAGTGAGTAATCCGGAGAGTTGATGGAGAGTGTGGACTGACGCGAGCAGATACACCGCTGAAGAAATGTTGGTCTTTGACTGAACGGGCCGGTTGGCTGACTATCCACGGTGGATGCTACAACTTGACATCTCCGGAAGCACCGACAATGCTACTGAGGAGACAGACTGCTTTTGAGCAAATATTCTCCGTGATCTTGGATTTTGACCCACAGAAGGCTGGATACGAAGCTGGGCTGGTTTTGTGGTGGGATATGCATTCTTTTGCGAGTGTCGGAGTAACTCTTACTTCGACTGGTAAGAGGGCCATCATCATAAAGACACCAATAGATGTCCCAGATGAGGTCACAGTGAGTAGGAAGAGATATCCCAAAATTTGAGCTTGGTGCTGATTAAGCGAACAGGAGCAAATCCACCCACTGGAAAATGATGACCCTGTGTACTTGAAGATTTCTGCCGCGAAAACAAGCTATCTCATGAGCTTCTCGACTCCAGTAACCGACGGCAACTTCACGACAGTAGCCGTGGAAAGCAAGGTATTGACGAAGACCCCGCCGGTTGGCCAACCATTCTTGGGAGCCATGTTTGGGCTCTACGCTTTTGGAAATTGGGAACCTTGTCTTGATTCAGCTCATTTCAAGGATATTTGTTGTCACGATAGCTAGGTTTGTCTTTTGGGGTTTTGGCATAGCAGAAAGAGGCTTGGTCTGCTGCGACTGGACGTGGATGATTTTCAACGAGTAGAAGCGAGTCACAGGCCAGTTCCTGCAGGGACAGATGGCAACAACCTTTCAGGGGAGGAAATGCCGTCGTGGATTTTCAGTAGATCCGGGGAAGTGATCGCCAGATCAAACAATGTGACGAAACCCAGGAGTTTGGTTAACCTCCTCTATTATCCTTCCATCCCTCGGCGATGCGCTGCGTAATCGTCTCTGTTTGTCACTCTTGGCCTGGAGCAGGGTACCGGTTCTCGAGCCGCTCTGTTTGATGTTGCTAGAATTCCGAGGTCATCCTGCCCCGAAAAGAAACACACACCTTGACAATGATTAGAGTTCGGGTACCTGCATGTGCTTGTTTGGTGACCTGGAGCCGATGATTTGATTGGATTTGAGGCTTGTTTTGAATGCCGGCGATGGTCGCTGTCATGAGGCCATTGCCGCTGACGCAGGAACATGTTTGACAGCCTAACGTACAGGTACAGAAAATCAGACCTCGCGTAATTTCAACTGCAGACCAGTCTGTTCCTGACACAAAATCAAGCTCACATTTCGAATCATTGAATCTTCCCCTTGCAGGGTCATCGAGTGGTGTCCAAGATTTCAGGGAGATTCCCATCCCATCAATCCCCCAGTCGGGGTGTCAGATCCTCGGTTGGCGGATCTGACCCCTTGCCACCCGCAACTTCAGACGAGATCTCCAACACTGCGGGTTTCAACATCCTCACATTCGCGCGTTTTGGGACGAACATGATCACCGTGGGCGGGAAATCGTGGGAAACAGAACGGACGCTTCGGGACGGTAGGGAGGGATCGTGAGTGAGCCTTGAAACTTTATAGAAACGTCCTAAACTATTGCTTCTTCCTCCTTTTACCGCGGAGCATCGATCCATTGCCGTAGCGGGAAGGTAGGTATATAGCTCGGAGGTTCAGTACGCGGGTTCTGACCTTCTTTTTCTTCTTGCATCGCAAGCTTCTGCATTCATTTCTGTTCTATCATTCCTTTTCAGTGCGTTTCCTACTTCCAACTGCTGTGCAGCTTACATTCCTTTGCCAAGAGCATTTACTTCAATTCAACTCTTCAAAATGATCGCTTCAATCTCTCTTCTGCTCACTTCGGCGGCACTTTCCTTTGCTTCTCCTCTGGAAAAACGAGTTGTTACTTCATTAAACCAAGCTGCTTTCGAGGAGGCTCAACAGAGAGATGATACAGCTACACGAGCCTTCTCAGGCACCGAGATCAAAGTAAGCGGACCACTTTGAAACTTCATTTGCTTGCTGACAACTGTTAGACTTCAGACGGCAAGTGTTTATTTGTCGATAAGCTGTCAGGGGATTTTCGTGCAAACTTGAATCCCATTCAGGTTGCGAATTGCGACGGGAGCACTGGGCAGAAATGGGATATCATTACAGCTGGAAAGCATAACGACCAAGCTGGCACTATGCTAATTGTCAACACACTTGTATGTCTTTCGGTTCCCTCGATATTTCAGAACTGACTTGGGCAGACTCAAGCATGTGCGAACTTCGATCCTCGAAGGGCAGCCGGCAACACTGTCATCATGTTCTCATGTGGCGGAAGAGCTGATGGAGGTAAGCCAATCCTGTTGCCATTGTATTCTCGTCTAAAATATTTCAGGTGGTCAAGTCACCAACTCGCAACTCTTCGGTTTCGCTGGCGGTGCAGGTCCCTTATCGTTTGAGCCTAAGAATGCTGCAGGTACTTGTCTTGCTGTCACAGCAAATAATGTTCTTGATCAGGCACCTTGCAAGGCGGGAGATGCAAGTCAGTCTTTCACTTTCGGCGGCGCATCAACAGGAGGCCGAGGAGGTGCAGCTTCTAAACCTGGAGTTGTTTCCGCAACAGCTGAAACCATTCAATCCTCAACTCCAGAAGCAGCTTCACCGGCAGCTACACCCCCTGCAGAAGTTGCTGCCCCAGCTGCCGGCTCGGGATGCACTCTCACCACAGTCATCACCATGATCCGTCCAGAATCAAGCGTAGCTCCAGCGATAGACAGTGCTGTCTCAAAAGCCGTATCCGAGACAGCCACCGCACCAGAAGCTACATCACCACCAGCAGTGGGAAACATCCCCTCCGTCAACCCAACCACACCCGTCCCCGTCTCTCGCGCAGGAGGAACACTCAATCCCACCTCAGCAGCACAAGCCCACCAACGCGACGACACCGCAACCCGAGCATTCACCTCCGTCTCCCTCAAATCCGCCAACGGCCAATGCCTCTTCATCGACCCCACCGCCGGCGACTTCCGCCAGAACCTCATCCCCATCGCTGTACAACCATGCACCGGAAGCGCCAACGAGAAATTCGACCTCATCACCAAAGGCAAGCACAACAATGCCGTGGGCGCAACTTTAGTGGTCAGTTCGTTGATGCAAGGATGTTTGAGCTTTGATGCTAGACGAGCGGCGGGAGATACGGCGCATATTTTTTCGTGTGGTGGGAGAGCTGATGGGGAGGGGGAGACGACGAATTCTCAGTTGTTTGATTTTACGGGTGGGAATACGATTACGCTGGCGCCGCAGAATGGGGATGGGCAGGTGTGCTTGGTTCCAAAGGGGGCGAAGTTGGATCAGGCTGCTTGTTCGGGGGCGGCGGATGTTTATACCATCGTTCAGTAGATTTGTTTCTCAGATGGAAAAATGGATGTAGTCACTCGTTCGGATGGAAAAGAGGAGGGGGATTTCAGGTGTTCGCTTTTATGGTGTATTTTTATGAGGGTGGATGAAGATGAGCTTCGATTCTTGGGTGTTTGATTTATGGTTAAAGATGTAGAAAGTATACCGATGCACGCCTTCTAAATCTTTATGAAGCCAACAACAAAGTGCAAGATACTAACGATGTCTGTTTATCATCAAGTGAAGCCCAAGCGATTTTGATTACCATTGCCTGAAGCTAAACCTCCTGTAAATCACAGAGCTCGCATCTGAAGCCATCCACAACCCCGTGCTCAACAAACACGCAAGGTTCCAGCGTATTGGTGCAGAGCGCTGTTCAGTTCTAGCTGGACCGTCAGAATGATGTGGGATGGCAGGCGTGTACTGTCTTCCTGTCCGTAGCCACAGTTGCCGAGGGCTGGAAAAAACACAGAGGGAAGGAACACTGGAGGAATTAAGCGAGAGAGCAAAACAACCCACAAATTTACGAAACAGAGGTACAAGAGGTGACGGCATAGGGGAGAGAGACTATGGTTAACTCTATTAAGGGAATGAGTAGAGAATTGTGTCAAGTTTAGAGTACAGCGAGTGTCCTGATGTGCTAGATTTTGGGTTGCACGGCTGTATCACTCAGCGGCCCTCGCTACCTGATGCAGCTTTTCGGCACATGTAATAATTATCAAAGGAAATGCTGAAAAGGACAGGATAGAGCGTACGTCAATGTATTTCCTGTGATTATGGCCCTAGGGAATGTGACATGGAAACCACAGAGGAATGGATCGGAGTCGGCTAACGGCTACGGAGAATTAGAACGGAGGTTACTAAATTGAGCTTGGCTCGGCTCTAAAGTTTACTTCAAAGCAAGAGCCAAAAAAAAGTCTAAAATAACTGACTGCCCATCGGCTCTAAAGTTTGCTTCAAAGCAAGAGCCCCAAAAAAAGTCCAAAAAAAATTAACTGCCCACAGACGGAATCGAACTGAATTGAAATCAGTACTGGGGTCGGCGATCGAAGGTGCTGGAGAACTTACCCGGCAACCTCGTCATTACTAGTGACGCGCTCTACCCTATTAATTGTTAGGATGAATTTGGTCTGAGGAGGATGGGAGAACTTGCATTGAGCTATGCGGGCCGTTGTAACATGTTGTGTCGAAAAAGTTCTTATTTAAATCAATATCGGAGATAAAATACGTCTGGGCTTTGGATTGTGCCCTAAGACTTAAACGAGAATGGTGATATCCTTGAGCGATATCGGAGAGGATTATGTGGAACGGGCTAAGGATTGGCCTTAGGCGACACCTCACCACATAATTTTTGCTACTCTGTGTATGCTTCGCTCGATATTTTTTTATTGAGCGCGTCGTCTGACTTGCAGTATTCGTCGTCTTCCCTTAAGAAACAGTGATAACAGAAATTACTGGAATTATCGTCGCGCAGGTTATGCGGGGTCCAAAGTCCCAATCAAGACTGACTCCTGTCACATCTATCATCCACTTGATTTCTCTCTCTATCCATCTCAGCGCCACATAATTACTTCTGCTTGTTCCATGCGTGTTCAAGTTTTCTATTTCCAAGCCCAAGTGTGGGCAGATTTAGTATCAAGTCCTTCAATCCCTCTGCATTCAGCCTGAACTCGAAGCTCACATGATGGCTCAAGCAAAACTTGCCTGATGCCTTCTCGCATTCTTCGCCGAGGAAGTTCCTCGTGGCGTACACATGTTCGCAAGTCCCTGTTGTTTGAGACTTTTGTCATTGTGTTTTATGGCATATAAGCCTCTGTCGAGGTCCATTTACCCGCTCATTGATGAGCGAGGTTGAGGACGCGGATGATCCCGCTTACTCAATTGATCGCCTCACGAACGACAAGGATACTCCAGCTCGTCGTTGCCACTTACATCTAGATACGGCTAGAACCAAAGCGTATACAGAACGAATGAAATACACTATCGACATTGCTACTTACTTCAACGAGGCAAGAAGCCTGCTTTCTAAACAGTCGAGCACACCGAGTTGAATTTCCACTCGCACACGGGAGGACGCGAAGATCTACCCTAACGCATTTGAGAGTGTTCGGTGTGGACATACTGAGATCCCAGAGGTACAGCCTCCAGTGTTGTGGCAAGAGAATGATGTAAGCAATTGCCACCGACTCCGAGGGGCAGGCTGACCGTGTGATAAGCCTCATGTACCACTAAAATTGCCGCGATACATGTTCTAGTGTCGAAAGACATCGCATTGCTGCAGATAGACGCTCTCGGAACGCCAGTCTGTTCCAGGGTGAGCCGGTGGCAAAATCTTCTGCTGCACTCTACCACAAGATTGCAACTTGCCACAATACGTGAAAGGTCCTTGGCACACATATGTTTGCCATCTTTGAAGGAACACCCATAGCATGTGCTACCTTCGGTTTCAAGAATTTTGCAGAAGCCTTGTGAGATTCTGCAACATTGAAAGCAAGAGTTGGTTCGCGTAGACGAATCATGGTTTAAGTAGCTGTTACTGATGCCCTTTGACAGAATCGTATAATAATGGCGTTAGTCTCGCTTGCTCTTGCGAAGTGTCAGTCTCCTTTTTGGTTACAATTACAATCATATTTCAAAGATTCCACAAGCAAAAGTACTCTCCTCTGCAAAACAATATGTGTGCATCTGCAAGCTCAGCGGGAGCTACTCATGGTTCCATCACAAGGTTGTTGGCATCTCTGTGACGAGAGAAGCCCAACAGGTTAACATTTGTGTCTTGAGAAACTGACATGGTCTAGCAGCAAGAGACCGAGCGAGTCATCCAACAACACTTCCCAGAATGACGATCAGTTGCATCGCAAATCTTCCATACCCACCGAAAGCTCTTCCGAAGCGTTACCCTCATTGAGCACATCCCTGAGTGAATTCCCAGTTCAACGCACATACTCAATCATGCGATTCGAAGCTACCACAGACACCGCGCACATTGGGTGCCAGGATACTTCCTCGAGTGACAGTGTTCAGACCAAGACAACAAAGATCAAGTTGATCATTGAAGACTTCGACGCAGTTTTCGATGATGTTTGATACAAACCTTCCTGGAAATACATCACCACACAGCATGTGCGATCAGGTACTGCGTCCAACGTACGTAGAAATGTCGAGCATATGTGCGCTCAGGTATGCTGACCAGAAAGGGAAATTGGATGGCAAACGTGGCGACTCGGTCTTGTCACAAGGGCTATCTGGCGGGTCAAATTAGCTGAGTTGAGGGGGCGTGAAACAACCCAGGCGGAGATTGATTTGAAGAAAATGAAAAAATCGCTGTGTTGATAAGAAAAGTGGACTTCAAGGGAAAACGGTCACCCTGGTGCTAAGATGTATACAAATCATATAAGATGAGCAAAGAAATCAACCCGAAAACATACGCCTTGGCCGATTAACATTCCCAAATCGCTTTCGCACCCGACTTTGCCCAACCAACTAACCGTCGATGAAAATCTGAGGTCTGTACTACTGCTAGGCAGCTGCTTCCAAACGTGACGAGTACTTGCAAAGACGAAGAAGAAGTATTAGAGGCAAAAGTGGAAAATGAGACAATGCCCGGCGCTTCAAGACCTCATGTCGGTTACACAGTTTGAATTCTCGGAGGACAAATGGAAGCCCTCGTGTCAACTCATCCAAAAACAGAACGTGGTGGCAAAAACGACTCAGCAAAAGCAATAGTTTAACCAGTAATGAGAAAATCGGTTTAAACAAACATCTCGAAACCAAACCAAGGATGGAATGTGGCTGCGGTGGTAGGAGCTTGGCATAGCTCACGACATCCTTGAGTTGCAGGTTTGGGCGCGACTTATCGTTCGTTGTACTTCCAATACAGAAAATGATTGTACCCTCACCCTGCAGGCTTCGGTTAAAACTATATTAGCTTCAAAAACGAGATCCGTGCCCGAGAACTGTGAACATATAGGGCCTCACTGGATAGCAACTCCGCCAACGGCGATTTCGCCCAGATGCTTTCAATATGTCCTCGGACGCCACCATGTCAGATTCAGACCTTGATAAGACGATGATGTACCTTGCCTATCACGCTATTTTCAAAGATAAGCTCGCAAAGCTAAGGAAACCGAGTAAGGTACGAAGTGTAGTGGAGAAGCACAAAGATCACTTCCATCATCAGCAACTCGCTGATTAAACAGATATCAACAAAATTTGCAGGATTTTGGGAGATCATCTAGCGGCCCGACAGTTCGAATCAGAGTCAATAGCTAAGGCTACTCTTCCCACACTCTTCTCTCCTAGAGAGTCAGGAAATGATACAGTGTTCCCAATAATCTTCCCCGTATTTTGATGCGCCCTACTTGAGTGGTAACAATATCGATTTAAAAGTACAAGGTGGTAAAACCATAGATTCTAAGATACTAAGTACTAATAGTACAAAATCTAAAAAATCGGTTATCAATAGCTGGTACACTGGAATGAATACAGATTGCGGGGTGGGAAAAAGGACGGATACGAGGAGGGTTCACGTGAATCTAGGAATACGAGTAAAGTGTTAGAATACGACCAGCTATTTTGATCTCTTTCCTCTAAGGAAAAAGCAGGTTCTGCTCTACTATAGGAGGGGCACTTTCCTAGAATAATAAGTATATTTCTATTACAAGTTTTCAGTAACTATCAATTGACAGTCAATTGACAGTAATAAGGAATTCTTAATAGTTGAGAGGTTATCATTTGAGGAAAGTACACCTCCTACAGTAGGGCGGAACCTGGTTTTTCCTGTAAGGTTGGTACTCTCTTGCCATGAATCACGGGACTCTATCACATGGTGATTGACTCATCTGTTTCCTTTGTTGCCTACCTTACTTCTGCCTATTGCATGTAGATGCATATAAGCACCTGTAGTTACAGTCTTAGAACAGTAACTCTTCCACTACCAATCTACTAGTAGGATTGGTTGCCCTTTAAGTATAGCTCTGTACTCGAGGATATTAGAATATATTCCCGTATAATATAGTTTTATTGCTGCCCCTACTCGTACGTCTAGTCTTAAGAATACTGTACGGCGTACGCATGAGACCATCTGAATACTAAGCTAATAATACGAAACGAATACTGCTGAGGACACTACAAAATCTCCGATACTACCTACGTAGGCGTAAAAATTGAATCATAATTCTCATCTCTAATACCAGTAGTTATGTAGAACTGAATATGAAATATACATTCGGTGATAGAGGCAAGAACATGAGTGATTTGTTATAGTGGGCTGATAATCCTTCACGAGTTTGGAAGGCAGGCCAATTCTGTAAGCGATTATGAAAAGAGCACTGCACCCTTTCTTCTCATAAAGATCGTGTCAATTGAAGGAGCAGCCACTGCCACCGAGGATAGGTTCGTGGTCACAAAGACAAGCATTTCTGGGATGGTTGAAAGACTGTTCTTGAATTCATTCAACACGAATGTAAGTAGAGATGTTAATTAGAAGACAAAGATTTTTCCAAATTCCACATTCAAACTCTTATCGAATTTTGCCACTTCGAGCGTGATCCTCCAACTAGCTAGAAGATGATTTAACTCGACTTGTAATGCACGAAGTTGATGGTTTGGCCAGGTTTGAGACCGCCATAGGGATTATAGGGTATCATGTGCTGAGCAGCGACTTGAACAATCACGGCGGCCACATGTGCAGTTTGCTCTCGTATCTCGATTGTTTGTGCGACGAGGTCCGAGTTCGAAATTATAAAAGACAACTGCTCGGCCTGATTGACTATCGCTTGAATAGTGATAACACCCAGTGCTGCAGTCACTGATCCAGCTTTACTCGGGATCTTTAGTACCCTGCCAGGCAAGTCGCCGACGTTGGTGCGTTTTTCAAGATGGCCAATGAAGTCACGTCCCTCGCTAGCAGAGACAGAACATGTTAACATTTTGCATGCAGTGAGGGAAGGCGCAGGAAATACCTCTCAGCCGGGACGTCAGCTTTCACCTGTGGAACCGATAGGTCTTGACGTGTTCCATCATTTCCAGTAACTGAAATTTCACCATCAAGTATAGCCGGTAGACTGTGAGCAGTGCAGAACAAGGCGGTGAGAGTGAGTCCTTTGCTGAGCTTCATGTCGTTATTTTCTGATTGATTGTCGTTGTTGAGAAGTAGAAAGAGTGAAATGGCTATTTGTCGAGGAAAGATGTGGTCAGGAGAGATGATCTTTATAATCTCATCTTTGTGTGCACAGTCGACATATGCGAGAGGTACATCGAAGGCTATGGTTCGTATCACTCATTTGTGATTTAGGTTTTGTTCTTTCTGTACTATGCCTCCCCTAAATGAAGATTAAATGTTGTAGAAAACTGGGGCTAGTGTGGATATCCGTCAAGGGGGTTTATCCAACAAGAAGAGCTATTTTATGCCCTGATGTGTATCTTGAACCTTCTATATTACCTTCACCTTTACAACAGACTAGATTTTAGCCTATGCTTTCCTTTTAATAAGCTTGTTTAACCACTCAGCTATGGACTTTCAAGCCTCCGCCTCATAAATCTAGCATTTTAACATTCTTTTAGGGGGGGGTGGGGGGGGAGGGGGAGAGGATGGTAGTAGGATGGTAGGATAAATACGAAACACTAAACCACACCACCTTATTATCACAGCCATTGTGGGATGTTACGTCAAACCATTTCTGATATTTTTCCTTGCCGCGTTTTCTTAACGTTCCACCTTTGGCGTGGAACCTAACTGAATTTTAACACTTAGCGAGAGGAGGAAATAGTAGTAAAAGAGGGGAAACAACCATGTCAATAAGCTTTCGATAATCCTTGATGTTCCAAACCTTAAATTAATACACGAAAAGGATAACATACGAAAAGTTTGGTGGTCGAACGACACGGAATGCCCCAGAATGCCCGTATTACACTTTGATCGTTAGCGAGACAATTGTGGCAAGCTTTCTCCGTGGGGTTTCAATGTAGCGATCGACGAACTAAGCTGAAGTCTAATATTAATGCATCAAGAGATTTACTGAGGGATGATACAGAGACGACCCCCTGACGATATGGAGACGACCCCTCCTACATTAAATATAGCAGAATCCTCAGATTCTACTACGTAACTATAAACAACTATATGTTAAATTACATAGGTAATACTACTATTATTAAAAATAAAATATTTAGAGTAAAGGAAAAGATACTAATATAAAAAATAACTAATTATACTATATCTCCGGGATTACTTCTAACTCTACTTATACCTCTTAACCTTAAGATAACTATAATACGAATACTAGCTTATCTAGCTGATTTTAGCTTTAAAAATAAGATATTTCACCTATCTTAAGTATTACTACTATCCTCTTATACGGAAAGGGATAATTGCTCTTATTATACTTTATATAGCGGCAACGAATATACCTCTTTTTATTATAGTTATATAGAGTATAAGCTAAATAATAAGCTAATCGAGCTTACTTATTTTCGCGTAGAATACACTTAAATTAGCTGAGAATATAATTAGATTCTACGAGTATTTACTAGTTATATTATTTACTTAAGGCTCTTTACTCTACTTCCTTAGAATAACGATTTTACCTTAATATTAAGTTAAGAATTAGAAGAGAAGGGAGCTTAAAAGTATATCCTAGAGTAAGTTGAATTAAATGTTAATAAGGGTAGAAATCGAATAGTATAAAAGCTAGTATTAAATATTATTAAAGGACTTATAAAATGTATTTTATAATAGAGTAACTCTTACTTTAATTTCTAGCTTCTCGCTCTTAAATTATATACTAATAAGGTATTCCTATTAAATAGCTCTATAAACTTATATATACCGGGGGATTCTACTTACCTCTATGTTAACACTATAGCTCGTGTTATTTCCGTAAAGTATATAAGCTAAAATAGGTGATTTTACCTACTAATTAATAGTAGAATCGCCTTAAAAAGCTAGTAGGTGTTACTTAAGCTTAACAGTGTTTTATAGCGTAATTCTCGTTTAATTAAGAGCTAATTATAAGCTGAATTAATTACTAGACACGTATAAGGTCTTTAGTAAGTGCTATAATCTAATTCTTAAGTATATAGTAAGCGCTTTCTAATCGAGAGGTAGTACTAAGGCCTCTATTAAAGTATTAATTAACCTAAGCTCGAACGAAGTATTAGTAGTATAGAGTAAACTATTAACTAGTGATATATATCATAGCTTCTCTCTCTAGGTTCTTATTTATAGTAACTATTAATTCATTAAGGGACGTGTTTACAGATTTAATAGACTAAAGCTCACTGTTATTCTAGTTGAATTTGTTCTAAAACTCTTCTAATATATTAATATATTACTAATCGGATATAGCTTAAGCTATAGTAGCGAAACCTACTTAGAATTCCTTCTAATACACTATAGTAGGAAATTTTCCTTTATAATTAGCTAATACGTTCTTATAGATATACTAAAAGTATAGAAACTACTTTATTTGAATCGTAGGAAAAGTGACGTTAAGAGTGTTAATTAAGGTAAGTTTATAGTCTATACTAATTATTACTAGGAAGATACCTTCCTTATAGAGAGAGCTGATTTTACGTACTACTATAAGGTAGTTCTCTTTTACTTCAGAATTAAGGAAGGTAAAAGTAACGGAAAATAATCGTCTTATATTATTAATACTTAATATGTCGATAAGAAGTATATCGAACTTATTTATCTTATAGGTATAGTCTAAAAGTAAGATATCAGAGTATTAATTAAGGTAATTAATACTCCGTGTATCTGCTATAAATAGTATTAATATATAGCTATCTCTATCTCTCTTATACTTAAATATTACCTTCCTAGTAAGCTATTTAGCTTTTAAATCTCGAATTAAAGCTTTAGTAGGACTAGTCGCTTTATGAGCTTTACGATTATACTTTGATATTATGTTATATATATCTTAGTAGATAAGAATCGAGCCTTTAGGTTAGCTCTGAAGAATAGAGGTAGTTTGAGAGGTAAGAATACTATTAATATAGTAAGATATTATAGTTGATTTCGTACTTTAAGTGAGCTCTTATTAGCGGTACTCTATGAAAGCTTAAGGCTCTCTTAGGAGGTGATTATACTCTCTTAATAAGCTTAATTCGGAGTAGTAAAGCTTCTATTAACTTATAAGTCGCTTTTTTACGTTGATTTAAAATAAGTAATTTGATTTAAAAGTATTTCGCTAATAAATTCGATTAGAATCTTCTACTTTTAATTTGAACTTATAGCTACTTTTTTTATAGCTTAGAACCTTAATAATTTAACTATGTTTCTTTGAACTACGACTTATAGTAAAGGTATAACTAGTAATAATAGCGTAAGCTTATACCGCGTTAAAGAGAGTATTAAAAGACTCGTATAAACTAGTAGGAGGTAATAAAAGTAGTTTAATAGAAGAAGATATATCTGCGAAGGTATTAAAGCTAAGAATAGAAGCTTTAGAATCGATTTAGTATAATAGTTAATATAGTATTTAGTACGATGTGTCTTATATAAAATTAGTAGTAGCTCGTATACCGGGCTTACTGCCGACGTTTACAGGTTAGTTTAGTGGGGGGGGGGTCGTCTCTATATCGTCAGGGGGTCGTCTCTGTAATCGTCGGCGTAGCCCCCCTAGAGACCCCACCTACCTACTAACCCCCTTTCTAGTAGTCGGTGGAAATAGTTAGTCGTTTAGAAATAGTTAGTTATTTTCACGTAATTAAGTAAACGTGACTCGGAGTAGGTTAATCTGCTCTAAGATATTAAATCTACACGTCGCGTGTAGAAGGATATTATTATACTATATTATCGTAACTTAAATAACTTTATTAAAATGACTCGGAATTTTTTAATTCTTATATTATTTTATACACCTAATTCAGCTTTTTCTATTCTATATCTACGAAGATATCTATACCTATTAATACTCGAGTATTATTTATACTGAAGGAACTTTAAAATACACCTATCCTAATAAGTGAGTATCTAGAGTTAGAACTCCTTTTAAACTATAATTAGAGGTAAAGGACGCGCTATAGGAAGATATATAATTAAGCTACGTTTAATAAAGCTCTTTAATATCTTTAAGATTATCCTTAGTGCTCTGCTGCGGAGGCTATATATATATTTAATATTAAGGATAGACTATAATAGTTATAGCGCTAGAGAAAGAACTCTTATATAGGACGGGCTATATTCCAGCTAAGGTAAGAACTATACCTTAATTCTACGGAAATTAAAGCTATTCGGTATTATATTTATAGTTAATATCGTACTAGATTATCTGCTAATTAATAGATAATTCAGAAGATTATTTCTATAATACTAAGGTAATATAATCTACCTTAAAGTTATTCTGAATTATATATTAGAAAGCTTATAAAAATAAAGCTTATAAGTGTGAAGAGTAGGAAAATAAAAACCTTAGATATAAAGAGGAAATATACTTAAAAGCTGAAGGAAATTATCTCTTAGTTTTATAGTTATTAAAAGTATATTATCTCTTATAGTATTACCCTAGATTATATATAGAACTTTAATAAGAGTAGTTTCCGTGTTGGAATATCTAAAGGAGAGACTATTTATATTCTAGAAGACACTAAAGATATTCTTTACTAAGATTCGCCTGAAAATAGGAAGTAAGTAATATTAGTTAAAGGTATCTGTGCTAATAGGCGTAAGATTCTTTCTTGTATTATTATTAAAGGTTAGGAGTATATAAAGAAGTAGTTTAATTCTAACTAAAAAGGTAACGAGAGGATTAGAGTCTCTAATACTAGTTATACTAATAAAGAGATTACTCTAGAATAGCTAGACTATTTTATCTAGCACGTTAAAATTCAGCCTAGGGGCTTAGAAACTCTTCTTCTAATAGACGGTTATATATCTTATAATTCTAACGACTTTAGAATTAAGTGCTTTAAATATAATATCATACTATATACCTTTCTACCTTATATAACGTATATTATATAACCTCTTAACATCAGGCTATTTCAACCTTATAAGCACTAGTACGTTAAAGCTATATAAAAGGCTATACGATTAGGTAAGATTATCTATTCAATTGAAGATTTCCTATTTAACTTACTTAAAATACGACTATAAACCTTTACTCCGGTAAATATTAAAGCTAGCTTTATTAATTCCGAGTTATAGCCTATAGATAAAGCGAAACTTAAGAATAAGATAAAAGTAAGGAACTATCTATTTATTATAGTATATTTTACTTATATTTTAATAGGTTTATAGCGTTCTATCGATTCTTAATAAGCTATAGATTATAACTAAAGAGCTTTATATTTTACTAGATAATGAAAACCCCTTCTCTAGTATAGGAGACTATACTTTCTCTTACACGAGGAGAGCTACTAAAGATACTAGAAACCTTCTGCGAGGCTATAAATATATTATATTACTAGTAAAAGAAGATATAACCTCTTACGGATACTATATTAAGTAGTTCTTCTAAGGCTATTTATACCGATTCTTTTAATACTATAAGGGGGATTATATATACTAGCGTAGTCGCAGCTTACGAATATACAACTATATAAGCTGAAATCGCTAAACGTAACAAACGGAAGCTTGAATTTATAGCTTATAGTAATAAGAGAATTAAGACTAGTAGTAGAGCTATAGATACAGCTTTAGGCTTTATATAAAAGAAGAAAAAGAGGTTTAAGGAAAAGGCAGATCACTAACGTGTGTAGTATTATTAGAATAAGGTTAAGAGTAATAAAATTAAGAAGTGTAATACTGCTATTAGAATCATAGAACAAAAGCTTTAAAACCTATAATATTTAAGAGACTAAGAGAAGATTAAGCTAAATATTATTAAGTTAAACGAAGAGAGAGATTTATATATCACTTATTATAAGGAGTAGCTTACAACTGAAGAGGCTACTCCTATAGAAAAAGCTCTAGTTAACTTATAATTCGATAATAACCCCTTAGCGTTTATTTTACCTCTTAATAGCGACGACGATAACAACGATAATAATATTTAAGCTTCAGTTGATAAAGATTTATATATTACGTAGGAGCTAGCTTTATAGAGTAAGAGGGAGGCTCTATAAGTAGAGATAGATTATACTATAATTCCGCGGGAGGTATACCTATCTCTAGACTACCGACTACTAATTTATAATCCTATATATTTCCGATAATCTTTAATATAAATTTAGCCTTAACTAGCTATTAATTTAAGTAGATTTCCATTAAGTTATATTTTAGTGATACGGGATATCACGTGAAAACGACTAACTATTTCTACCGACTACTAGAGGGGGGGTTGGTAGGTAGGTGGGGTCTCTGAGGGGGCTACGCCGACGATTATTATCCCTCGATTTACTACTACTCTTTTCTTCCACCACACCCCCCTCCCTATCTCTATTCCTCAAAAAACGTTAACATATTGGCGTGGAACCAACCAGAAAATTTAACATTTGTTTAGAGGAGGGGGGTAACATTCTCTACTGGTCTCAATGTTGAACATCCTACATACAGTGGGGTGCCAAAAGTATTAGAACCCCCCATGGTAATTACCAGCCAATAATGTGTCCCAGACTGCTGAATGAGAACTACCTTATCATTGGTCATCAGGTTCGCTAGCTGACTCTTTTAATTGGGTAGTACACAGAGGAAGTAATTATGCACTAACGTGCAGAAGATTGACTCAAGACGTTCCCTTCCTGAAGTAGAAGAGGCTAGTGACATTTAGATACATAAGAGTAATGTAAAGAATTTTGAGTACAAGAGAGTACTCCAGCGAACAGCCTGAACATATCTCGGTGGCATAAGCATTTACCAAGCGATATAGGGACTTATTTACAGAACCCATGACCTTGCTTTCCTATAATCTTCCCTCGTTGATAGTCAAGAGCATCATTGGTGACATGGTAGTAACCCTGACTTGCTTGGGCCGAGCAAGACTGAGTCCAGACATCTCCTTCAACCCGTAGTCCTGAATACCATTTGCACTATTTCCAGACCGAGGGTTAGAGCACATTGATTGATGGGACTTTCTGTAACATACCCTTCCCAAGCCATGGTTGTAATTAGCCTGGATTGGTTAGTATATCTCGATGGCAATTCCTTTTCGATATCACTTACCTCGCCGCTATAGTTATTTACACAGGTGTTGAAAGTGAGCTCCCAGTCGTACACCCAATTATAGCCGTCCCATACATCACAAGAGCACTCCTTATGCTTAGCGGCTGTAACGCCTGGAATAGTGGCGAAGGATATAACCGCCCAGTGATATAAGATACTTGAAGGCTTCATTTTCGAGCACTTGAGTTTGGACGAGAGGAGATGGAGATGGAGATGTTCAGTAATAAAGGTTTTGACGAAGAGAATCCGACCGTATTTATATTATTCTACGAACAATTAAAGATGCAGTTAGTTACGCCGGAAGTGGGAGTAACCTTTCGACTACTATCCTCACTTATTCAAATATCAAATCTTAAGCGGGGAACTACCGTGGGGTGCCAAAAGTATTAGAAATCCCCCCCCTTGTAAAACCCATTATTCTTGACTACTACCCGTCCTTCCTGAAATAATATCAAATTTCTTCAAAATTGATACTCGTACACGTAGCTCCAAAGCATTTTTCCATAACCATTTTCACAATCATAAACGACCAGAAGGGAGGTGTTGGGGAGTCGGAGGTGGTCGGGGAAAATGAGACATTAATGGAATGAAAGCCGCTGAATCCGGAAGATAGACTTCTAAGACATCACTAGGTTTTACAGGAAATTTTCAAGATCCTATACTCCATCCCCCCTGATAAATGTTAATCTCTAGAAAAGTGGTACTCGTGTGGGTAATGTTCTACAGTTTTCGTCCTGTGGAAATCCTTGGAAATTGTCACTGTCAAGGGGCACAGGCTCTTGCTCACCTTCTACAACTTCCGTAAACGTTACAACAGGTCAGATTTCGGCTCGCGCATCGTAACTGGCTAGGCTATAGCAAGGGAATTTGGCTAGGAAGAGAGAGTAACTTGAGCCTTTGCTCTAGAATATCCACACTTTTAACATTCATTTATGGGGGATGGCAGCAAAGGTCATGGATTGTCACCGTGGTACAAATGGAACCTTCCGTGAGTCCTGCGGAGGTTGATTCAGTGCTACTCTGGTCTATTATGAGTTATTATCTTCGCCAGATTCAGCCGTGAGAAATAGTAAACCGTGGAAGCCGGAGACGTTCAGGAATCACAATTAAAACATATGTTCGAGGCATATCGAGTCGCGGGCAAAACAGACTAGCGAGCTCGCTTGCATGCATCTTCGGCTATCACCGCCCCGCCAAACTTTCGCAAGACCTTTGATTAGCGTCGATACACTTTTACCTTTGGTGCAGCCATCTCAAATAATTATTTCTTAATCTAGAAGCACTACCGCCACTACCTTTGCTCTTACACTACCACTACTACTATACATTGCCTTGAAAATATGGAAGTAAGAAGGAACGTAACTTTACAGAAGTTGGACTAAGGGTAGTACGAGTAGGGTCCTCTCGAGGGAAATCACAGCAACAGGTAGTAATTGAGAGTAAAAACAACGGACTGCCACTCAAAGCGGCATTGACCGTAGAATGGAGTATGAACGTTAGTTCTGACTAAATCCCTGCGCCGGTCACGTGCAAACAAAGAAACAGACAGAATGGAGAGAACCTCTGAGTATGAAGCCTGTTTATGATGGTCTGGAGGTAGGAAATTGGTGGTGATGCAATGAGGGATGTGATTTCTAAGCTGGGAGGTGGAGTGGGAGAATAATAAAAGTAAGCTAGAGGATAAGGTACAACTAACAGCAGGAGTAACGATGACAACGAGTTAGCTGGGGAGAGTATACACTACAGGTCAAATAATAGAAACACCTCGAACAAGAGGTGGATGAAACATCATCTCTGGGTAGTACCTATGTTGTGAGAATTTTACATCACCTTTTAGTGCGACCTGCTGCAAAAAGTGATGCAGTAGTAGAGCGCTCGCGTAAGTCTTACAGTACCCTGAGCTCGCTTAGATACCCCACTCCTTACTTTGCGCGGAACACATACAGTGGCCTGGATTAACGCACCTCTGTCATGTAACACGAACCCATGGGCAATACGATTGACATTACTCTGACCGGTGTCAATGGTAATTGCCCGAGCGGCTAAGAGGCAACTCGATTTTACGTAGCAGTATTTCTAGTCAATACGAGCTTGAACAAGGCAAAGGAGAAAGTGCAGTCATGACTCATGACTACTGGGGGAGGTGCCCAAGTGATTTGCGAGATGTAAAGGCTTCTTCCATTTGCGTCGACCCCTTCTTGCCTAGCGAAAATCTTAATCCCAGGCTCATAAACTTAGAGAGAGTGTATTCTTCGTCTCCGATTTTCCAACGAGGTATACCAGCGAGGTATACGTGGTGGTGTGGGCTCGTCGTCCACTGACGCTATGCTCCCCACTACTTCGGCTTGAATGTTAAGTTTGAATTGTGGAAATAACCATAATTTTTGACTTTCGAGCCGAGCAAGTGGGCGTAAGAAGATTGGTGTACGGAAGTAGCCTACGAAACTTTCCAGACTATTTGTAATTGACTTCCGGGCTTGCTTTGTGCTATCTACTCCTCTTCAAAATTGTTAAACATTCTGTAGGTTCTGGGCCAAACAATTAACATTCAACAAAGGGGGGTTGGTATGGTGTACTGATGTTTGTCACTGGAATTCTAATGCTTAGAGTTTAACAAGGTAATTTGAAGCCGGAAGGATAGGTAATTGGTTGGCTGAAAGATACGTGTGGCATTGTTACTTGAAGGTGATGAATTATAAGAATAGCCAGCGCTACTCGCATCTTCAGGCACACAGTATTCTTAACACTATCAACTCCTTCCATACGACACCACTCAATCCCTAGTTCAAGATGAAGATTACCATGATTGATGTCACGAAGATCGTTCCAGTTCTTCTACTTTCGTCTTCAATGGTTGAAGCCAGATTTCACACCCAGTGCTCATGCGATAGCGGTGTCAACAATAGTTTGACTTTTGACTGGCAATTAACTTTTAACGCATGTGTCAACAATTACTCTGGAGAGGTTAGTGTTAGACTCTGGAACAAGTATTTATCAAAGCTGACAGTGCCGCTTCAGGCATCCTACAACCCGGCGGAAGGAAGGGTAAGTAAAAGAACACACATAAAAGCTGCTTGCTAACCGATATCTTCTTTCTGTAGTGCCATTGGTTCAAAGGCCATCATGTTCAGGGAGATGACTGGAATGCAGTCTGCATACAACAGGCGATTGATGGATACTATCCCGTCACTAACGGTCTTGTCGACACAACCCGCCCAAAAATCACAGGGAGGACAGGTCACGGCTATTGTAAATAGTCATTGATATTGCCTCGATATTGGCATAGGTGGACAGTGTTTTAGTCACGGCGCAGTCAATTATAAATATGTTCCTCTGATATATGAGAATTCTGAAAAGCTTCGTAGATTATATTGACCCCTGTCGTAGAATGCAACAATTTCTGGGCGCGGATGTAGTACAGTTGGTACAGTTGGCACTGCATTGCTTCAGCTTCGGTTATGGCAGTCGAGGCTGATATGCGAATTCGAGTTGTTGACACGATTACTTGTCGAGATGTCTCCCCAGATTTCTTTTTTTTTTCAAAGACACTGACTGGCATCCTGTCTATCTTCCTCCAGATCCAAGGCTACGAGCAATAGGGCCAAACAGTTAATGGCTTTAACCAAAACCCAGCTAGTGATATACAAGATTCTGCAACTAGCAGGTCCAGTTCTCATTCGCAGTCCAATGATTCTGACGATTTGTCACTAGATGCTTTATCACTCGAGGAGGCAGTTTAGAAATATCCTCGCGTCGCGATAGAGGAGCTAGTACCTATACTAGATATAGTATTCGAAGACATCCAGAACTTTTTTAAAAAAGCAGCTATCTTAAGGGAGCAATCTCAGTAGCCTGCAGTAAAGAGACAAGCTACTGGTGTTAATGCACCTACTTCAAGACCTGTAAAACGACCCAGGAATACGCCGCCACAACCGCCGGTGATAAACATGCGTCTACCCTCAAGTCACAGCACCAGTCCAAAGTCAGTATCAGAAACGCTGCTCTGGTATCAATCCGAAGACGAGGGAAACCGAGCGGATGTACGGACTAAATTCAGAGCCGCGGGGTCCGAAGCATGGCCGAAGGATTCACAAGAGCACGTAGACCTTGGACACAGCAGGAAGGAGGGATAAGTCAAAGCGCTTGGTGATGATCGTTACCATCTGGAAGGTGAAATGGCTATCGAGAAGCTTCTCGCTCAGCAGGAAGAACGAAGCACGGATTGTGCATTACTGCACATACGACGGTGGTGGCGAGCCGGATGAAGATCCTTCTTATATGGTTATTTACGAAACCCTACACGATATATGCGAGGAGCAGCGTAGCATCATGGACAACGGTGTTGACCTTTCGGTTTTATCCTCAACCTTTGGAGCACTTGCTCGAGTCAAGAAGCTGGGCTTGAAATTCTGCGAGGTGATAGACGACGACTCGTCGCTGTCACCTTTCACCGCATGCATGACTACAGTAGAAGACTCCTATGAATACCATCCGCTAATCGTATCTGATGCCATCCAGAGTTCCAGAAATAGAGGCACTGCGATCAATACCGTCAGCTTATCAGGGTTCAACCTTCCGTACTACCATCAATTGGAGGTTCCAGACCTGAGCACATTGTTAAAGTCTCTCGACAAGCGGCTGCAATCTGTCCGGGTCATATGCGTGAGTGATTCGAGGTTTTCCCCTGGAAGTACTGTCCCGTTGCACACTGGATATACATCGACTTGATATGTGCGGTATGGTAGTGAAAGGTAATGCTCTGGAAGACTTCCTGGAAACGAACAAGAAATTCCTTCGGTCTATTGGCCTCCACGATGTCTTCATCACCGAATCGAGACCACTGGGGTGCTTTCCCAAGCTGTCCTCGGGTAAACTCTGCGAAATGATGAAAGTCTCACAGTCTTCGTCATGCCGAGCAGCTGATTGTGGCTGCCTTCCCTTTCGAAAAGAAGAATGGAGAATGGTTTTGAACGGTGATGATCAATCGCAACGGTCGGAAATATGAGGGTGACGGCTAGGAATTCAAAGGCCCAATTGATTGTAGGACTAACACGGGGAGGACATTACATTATGACTATCACTGGCACTTAACTTGTATCGATTGTTACTCACCGTTGATCAAATTAACTGCTTTGGTGCTGTCCTAAAATCTGCCCTCTAAGATTGAACTCAATTCCTACAGTGTGCAACGCATAACTAGCAAAGTGAGTTAATAACCTGTTACCAACATACTAGATCAGTTACTATGTCTGAGACATCGGTTGTATAAGTCTCAAGGCTGAAATGGTAGATGGCATCTATGCTTGACGCCCAGAAATAGTCCCATCGAACAGGAAGCGTCGTACCAACTCCGCAGATGTCCAAACTCCAGATACGAGGTGTTTGAATCTTTTTGAATTACTACAAAATCTACGACGCGAATCTGGAGTTGTGGTGGAAGTGGAAAATTGTCTGTTATTGTTGCTGTTGTTGTTGCTGTTGTCGAGAAAGAAAAGAGACGAGGCGGCCGCAGCGAACCTCAGAATAGTGGGATGCACAGCCATTCCCGGTAGTGAAAGCTAGGACCCGTTTGCGCTCGAATGCGCTCTATCAGGCCGCACTTTTCCCCATATCCTCATTCCACAGCAATACGACTGCACTCCTTACAGAGGCCACAACGCTGATGGTAGCAACGACATTCCCGCTTCCGTGAGCCAAAGCATTCACGTTCAAAAAGATCAAGCGTTGGCTGTCTGTAGCAATTTCGACAAGAACTTTGATAGGCAATAACAACAAGGGCACAATGCACAAATATCCGAGCTTTCATTTAAGAATTAGATGACTGCTAGCTCTGTAAGTGTCACACATCTCCGCCAGACACAGACAAGCACTCACTTTGGTAAAGCGAAAGTACTCTACCGCCAGTCAGCATTCTTTTCTCAAATGGTCGTTCGGTTGCTGCGGAAAGCTGTTTGTCAAGCTTTCTCCCAATTTAAGCGAGAAGATAGGGGGCGTTTTGTTGTCACGTGCTGGGTTGCTCTTTCGATAAGCGCGGTTGAAGATTGGGGCTGTCCGAGAGGATGTGGTCTTTGCTCGAGCTTTGCACGAATGGAATACCAGCATGGAGAAGCAGATAAGATCAGTGTGACGCTGATGTCATGGCATGGGATCGGGAGAAGAGGGGAAAAGAAAATACGCACTATGTACAAAAATGTCTTTTACGAGTTTCGATTGAATAATGAAAATCTGGGAAGTTGGCACTCCTAAATCTCGGCTCGCTTTCGTGTGAAATTTATTCAGATGGGACGCCTCGCGAGGCAGATCCCACCAGCCAAGTCGCTTTCAAGAACCATTCGTCCTCATTATCGGCGCCGGGAGTAGCGGATATGTAATGTCCGAGAACAAACGAAACCAAGGAGAGGTACACCAACTCAGTGACTGACCCATTCATGTCGGAATCATGTCTTCATATACAAGGCTGAGATGCACCACCCCATCATATCATGGCATGTGGAAAAGCCCAGCAGCCACATACATTTTGGGAATGTTAAGCGAGATTTTCTCAGCTGTGACTCGATTTGGGCAAAGATTCGGAAACATCTTTGTCAAGCTGATAATTCCAAGAGCCCGCACGGAAGCTTACGTATTTGCTGGTAGCGCTTCCAACTGACAGCACTATTTCCATGACTTGGTTACGTGCAGGCGCTCATGCTTGGTCAGATGTTTATTTTGGCTTCGCGGCCTTCGAAGCTGAGGTAAGGAATAACTCACAAGAGCCTCATCTTACTCATCCACATTCTCGTCGATGCTAAATAATCATTTCTTGGCGTGCTCATTGACTCATCCAAGGCTACGTTGCAGTTGTTGGGACGCGTCTCCTTCGCTTCTTTGGCTTCATGAGGAGGTATGGTGACAAATGTTCTCAAATTAGAGCGAACTGGCAAGTCCGTATGTCCATATCAAAATGTCTGAAAATAACAAAAGTTAGAAATCTTGTTGTTGATAGGAGTATCATATTGTACGAGGTCAGCAGCGGTGACCTACCTAATCGAGTTGAGAGTGACAAGAAATGAAGCTTAGCCATAATGGTTGACGCTTACTTCTCGGTTGCGTATGCTCAGCCACTGAGCTCAACGGGGCAACCGCAAAGTTGGGATTCGCTGCAGATCATGTCTAATAATGGAAAGCTAGAGCGGTGGTTAGGGCTGGTAGCTCATCTTCATCTGAAGCCCAGGTTTCAGCCACATTGAAGAGTTTTCGTCATCCCAAGCTCCAAAGCTAGCCCCGCACTGCGAATATGAAGTGACACCAATTGCAAGAGTTCCCCAGGAACTAAGCAACAAGGGAAACTCACCGAATAACAATCATAACACCGAGCGTTCATAGGGACGTTCGACAGCCGAAATTTCATTAAATCCGGAGTTTGGAGTCATCACGAAGCTCAACGGCAGATTATTTCCCCTCTGTCTTGGCGGTCAGGCCACCGCCACCGCTTTGGTTGAAATGCCAGGTCAGCTCGCTTCACTCGCCGTTCCGGCTGCGTTCTTCGTCTCTTAATGTAGGATTGGGCTAAAACAGCTCGCTTGCGGTAAAAAGTGTGAGAGTCGTAATGATTTCTCGCTACCAGAAAAGGAGATTGCGGTCGTTCGCCCTCGGCTCCGCATCCCGAGCCACATCACAAAGCCAAACTCCTTGTAGTCGTCCCCAGCTCCAGCTGCCAACCACTCCACGTCAGGAAGGGCGGCTTGACTTTGGCCCTTTCCATGAACATGAGGGTGTAGCAGTCCCATTATTTAAACTTGACGAATCCCCCCAGGTCTTGATCGATTCAAACGCAGTCTTGAACTGATTTATGCTATGAAATACGCTGTGCAGTCACAAATATCTTCTGGTGCTCCGTCACGAGACATTTCTTTATCTGTTTCATTGTCATTAAGAACTCAACATGCCTTCCACAGCTTCTTCCACTGGCGCGACATGTGGTTCGGGGTGCAGGTAAGCTAATATCTGCTTTGAAATTATAAACAACAGTCTAAGATTTGATAAAATAGGTTGACTGCCAATGCCGCCAAGTCCTCCCCTACATCTACAACAAAGACAGCACCGAATATGCCTGCGAAATACAACGACCATTCGAGCTCTTCTGAAAGATCCGCAGCTGTCTCGCAGAACGATGAGTACTACAATGATCGCATCGCATCATACCTTACCGATATCGGCAAAACTCCAAGATTCGAAGGCATGGCCGCAAAAGACAACATCCAGGCTCATATATCCCAGATGGAGTTGTACCTTGACGAGTTCGACAAAATCATGACCAACTCAAATCGTTGAATGAACTTAGTCGGTTTCATATGGATATGGTACATGTTCTGGGAACTTGCATATTCTTCTGTGAGTGATCAAGGAGAATTCAGCCTAACCAATCACTGAAACCATAGGAGACTGACACAGCTCGTCCTAATAATCCTCGATGTGGCAAGGGACGTTGACCTACTGTTGACCTGTGTGGAAGGAGGTTGCCAATAACAGATACCCAGGAAATTCGAAGCTGGGTCGAGCGATTACAGCTACTTGCTTCCAGCGATGGGGAGCTGAGCTGAGCTGCAGCTGCACAAGGGCGGTCAGGCGTGCCAAGCGATTGAGATGATGGCGTTCGCTCTGGAGAATAAGAGGGATCAAAGGCAAAGCTGGCCGAACTTGTCATTGAAGAAGCATCCTAGCACTGAAGGTTGAGCAACCCTTTCTCGGGATGCATTGCGCTATACCGCTTTTAAGAGTTAAATCTGCCAATGGATGATTTAACGCATAAAAGCGGTATAGCGTGATCTGCACTGTGATCAAGCTAGTGACGCTCGGGTACGGGCCGAATTTAGCTTCGGATCGGCTCGGCAACTAAAATAGTCTGTGCAATTGGGGGAACTTTCTCTAACCTCGTCGGAATAACTTCTTCCTTCCTTCCCTTCCCTTCTCATCTGCCTTTTCTAACATCCGTCCTAAACATTCATAGATGCTAGCTTATAACTCACAAAGTGTCTCTCAGCATACTCACTGGATTTTGACTCGTTACCAAGGACGCGTGACGAGATTTGCAAAGCAACTGAGCATCGCGATATCATCCGGCGACGAGAAAATTTCACACGTGCCACAAGCTTTTTAAAATACCATCTTCTTATGTTCATTGGATAAATATGACTCGCTGATGGCAGAGGCAATGTGGTGTTGCAGAAGGAAGCAGTGCATGGAAGAAGTGCTTCGCCCAGCACCTGTCAAATTACTTGGGAACCAATAATTGCGAAAGCCCACGCGGTCTTTGCTCAGCTCTGGCAAAGTTGTTCAGTGACTAGCCCAAAAACGGCATGTCAGTTTTTCTTTGCAAGGTGATTGAGTCTCGGCGCTGTCTGCCGAGTCCTATGCATTCGAAGTAGCTGTACGATCCATGTCCGTGAAGGAGTCCACAGGCTGATTCTTGGATTCTTCCCCAACGCTGGACAATGGACCTAATCTTCTTAAATTCGGGCGGTATCCCCAGAACTTACACACCCTTGCAACCTGATTACGAACCGTACACCTGGTCCTCAGCCTGGTCACAACAAACCCCAGAACACTGCTTGGGATAGGAGTCTGCAAACCGGAATGATAGGATTAGTCAATTCTGTCCAATCCCGGTGTTATAAACTGCAGGTGTAAGTATCCTCAAGTGATCTTAGTGTAGCTGTGTGACTTTCCCCTCCCCCTCCCCCTCCCCCCTAGCCTTGAAATACCCCTGCAGCCTTACAAAGCTACCGAGGACGATCTCGTTCCATTTTGTGCCCCACCTGGGGCAGGGGCAGGCTTCCACGCCAGCAAAACATCCACGCGAGAAACGCCCCCTACCGAACACATTTGGGACGAGAGGTCACATTACTACTCTCCACCTCCCCTCCGTAGCATCGTCTACAGCCGCACCCGTGGTATTGCTTTCCCCCCGTTCCTCACTAACCCGTCCTATGTCTCCGTCAGCGACCCAGCTTTCCAGGTGCTTGCAAGGACCCTGGGAAAAATCATCTTGCAGCCACGCATGATGAGAATCGCCCATGTACTGTCCACCCACCCTCCACCCTGTCCTTCCACCCCATCTTTTGTTTCCTCCAGGCCACAATTGTCGCGCACAGATGGAGCTGTGTCGCGGTTTTTGATGTGCAGATGCACTTGTTGGAGCTCTATCTTTGCAATATTTCTGTCCGTTTTTCTAAAATCGTGGCATTTTGAGTTGCGCCACGTTAAACATGATTTCACTCCATCCTTGGGAAACCGTACCGTGCACTGTTGATTTTGGATGACGCCCGGGCAGCTTTTAATGTTGTACCGAGCTCTACCTCTGTAGAGCTCGGTACAGGTCTTACAGGGAGTTCCATCTCCCACTTCCGAGACATCCTCCTCCCCCTTGTTCCTGCTGCTCTGTTCCACGACTCCAGATGATGCGAGCGAGGCAGGCGAGGATGCTTCGGGTGGCCCAGAATAATGGACTCGAAGCATGTGGCTAAGCTTGCAAGTCAACTCGCTTCTCTGACGGACTGCGTCTGCCAGCTAGCCAAAGCACCTAGGGAGTAAGCGATTGATGGATCCATAGTCAAGCTAAGGTAGCCATGGCAAGCAAACGAGCGGTCAAATACGCACGGAAGTGGGGCTCCCCTAAGAGTCCATGCAGCCACCTCCCAGGTCATGACTTTTCGACAGAGCGAGCAGGAACAGTGCTTGCTGATCATTTCAGAAGCGCGCATTACCCAACCATTTTGTTGCTCCCATCAACCCCTCCTTAAAATTTGAGTAAGTATAAGACTGGCCGCCAGCCTGATTTTCTTTCAAAAATGATCAAATTCTCATATCCGGCCTTCTCCACACACTAATTCGCAATCACCGCTTCTCCTAAGTTTCTCATCTCAGCCTTTAAGTTTATCTCGCCTTTTCAACTTCTATCTACCCAGACTGGTTGTACGAAACTAAGAAGTTAGAAGCATACACAATGTCTTCATACCCATTATCAACTTGCGCCACGGACGGTTCAAATACAAGGTATCGCTCAGTTCTGCCAATTCTCAATAACAAGTTGCTGCAGGGTACTAATTTTTTTAACTGTCCCTAGACGTATTGGCTCAGCATCTGCCAACGACCATCTCGTTGCCTCCACCTCCGCCTCTTCTTCGGACTCAATCACTTCCAATAGTAATGACGCTACCAAAGCCGACGAAGAAGCGTCACGCATGGCACTTTTCCTTCACAGCAATGTCGAAGCCAACCCGACATATCAGCACACTTCTTCTGCGGCAAGCATGGCTGCACACTCTACTCAGATGAAGTCGTGCCTGGATACTTTTGATGCGGTTATGGAGGATAAGAAGTGAGGTATACACGTATGATCATCTCTGATTTATGATAAATGAGGGAACGTTATGCTCAAGTCAATAATGTTGAAAGGTACGTCGTCTCGATTCTACCTCAATGTGACAGGACGCTAACCTGTGTAAGGTAAGAGTTGGATCGACAGCCTGTATCAACAACTACAGCAAAGGATAGTAAGGTCTTTCAAAAAATGGCGTTCTCTCTTCCCCATCTGGTCTTTGAACCTTGAGACCCACAAAGCTCGCTTCGAGCGGAAGCGAGGCTGCAAGCGGGTAGAAGAGGAAGCCAAGTTGGTGGTAGATGACAGCAACTAGAAGGCGCAGTGACTGTTAGAGCGTAAGAATAGGGAGATTGATTTGGGTTCGAGAAAAGATACAGTGGATTTTGAGGGCAACGCAGGCAGGAGTCTGAGCCTGTAGCACCAGCAACAGATTCATGGCAATTAGAAAACATTTATTTAGGAATTGGATATCGAAACAATAACAAAGAACCCTCAACTGTGTATGGTAATTGAACAGGGCGTGTAAATGATTCAGAAGGATCTAAAATCTGATGCCTGTAGACTGGTCGGATAAATGAGGTCGAAAGCAAAATGCATTGAAGTGGACAGTAAACAAGCGATACGATACCCATGTGGTGGCTCTGTAAATGAATGTAACACAGAACCGGGAAGGACTGATTGGTTTCGTCGTAAGTCGCCCAAAGAGATCCAGAAAATTCTCAATCATAACTTCGAATGGCAACACCTGCCCGCTTAAATGAAGGAAAGATTAGCTCTTGGAGAGTGACTGACACGCATTTGGGGACTCAGGTCAGTCCTCGCTTGCCATGCGTTGTCCTTTACTCCAGTTGCTTGTGAACTGCAGTGCACTGCCTTCTTGAATGCTTGTGTCACGTCTCTCACCCCACGAAACGAAAGACTAAGGTGTCTACGTGAAGATACCTCGGCCCAGCCTGCATTGCGTTACATTTTGCGCCCGCCACTATGGGAACAGCATGGGTTTCTGATCGACCGAACTCCACCTAACTTATGGATGCCTTCTACCAACGTGAAGATCATCAGCAACTGGCTATAAAATGCGCGATACATTCGTATGCCGAGGCGGCAACCGAGCTAATCCGGGTTTCCGCTGCCTCACCTGCTCGCCCCTATTGATTTCTCGCGGTTATTTACTTTGGATATTCAAAGACGGTTTTGCGTATGAGACCCGTTTCTGCCTTCGGAAACACTTCAATTGAGTGCTTGGCCGCGTGTAGAGAAATAGAAAGTTCTCGTTCTTCAAGTTCCAATTAGATGAGATAAAGACCCCACAAAACCAAGCAAGCCTGATTCAACAGCCTTACCGAAGAGGAAGGAAATTCAAGCAATAACACAAGCGATAAAATGACTTCCAAGCAAATAACAAGGACGCGGAGATCTCGCACGCTGGCACCAGCTCCGGCTGTTGATTATGTGACGCTGATGACTGTCAGAAATGCTGTCTAGGTGTGCCACAGCCTTGCTGACCCCTCAGTCAGCTCCGAATTGGAACGAGGCTAGGAGAAATCTAAGTTGTTGGGCCAAAGGAACCAAATACTGTCCCAGAAGCCGTGTCTGGCGATATCTTCTGCCTGAGTCGGTTTCCAGCAACAGGCTCGCTTGCTCGCCAAGGTCACTGTAAATCCCTGCCCATCTTCTCTTGCTCCTCCCTGTATCAACCCGTGATGTCCCATTTCTCCAACGCCACTTGTTGGAAAAACCTCTGAACCATGCCCGAGTCATCTATGATCCTTGCCTAGGGAATCCGTGACACTTGCCCAAAAGAAAACTGTGACACTTGCCCAAGGAAGCTTGACCCATGCTTACATCTCTATCCGCAGTGGATCACGCCCGCTTCCGATATCCTCGGTTCGTCTATTCCTTTAAACAGTAAGAAGCACCCGTACAGGTGGGTGGGCTGTGAAGGGGCCCATCCTTGCAGACACCACTCCCGCATTGCGCAAGGAACAGCCACAGGCACCAGGCTTGAGCTTGACGAGTGGAAATGCACCCTCAAGAAACGGCTGGGGCGCTGCATCATTGGTGGTCGTGATCCTTAATTGGACATGTCCCCGAAGCATAAGACCGCCACAATGAGACGTGCTGCAAGGCTCTGTGGTCCCAAAGGCAGCACCGACATGGATAACGCCATGAAGGGTCAACGAAATGAAGGAAGCGTTGCGCTCATTGGGGGCCATGAAGCTTGAAGCTGGAGAATACTCATGCAAGCCATGCTCGGTGTTCACTGAGGTGGTCAAACCCAGCCACAGTTGGGATGATCCCAGATGATCGACTGATGGCAATGGCGTCGCCAAGGTCCGGGGTGCGGGCAAGGATCAATCTAAGATCATTAACAGATCTTCCCTATTGGGCGGGAGGGCTTGTTGTGGTGGTGCGTCTCCACTGGATCATCTCGTCTTGCACCTCAACTCCTGACTGAGGTTATGTTACTGACTTTCACACTCAGACAAGTATTATATCAAGCAACCCCAAACAACTCATTCCTCTCACGATGAGTTTTCCAGCACGCTCTTCTCTCTTTGCAGTTTGTACTTCATGCGCGAGGCGAGCCTGTGTGCAACACTGGTGTTTGGCTTGCACTCTCTAGAAATATCTGGGTCAATCGCAGCTGCGGAAACTCCGAGTTCCGACTCGCTCACTACCATAAACTGCCGCAACAAACGATGTCGTTCTACCCATCCTCAACATGCGCAAACAATGGTTCACTTAAGAGGTACATCTACAGAATATTCTCATGTTATCGAAACATCGTTGGAAAATAGAAGCACAGGTTCGGCTAATGCCTCATTGTCAACAGTACCGAGTCTGCCAACGCAAACCCACCTCCATCCTCATCAGCCCTCTCTGTCTCAACCACTGCTACAACAGACGCAGAGGCCTTGCGCCTCTATGCAGAACGTATCGCAGCCTATATAGCAGACCCGGTCAACCCCAATCCTGCCTATATATACACCTCCGCCGAATCGAGCATTCCGGCACACACTTCTGCTGTGACATCTGTCATCGAGGAGTTCGATGCTGTCATGAACAAGTCTGGAGAGAACAATGTATAGAGAAGTGAGTAAGAGCCTCTGGCTTCGAGGCGAAGGAGTTGGAATTTGGCGCAATAAGGTGCAACAAGGCGCATAGGCGCAAAGGATGGAAAGATGATGGAATAAAAGTACTTGCTGTTTTCACGATATCTTAGACCAGGATATGAAAATTGATATGATACATTCTCATAACAACCTTATCAAACTTTGTTGTTAACCAGATACCTGACGTGATGGCTCCACCCTTCCCTCTCGAAAATGACACAAAATGTGCAGAAGAGATTTGCAGAAGCACCCTCTAATAGGCGAACGCGCAAGTAAATTGAAAGACAAAATGTGTGCACCGGTACCTTGTGCCAGCAAGACGCATGTTGGGCACTTCGGTAGATAGAAAAGTGTCGTGCACGCAAGCACGTATTTGAGGCTTGATTTTTTGGCTTGCGTGTAACGGAATTTGAACCAGGCGAGTCCAACCACTAATGGCAGACCTAGACTGCGATCGAGTATTTTCACAAAGATCAACGCAGAAATGAGATGCGAAGAATAACTGTGGTAATGCCAAGGCTCTGCACACGGCACGAGCTGCTCCTATGGCTTCCTATGTTTTCACCATTGCCACCATTGGCTTTTGTGATGCCTAAATCTAAAGCGATGACAAGACATACTCCAAATCAAAGGAACGAAACAAAAACCATAGGAGAGAAACTAATCATCGAAACAGTATTACTTGACCAACTGGGCTGCATCAAATTCTCGGGACTACCGATTTTGCTACAACGGAAAGAAAGGCAACATGAGCCAGCCGAGATTCCAACTTCGGACGGGGGCCTTATTGCAAACTGTACATTATCATTGAACATTAAAGCTACACGTTATACACCCACGGAAACCGACACTACCCATATCCGGAACTCCAACGCTAAATGCAATCCAAGACTCTCGCATCCAAAAACATCACCGCGCTCTGGGTACAGTCAAAGTGTATCCATCCTCATGCATATTGCTCAATCGTATCACGCTCCCCTGACTGGTAGAGCGAAGACTCGAACTCGAACTCCCCGTACTACCCAAGTAAGGCCGTCTGCTCTGCGCAAAGCTGTTGATGCTTGGCGATCGCGAAACCACCTGCTTCTTGCTTCTTGGTGTCGCGGGAGCGGTGCTGAATTCTTGCCTTTTGGAAGGAGTTCCGTTGGCCGTGCCGATGCTTCGAGTTGGACCTGTACGGACTGTACCCTCACTCCCACTGCGAATGCTGACGCTGCGGGAGGATTCGAGAGATCGACTGCGTGGAGTCACTGGTGTCGATGAAGATGATCCGTCATCATCAATGTCACTCTCTTGATTGTCGATATCCAAGCTGGTGAGAATTGCGGGACTGAGAGCATTCATGCTTCGAAGTAACTCTGCAAAGTGCCTCATAAGCTCGCGAAATTGGGTTTCGCTGAGAGTTCGCCCAGAAAAGCGTGCATATTCATACTCGGTAAGAAAGTTGGTGGCTGTGAGGGGTGACCCAATGACGCCTAGACTAAGTAGTTGACTGATATATTCCCTCAGGCCCATTGCTGCCGGCCGTTGAAGTAAGTCTACTGCTCTGATATCGGGCAACCGAGGTTCTAACGTGGAATCTGGGTCTGCAGGTGCCAACGAGACGGCTTTGGCTTCGATAAGGTGCGGCAACTCAAAAACTACTGTAGTATATTGAAGATCCGGCAAATCTGGCGACGTGGGCGATGACCATCCATTGTGTGCAATATCTCCCCAGACAGGACTTGGAGGTGGAATGGTGACCGTGTGTTCCTCCGGTTCTAACTGGGAGCGGGCTCTTCGAAACAATCCAAGCTTCCCCTTCTTATTCCGCCTATCAGCGGACTGATCTATTGGTTCCGCGATATCGGTTCGGTTTTCAGGCTCTGATACCACGATTGCTGGTTGCTCAGGCACACGCGGTCGAGAGTCCCATGCAATAACAGCACTTCGGCTGAGACTTGCAACAATCATCTTCCTAACCTTCTTCTTGACATCATCCTTCTCGATGGGTATCCAGTTTTTCGGTATTGCTTTCATAATCTGACTATTTGTGTAAACCCTCACACCAAATATTATCACCGCGATGGCGGCAGTGAGGCCATAGGCACCCGGGACCACCAAGTAGTTGGCGATTTTGTTCGGAGTTGGTCCATTCTTGCTAGTCCTTGCCTGTGCAATCAAGTCTGCTGGGGTCGTAATTATTAGGGCGAGGAGGACGATGCCGAGGATGAGATAAAATGATCGATAGAGAACAGCAGAAAGGCTCGGGCGCTTCAGCTTTAGCTTGAACTTCATGATGGCGGCATTATGCGCACGAGTCGTTGCTCAGGCAGAGGGGAACTGAGGACCAAAGGGTGAACATCGATTTCGGAGCGGCGCAGGTTGTGAAGGCGCGTCCGATCCAGATGCTGCTGGTAAAATAGTGTTTGCGTACTTAATACTCAGTAGATAATACCCGGAGAGATAAAGAGTTGTTGATGGTAAGCCGCATGCTGGTGGCAGTGAGGCTGAACTCCTGGGTTGCCAGTTTGGAGGTTGAAGTGATGAGTAAACATGCGCTAGAGCATTAAAGTTAGACACGAACTAGTCCATAAGAGGAAAGACACCCACACGAGCTTCACGAGATCTTGAGCTTCAGCTACCTCAACTCTGCTAACGTCTGCTTGTTACAATCGTCGACCATCTACGTGATTAACAGTATGCGACGCCACAAGTTCCTGGAATCCATTAGCCACACCTCAAGACGTCTTCAACATCACCCAGCTAGCCACATCATGAGCACGAGACTCATATTTCTGGAGGACTTCCAGCACACGTCTTGGTTGACCAGTCAAAATCCCATCATCCTGCTTTCCAACTCTTTGTTTGGCATCTGATCCATGCACACAAATACAGCAGTCTTGAACTCTTATCTCTCCGAGGTAGCCCGAATTGCAACAAGCACGTTGCCCAATCTGATCCCACTCTCGCCTATCAAGGCTATTGTCAGCCCCACGTGTCGTGGGATACTCATCCTTCCTGAGGGAGAACCCCATTATCTAGTTGAACAAGGGTCCTGGCCAAGCCTACATTGCAAGAAATTCTCACGATGTTGTGTACCATGTGGATCTTGGTGAGCTCCTCTTCATTAGCTCAACCTTACGAAAAAAGGCCAAGCACAAATTGGTCGGAGGTCCAGGTCGCGAAAGTTTCTTCTCTGATGGTTTAATTATGCCCTGTTGCTCTGGCGTAGTTGTACTTCCTTCTATTGCAGTAGCGTTCTCTTAAGAAGTGGGGTAGACACCGTTTTCATGGGGTAGCACTTATGGCGTATTAACGCAGCCAACCGCATTGCGACAATCGTTGACCTTGCAACCACTATTTCAGGTATCTACCCAGTTCATGTAATATTCTAGTCTTCTGCACAATCTTGCATTCCCACTACTGGATCACTGTGGAACCACTGAGATAGGTGCAGTGATGCGGTGCTCTGATGTTACCCGCCAAGCGGCCAATTAGCATTTAGCTCCTGCAACGTTCAACCAGGGTTGACGAGCTGTCACACTCATAGCTCTCCACTCACTTCCTTAAGCTCCAAGAAACTTTGCTTTGGTAGATCGGGACTACCGCGGTGGTGGGATTTTGGCCTCAAGATTTGCCTATAAAGCCTGCATGGTCCTCGTGCCCTCTTTCTAAATACTTTTTGAGGACATTTCCTTCCCAGGTATCCCACTCCGCATAGTCAGCATGTCAGAGTCACCGAAGAACGAGTACCCTAAGGGCGAAGAGAAGATCGCGCTAGGAGAGCCATATGCGGTGCAAGAATCTACTTCACTTGGAGTTGCAGAGGATCTACTCGGTTCTCAAAGTGTCGATCCAGCTCTGGATGCCAAGATGCACATTGTCAACAACGTGAGATGATTCCACAGGCGCCACAAGTCACTGCCGACAGCAACAATTGAGAAATACTAATGAAAACAAAGGCCATCGATGAGATTGGTTGGACTCCATATCACTGGAAACTGTTTGTGCTGAATGGATTCGGGTAAGTGTTACCCAGCTTTGTCTTGATCCAACGGCTCACATCTCGCAGCTATGCCGTCGACTCTCAACTCCTTCTTTTGCAATCAATCATCGCTACACAGGCCTGCTATGAGTTTACGCCATCTTACCCTCGAGCTCTCACAATTGCTGTTTACGTGGGCATGCTCGTTGGTGCTTTGTTTTGGGGATTGAGCGCCGACATTGTCGGTCGACGATTCGCTTTCAACGTCTCACTGTTCATCTGTTCATTCTTCACCATTATCTCTGGAGCAGCGCCAAATTGGGCTGCGCTTGCAACGTTCATTGCTTTCCTAGGCTTTGGTGGGGGCGGAAATCTTATCATGGATACGACAGTTTTTATCGAGTACCTGCCCTCAAACAAGCAATGGGTATTGAGTATGTACATGCTCTTCAATATTGGTGAGCATCACTGACATTATTCACAGCATGGCTCGCTTCATGGTGGGGGTTGGGACAGGCAATTGCCGGCTTCTTCGCTTGGGGATTCCTTCGTAAGCGAACTCATAGTTTTCCATCACATTCTTTTACTAACTCAGTCAAGCTCCCTCGAAGTGGAACTGCTCAAACCCGTTCGACGAGGATGGCCTCAGAATTTCTACATGCTCAAAGGCCGACAACATGGGCTGGAGATATGTCATGTATACCTCTGGAGCCATGGTGTTTGTGATGAGTGTGGCCCGAATTACAGTCATTCGCTTGAAGGAAACGCCGAAATATCTTCTAGGAGAAGGCAAAGACGAGCAGCTTGTAGCCGATTTCCAAAACATGGCCGCAAAATATAATCGACCTTGCTCTATCACCGTTGAGATGCTAGATGCATGCGGAACAATCAACTCGGCTCATGGAAAAACCAAATTCTCGGTTTCTGAGTTGACGGTTCACTTCAGAGGGCTATTTGCAACAAAGACGATCGGTTTGTCGACTTCTTTGATCTGGCTCTCTTGGACACTCATTGGTCTCGCTTATCCACTGTTCTATGTTTTCCTCAGCAGCTATCTCTCTTCCAGAGGTGCCGACTTTGGAGTACAATCTGATTTCGAGACTTGGAGAAATTATGCGCTGGTAAACATCAGTAGTATCCCGGTAAGTGAAATATTCTTCCTACCTATTTCTTCTCCGTCACTGACGAGGTACAGGGACCTATGCTCGCAGGTTACATGTGCAATTGGAAAGTCCTCGGCCGAAAGTACACCATGGTAATCGGCGCTCTTATCACAATGGCTTTCTTCTTCGCCTACACCCAAGTCCGAACGCAAGCTCAGAATGTCGGCTTTAGCTGCGCAATCGGTTTCGCCCTGAATATCTATTATGGCACGCTGTATGCATATACGCCTGAAGTACTGCCTTCTGCGCATCGTGCTACAGGAAATGGAATAGCGGTTGCTTGTAATCGGATCATGGGTATCTTGTCTGCAGTCATTGCTACGTATGCTGATACCACTACGGCGGTTCCGATTTATGTGTGTGCAGCTTTGTACATCGGGATGGCTGCCGTGGCTGTTGCTTTTCCTTTTGAACCGTTTGGGAAGAGAAGTTCTTAGTTACACGATGCTGGTCAGATATGTAGTTGAACATACCTCGTTCAAGACGAGTTGTGGATCACGAAAGCGGTTCAATGGAATAACATGCGAGACTACAGATTTTGGGATATTTCAAATTCCAAATTGTATCGATGAAGTGTATCAGAAGCGTTGGAGGTTTCGGCTGGCTGCAGCTCAGCTCAGCGACCCCCACGCGTATTCTCCATTCGGGAAGACCCTGGATAAGCCACTGCACGAGATAATGCGAAATCGCGTTATGCTACCGACAACTATGTAGTTTTCCATAATTTATTATAATTACACGATACTGAATTCTCGATACATCAAAAGATCGGACATCCAAGCGATGTTCCCTCAATTTGCAGCATGTCATTGGGCGTACAGTGCTCCAAGACAGTGGGCCGTCCATGCTGACGTCCCAATGCTGGGGTATTTTTGGACCACGCCACCAATTTGGCCAACCACAGCAAAGAGTTTCTCGCGACTTTTATCGAGTCTCCTGCAGATCTTCGAAGGGATGCGTCGCCTGTTGGACGCACACCCTTCGTATTTTTCACTCCTTCTCACTCTCCATCCGTTGCTCTCACTCACGCAGTATTTGCTTTCTTCGTGAGACTCGTCTCGAGTTGTGGGTTTCGCTCCGAGGCTTATCTCATAATTTGATACGTACAAGACGCGGCAGGAAAGCAGGATCCAGCCGTCAAGAGTTGGAACAGCTTAGGACGAGGCGGGCGTGTTCACATGCTCCCTCGCACCAAACGGCCACTCACCCCACTCGAAATAAAGATTCACAGAGTCTGGATCCATCGAGCAGGATTTAGCTAGGTCGGTGGATCGACTGACGTTTTGCCGCGAGGGCAATTGCGAGATGCGCGCTCCACGATTGCATTGAGCCTCAACCAACAATAGCAGTACGAGTTCGCGAGTGCATCTTTCCTTGGAGCGGCAGAGGTGCTTCGCCATTCAGGAAGTTGGAGGGATAAGACGCAAACATGTTTTCCAAATTACGTCCCCATCATCGCCGCACACCGTCAAACCCAACGTCACCGGCAGACCAATCCTTCGAACCTCCTTCACAGACAGACCACGCACACCCGCAACGACACCAAGATGCGCACATGCTAGAGCCAACAAATAGGCCCCCGCCTCCCCCTCCATTACAGTCCATCACGAATATGCCGTCTGCGGAGGGAGGTTTCGAGGGCCCGAGGCGGGTTGGTTACGAGAGGGATCCCAGGATACAGCAGGTGGATGGTTCGAGGGATACAAGAGGACGAGATACCTACGGCTTCAGCAATCACCAGAGATTACCATACGCGGGGTCACAGCAGCCAGAATCAGCTGGAAATGCTGTTCCTGGGAACTACACGGGTCCTCAATATGCAAGGCAACAGATTGGGATGAGCCAGGAAGTATTTAGACCTCGACCCTCCGAACCCAGTCCAGGCTTTGTCACGTCCCCGGATTTCCCAGGTCAGAATGGCCAGCCTGCTAGGAAACCACCGTCTAGCTTCTCGTCTAGTACGCCGACACTTGTTGAGCCTGCTCAATCACGGCCAGGCAGGGCAAGGCTGAATCTTCTGAACCCCATGTCACTTTTGGCACGGAGAAGGACATCACAAGCAGTGGAGAAATTGGCGCCTCAATCACTGGTATCGAATAGAAATGGGAACAACTTCAATGAGAGTTTTGACCCCCGCATTCGAGGAACAGTGGTCCACGATTTTAGTGCACCGAGAGCACCAAGGAGAAATCTTTCAAACGTAGATGTCCGAGCAGAAGGAGGTTCAGCAAGCAACCTGAGATACCAACGAAGTCCCAATGGCGACCTCAGTAGTGCGGATGAGAACGTTACTAGTCCATGGAGCGGTGGGAATCACACCCCAGTCTTCACGGAGAACTTTGAGGAAGAACAGTACCCAAATGCTGGTCCCCACGTGCGGAAAGCCAGCGATTTGACCGATCTGCCGCTACCACAGCCACCGTACGCCAAAGGCGCTCAGAAGCCAGTCGAACCAATATCTACTTCAAAAAGCAATGATGCTGCGCAAAAGCAATATCAGGCGCCGCGGAGGATAAGTACGCAGAAGCCCGTCCCAGATCTTCCACAGATGCCAGACCACCCTCCACCGGTGCCGCCAAAGACTGATTTGCCGTTACATGTTGCACCACAGCGTATCTCGATAGATGCATCTGCTACTCCTCCCAAGACGGGTTCGTTTAAGAAAGGTGGTCGGCCACGCAATGTTTCGGAGGTGTCGGCTAAAGATGCCGCTATTCCCAGACACATGAAAAGTACGTCTTCGCGATTCAGTTTCGATATGATCGGGGCTGCTGAGCAAGAGCGACTTCTGGAAGATAGGCATCGACAGAAGGCGTTGGAGAAGAAAGCAGGAAATCATGGCGATGAAGAGGAAGATGACCGGCTTGGGGATGAGTCTGAGCACGATTATGATTATGATAATATGGACGATGACGATGGACTGGAGGAGAGGATACCTGGTGTCAATGCGGATCTGGAGGAAGAAGAGTATCCTTATGACGATCTGGAAGAACCGATTCCAGGGGCCGATGATGAGGAGGATCCTTACCAAGTCTCGGACCTCGGCGAAAATCTGGGAGGCTTCACATTCCAACAAAGTTCACTGGCAACACCTATGAGTCCTGCAAGTCCGGCAATGGTGAGCACCCCGAGAGATGCAAATGGCGAAGTTATTGGATTTGCCATGACCAAGAATTCTCCATGGGCTCCTCAAGGTGTAGATTCAACTGTTTCGCCTAGCTCGCCCGTTTCACCTGACATGAAATCGCCTGTCTTGGTCACGGAGTTGCAAGGCCTAGGGCTACAAGGAGTCAACATAGCTTCATCTGTGGATCCAGCGACATCAGCCTTGCCACCCTCGAAGCCAGCAGCAGACTTCCCTCGACCTGCTGCGCTAGACGACGATGATCTATACTTCGATGATGGTATCATTGGTGGGCCTGGCGACGCAGATGACGTTGAATTTGACGAGTCAGTCTTTGACAACATCGACACTGATGAGTACGGCAGACCTGTGAAGTCATTGTCATCGTTACCAACACTATATTCCCCACCGTCACTCACAGCCGACCCATCACCACCATTGAATAAGGCTGCTGATGGTTTCAGAGAGTCTCAAGATATGACAGATGCCATGTCTCTCTCTGCCGCCCCTAACGGGGGCCTGGCTCCACAGCCATCCATATCGGGTCATGTACAGACCTCAATGAGTCTTCCACCTCCTCCACAACAAATCCTCACTCAAGATACCCTCGCCGCATATCAGTCAGCACTCGCGGCAGCAGCTTTTGCAGCAGCTGCCAACGGCAAATTTCGTCGTGATAGTATTAACCCATCTGAGCATGAAGATGCCCAACCCGGACTTGTCACTGATTCCAGCCATACCTCGCATTACGAACCTTTCTCGCCGTCCTATGACCAGGTAGAGGATGACTTCGATTATGACGATGTCCTAGAAGACGATCCCATCATCGCAGCAGCCAATGCCGAGGCTCTAGCTAACGACGATGATGGTTTCTACGGCCAAGAATTCGGCTTCTATTCTGCTCCAGCATCCAATGAAACCGAATTTGGAGGGTACTTCGGGCCTCGCGGCGGTGCAGGTCTCAATCGAGGTCCAAGCAACAGGATCGTCTCCCGCGAACCAAACTTGACACCTATTACCGAACGCAGCGAGTACTCCAACCGTAATTCTTTCATGAGTCTCGCTATGCACGGACCCGGCAGCGTAGTCAGTCCCGGCCTCGCACAGCTCACCAACATGCTTCGCAGTCCCATGGACTACGAAGGCGACATGAGTTTCGACGCGCTTCTCAAACTCCGCCGTGGTGCCTGGGGTGGCAGCCAAGCAAGTCTGCATAGCAGCAACGGCGGCAGCCCCAAGAGCGTAGCGGGCATGGATGATGGGTCGCCTATCGTCTCTCCCGCACCATGGGGCCAAGGCGGCGCTGTTACTCTCCCGCCTCCGAATCATGCCCAACAGCCTTCGGGACATAGGCGGAAGGGTAGTACGTTTAGTCTGCATAGTGAGGGTGCGAGTGTGACTAGCTCGCCGCCTGCTAGTCCGACTTTGACGATGGCGTTTTCGCCGTTGCATGGGATTCAGGAGAAGGAGAGGGAGAGGGAGAGGGAGAGGGAGAGGGAGAGGGAGAGGGAGAGGGAGAGGGAGAGGGAGAGGGAGAGGGAGAGGGAGAGGGAGAGGGAGAGGGAGAGGGAGAGGGAGAGGGAGAGGGAGAGGGAGAGGGAGAGGGAGAGGGAGAGGGAGAGGGAGAGGGAGAGGGAGAGGGAGAGGGAGAGGGAGAGGGAGAGGGAGAGGGAGAGGGAGAGGGAGAGGGAGGATGAGGATGGTGAAAGTGGGCATGTGAAGAAAGAGAAGGAAACAGGAAAGGAGAAGGAGAATAGCAAGGAAGCATTCAGAAAACATCGTTATACGGGGAGTGCGGAGAGTATCAGTTATACCAAGGACGAAGATCCCACAGGTGGGCCGAGGTGGATCCTTGAACGGCGGCGTACTGGGGAGGGTGGTGAGGTAGAGCTTGAGAGGGAGGTTGTTAGGGGTGGGATATAGGGATTTTGGATTTTGGATTTAGGGGTCGGATTTGGGGCTGGGGTCTGGGGCTGGTGGGAAATGGAATGGATGCCGGGGATGGGGACGGTGATGAGGATGGGATGAGGGTGATGAGGGTGGAATGAAAATGAGAGAAGGGAAGCGAAACAAATGATACCAGTTGGATAGCGTCAGCGATTCAGTACAAACTTACCTATAAACCTACCTAATAATATATACCCACAGCTATGGCTTTCGCTTGGGCCATGAAGCGAAGCAACAAACAGTCTACACGTTCCCATTTCTCTTCTTCTCTTTCTATCTCACTCCTTCTCTCCTGCTCTCTTCTTTTTAGCTTAGTTCTTCTTGTTATCCAAACCTTCCCTTACTATCTTGCCGGCGACTGTTGCGATGAGGTTCTATGGCGAAAGTGGCCATGGTATTCAGGAGTCCGGAGTGAGAAAAGACAGTCCCAACTATCTAGAAGGAGGATGGATCAATGCATACAAGACAGTTTAGGATGGAGGAAGATATATGTGTGGATGGAGAGGAAGATGTACAGAGAGCGGGGGTATAAAGTCGTGGTCTGATGAATGACGAAGCGATGAAAGTGAAGCCTAGGATCCTTGTATATCGTTTCTACCTGCTTGTTCTATGTACGTATCGTATATATATACCTTACCCATCCCATGCCCATGCTCATGCCCATGTATCCCAACTCCAACACCCATCAAATCCTGTAAGTTGTACTGTTTACCTTCCTTTATGTATATACTGTATCATATCAAATCCAAATCCGCTAATCAATGTTTCAAGACAGACAGGACAGGTATCTGTTAAACCTGTCCAGTCCAACCCAAACGAAGCCCAAATATATGCCATGCGATGTGTGCAGCGTCCACTAAGCATCTGCACTAATAAACTTTCAGCTAGCCTTCTTCCACTTCAGCCTTGTCGATCTTCCGCGTCTTAGCTCCCGCTTTGTTTGCAGCTTCTAACCTGATGTGGTAATAAAACAAAATGTGCTTGAAAGGTATGTGGGTATTTTGAGAGAATGTTTCTGGTCGTATATCCGTCATCGTGGACGATAATCGTAATGTTGATTCTTGTTTTGGACTGATGAAAATCTGGTTGGCGATTTCGAGGTTGTTCTGCGGTGAGGAGATTGGATGCGAAATCCGGACCTTTAAAATTGGCAAAATAGCCAGGTCTCGGAGCATGCTGATGACTGGTTCCACAGCTAGGGAGTCCCTATAGGAACCCAACATTTCTTCTGCATTATGGCCGCCCCATGACGCGGAAGCCTCTTGTTTCCCGCTCTATCCCCTCGTGGTCAAACACTTGGCTTGAACAATGGATCACGATCATCCCGTCGTTTCGAACTGGTCATGAAGAACATCCAGCTTCCCTCATCCGCCGCTGTATATCCAGAAACAACCTAATGGCCGCATTTCCCGTCAACCAATTCGCAGCATTGGAAAAACTCCCCGTTCTGCTGAGATAGAACATCCAGAAAGCTGCTTCTTTCTTGCCTCTCGCTGCCGCCGTTCCCACGAGCAGGACCCAGAGCTGAACACCAGGATACCTTACCCAGAATTCATCTTCGGAACATTTTCCAAATTCAGTGCAGAGATCTTGGAAGGCTCGATTGTTGATAGGAGACGGGAAGTCGATGTCGAGGAACTCGACGGCGCGGTGGTAGATAGCGCCTGCATGTTGGAGGGTCTCGAGGACGTGGTTGTGTTTTGGGTCGCGGCAGGTTGAGAGGAGAGGAAGAGTCAGGAGGTGCGTACTGTAGTTAGATTGCGGTTCTAAAGAGAAGGATATCTGAGGGCGAGATGTGGTAGAATCTTCGTAGAGTGTTTGGAGGCGGTGGTCTATTGTGAGTGTCCACATTTGTTTGAGTAGGAGGATGATGAGTTCGGGTTTACTGCGATATGTTATGATGCTCTCGAAATTTCCATCGCCTGAGAGGGGTGATTCGTGGATTATGGCGGCTTGTGTTGATACTGGTCTCGAGAGGTAGTAGTCCACCTGAGGGAACCGGGCAGCTTTCCCCGTCAGGACCGCTACCATGCTATCAAAACTTCGACGGGGTTGTTAGCTGCGTATGATCGCTCCTGTATGAATTGTGGGGACTTTACAGTGTTAGTTTTGCTACCATAGGACCATCGTGATGGAAAGAAGTAAACCCTCCTCTTGTGTCGATAATGCGTTGCACAGCATCCATGTGAGTACTAATCTCTGTCGAGTCTCCATAACCTGCCTATTTAATCCTCAGAATGTGGTACAAGGATCCAGCCAAGACTTTCAATCTGCCATGACTAAGTGGGATGTGGTGGGATGGATACAGTGCATACAACCTAGTGCAGCAGGCAGTGCGGCGTGTGCCTCACGATCAGGGATTTAGTGTTGGGAACTTACAGTCCACATGCTGAAGGTCATGATCGCACCAATTGTGGCGTAGTCGAACGCTTTTTTGGGGTCCTCTAGCCGGTCCTGGATCCACTTGATTGTTTCGACCCGGAATTGATAACATTCAGGAGTTTGACTTATCCAGGACAATACATCTAGGTCTAATACTGCGCCTTTAACTGTCGTAAAGTCTGGACTTCTGGTATAAGGCATCCAGGCAGATTGTCTGGGGGTTAAGCTCTTCATGCTCTGGTCTGTACGATCTGATCCAGTCACTTGGAAGGGGGTTGGGAATGGCCATTTTCTTCGGTTGACATAAAGAACTGGGCCATCTTTTTCAAACCAGGCATATGGTACCACTGTATCAATCAGAGTTAGCAAGTGCATTCGGTGAAGGGTGACAGGAGAACCTGGAATTTGGCTTACAATTGTTTGCTTTGTTTTCAATTGTTGTCAAGAGACATAACTGGCGATCTTCCTGGCGAATGATTTCCGCCTCCACCGCCCCTTCGACCGATTCATAATCGTTTTGTTCTTCCACTCTCACCGGAACATCCTCATGCCGTTCGACCTCTTCGCTGGTAGCCTTGGCTATGGGGCCGACTGAAAGCCCCCGTGATTTCTTGGTCACAGCCTGAGACCTTGGAGCAATCCCAATTGGGCGTAGCTGCACATTTCTCTGCTGGGTCAAGCTATTCAGATAAGCCTTCTTGGCCTCCTTCCTCCTCTGGTGATATCCCTTTATTGCGTGCGACCTCACAATGTTGGGACTTGAGACTGAGCCCCCAGGTCCTACACTCACAAACTGCAGCATTTGTGGGTAGGGACGTGCTGGCCCTTGACTCGAATTTGACTTCGAGACATTGGAATCGGATTTCGGTACAGTAGCAGGACCAGCATCTTCTTGACCTGGAGGGCGCTGACACATCGTCTAGTCGATGCGGCGCAGCTTAATCATCGACATACAGGTCAGGTGTAACGCGAGATTGAGGCTGGTGAGTGAGGAGATGGGTCCGGGTCTGGAAATACTTTTGCTTCACCCCACCTTACAGAATGCTGACACGTGCGGGTCTGCAAACTAGGCCTGCTTGGGATTAGGGAAGAAGAGAAGGCAGATGGAACGTAAACACAACGACGGGAAGGTCTATGGCTGGTGCTTATATTCTGCGATATTGACATTCTTTATATTTCTTCGCTTGATGGCATTGAAGCTAATATCAGACTTTGCTGGTTTGGGGTGATGAGGGGGACCAGAAGGCGGATCGACCCCAAACGGACCCCTGCCTAGAACTTCGCCACCAAGAACGCAGTGGATACGTACCAATAGTGGAGGGTCGCAGCACTGGTTATTTGAGGTTCTATTGAATATGAGGCCGCAGGGCGGAGTCATTTTCTTGGTGCAGAAGGAGCAGATTTATTACGATTCAGGAACCTCCGAATACCACCAGTACCTGCACTAGGGAAATAAGTGTCAGCGCTGTAATTGATGCTGAAGTCGCTAGAACTTTAGGCTATTGAAATCTTACCGAGGCTCCTTTTTGGACTTGGATAATGCAATTCTTGCAGTTTGCTAAATCCAAAACACCTAAGTATGAGTCAGGAGGAATCAGGCATTCAGCTTTAATTTACAGTCTATCGGTACCCCAACTTTGCTAGAAATCAAACAATGTTTCCAACTTTTTAGTTTTGGTCTGCTGTTAGCTATGCTGCTCGTGTTTGTAGTTTACTACCAAGCTACGAATGTTTTGCAAAAGATAAATGTTGACAAAATACATTCTATTGTTGCGATATATCATCATCAACTCCGTCCTCCCCGGCTAACTCCGAAGGCAATCTAGCCTCGGTACTGGCTGGGCGTTTCACCAGATGCCCAACTGCAAGGCCAAACTCCCCACTTGTCGCTTTAATAACACATATGATCGTCAAAGCATACTCGCTCACGATCACGCTAACTCTTATTTTTATTCCCTGCTGAATATGTCAACCGATCTCTGCAAATACCTTGTCGATATGGCAGTTCAATGCACGAAGTAGAGTTCGTCATGTATCTGGGGCTGAAGAGATGTTCATCCACTAGATCACCAAGAAGTTAGCTTACAGACTCACCTCGAGATCTTGAGAGGAAATTAAGAACGGCCACTTACGATTGCATCAATACTCGGCGGGCCAGATGTCAGCATCGGTCCTCCCTCTTCGACTACCCCAGTCGACGGGTTAACTACTTTCCCATCGACAATAGGGCGACAATATATGGCGTCTCAAATGCCGTAGGCATGATCCAACCCGTCATATACTGGGCAAGACATGGTTGCCTGTGGTGTCTAAACAACACGCAGAATTAGTCTTTTCCGCTTCTCTGTTTGTATTTATTGTACTCTTACTCTTTGCTGACCTTTACTTCGAGCGCTTAAGTATTCTTCAACGGATTGGCCAACTCTCGAAGTCAATCATCCAGCGAGAGAGGAAAAGGCACGGAACCGGCCTTCGCGTGAACGACAACCGGTTGTTGACAATTGTTGAGAAGAAACCAGATGAACGATCACAAACAGAGGAATGGAAGTGTATATCAAATGTTGCAAACTGTCTAGCATGGTTGTCTGCGGCTGTTGCATTTTACCTGTAAGGTGGCGCCATACTTCAAAGTGGTAGCGAATCAGCAAAGCTGTTGGTGCTTCTTGCTTTCTCTAACAGATACCAGTCTCCACCTTTCGTATCGATCATGAAGAACCACATCCAATTGTGTTTCTATCGTCTTGATTGGAATGGCACGCTTACCCATATGTCATTAATCGGACGCTCCTGCATGACAGTCTGAGATAAGAGTCTTTCGCCAGCAGCAACCGAGGCTCGAGTTGAGATTGGGGCAATTTGTTGGTAGAATCTATGGAGACCTACACAGTAATATATATATTATCAATTTCTGTATCAATTTTCAAAATTTTGCTTCCGAGCGATGAGCTTCGAGCAAACGTGGGCTTACCAGCAAGTCCTTGAAAATATGATCTATAACTTCGACTCTTCGACTCGTCGAACAAGCACTCTCGTCGATTTCGCTGGGGTGGAAAGCGGCGGCTCCGTATGTGAGACTGGAGGGTTGCGAGAAGGTACTGTTACTAGTCTAAGTGGTCTCGACAAACACAGTGACCAGATTATCCAGGCTAGAATTCCTGTGATTATGCACCTTCAAGTACAGATCAGGACATCCTGGCAGCCGTCGCAAGGAGAGACATCTTATATCGCCGGAAAATGGATCAGGTAAGCCGCTGGAAAGCATGTGGTGTACTTCATCAGGAAAATTGTGGACAGCAGACCAATCCCAACTGCGACTCGACGCGGTGTAATCGCCCAGGGTGCTGGTGATGGGATTTTTTGAAGAAGCTTGGAAATAGAATTCATACAGAATCTACAAAAAATCAAGACCGCGATCGTCTTTGAGAACAACCTGACACGAGAAAGGGTTTGGACAAAAAGACTTACGACAAACCTCTCATTCACCAACCCTCGATTCACCGTACGCATATACATCACTCCCGCCCTGCCCAGCGCCAAACGCAACCACAGCACCCATGAGATAAAACACATCATTCCCAACACAATTGATTCCTCTAATCGCGCCACCATTGTCTTCAAACTCTTGACATCTGTCTATGAAGTTTTGCCATAGTCCACCTGCGCCGGTAATGGCGTAGCTTTGGAGAGGTGAAAGTTCAGCATCATGATGGATGGGATAAAGGTCCAGCTAGGGTGTGAGGATGGGAGACAAACATCGTTAGGGATGAGAAGCCGGCGATGTAATTTATGGAGCGGTATGCGTTGGTGAGGAAGGTGAGTGGAAGGAGGAATTCCATGGTAGGTTTTGGGGGAATAGGACGAGGAAGACAACAGAATATTGTGAGCGGATGATGCAGTACAGGCAGAGACGCGATTCGGGGCTTGAAAGCAGGGACGTGCAAAGCTGTGGGTATTTTTTCTGTGGTTGCGTTCCGCCAATTCTTGCCTCGAGTTGCTTGCTAAAGCTTTGAATAAGCTTGCTATACCCCGCTGTAGTAGTTACAAAGAGGGGGAGATGGGCAACAGTGATGCATTCAATTCTTCCCAATGCGGAAAAAAAAAAAATTCGCTTGACGAAACTTCTTCCTGTCATCGCTCGAGGGCGCAGGGTTCTTTGATTGCGCAGAACACACTTGAGTGTCTTTCTATTCCATCTCACGTTTTTTAGTGGTGCGAATAATTTTTGAGCTCAAATGCCAATCAAACATGTGGATCTGACAAGGGCGTTTCGTGACGGTACCCACAATTCCGCTGTGTTGAGACCAGGCTGTGGGTTCACATTCTATCACCACAACCACGAGGTAATTTACAACCCCAGATATTTAATAAATTCCAACCATGTGAACATTTTTCAACAAGCATTTATAGCCCTTCAGAATGATTTTTCCCAATGTGCGATTGCACCTCGCGAGAAAAATCTGGTAGATTATTTGTTTATTTACTTTCCAGCTTTAGCGAGAAATGCCAAGATGAGGGGAGAGCGCCGGAATGCTTGCTTGTGAAGCGAAATAGGACGCACAGGTTGACCTGTCGACTATTGAGATTATTAATTGTTATCTTTTTATTCGATCGATTCTTTCTGATTTGCAAAACTATCACTTATTTCTGTGTAGCGACTCTTGTGGTATCGTACAAACATCTCCTAATCCTTTCGATCTGTTTAAGAGGAAGTTTGGATACTGTCGCCTATCATCTCCTGCCGAATGGAGATTTCCCAGGTGACCCGAATATGTAGATAGCTCGTTGGCGAGATTGTATGAAAACGGAAAAAAAAAAAAGAAGAAGACGCCCAATACCCATCTTGAAGTTGTAATCAAACACAGAAAGACAAAGAGCGCAGCTGAGAAAGACTTTCTCAGTCAGCTGACTTCTGGCGTCTCTTATCCTTCACCACATCTCTCCCTCCATCTCCAGCTTTCAAGGTTTCAATCAAACTCATACCCTCCAACCCAGTGACCCCTTCACCGTTCCCTCGCCCAATACCAATCAACACACCTGAGAATCCATCGATGGCATTCCCACCTACCATCGCTCCATTCAATTCCTCCTGACTACTAGTCACCACGCCCAATCCACTCTTTCGTCTCGCTCCGCTGCGTGTGGCTCTCGACTGTCCAGCACCACCAGAAGTTCGTCGACCTGAGAGACGCTCTTTGATCTTCTTGCTGTCGGCGCGAGTTGTTGTTCCACCATTGTTGTTGCCGTCTGCTTTTCCACTGCCATTTTGAGACTGGCCATGACCGGCACCAGTATTGAAACTCAAACCGAGTCCAATACCCCCACCATCGCCAAAGTCAGAATCACCACTCCCATCTCCCTCATCACCACTTCCCCCCAAATTCGGACTCATCTTCAGCTTCTTCCTCGCAACCTGCCCATAACCATTCCCATTCGGCGACCCCTCACCCTCAGCGTCCACCCACCTAATAACAATCCGACATTTCCCTCTACTCATACTCTCCCTAATCCTCCTCCACCTACTCTCCTCTTTATACACACCCTCATAAAACACATCCCACCATTTCCCCACCCTCGCATGCGGAACCTCCGTGCTCCTATCGCGATACTTCCTATCATCGTCCTTCCGCTCCTCGCGGCTCAGATTCTCAATCTCAGCTTCCCAGTCTTGCACGCGGGTCTGGTATTCGGCGAGGGTGCAGGGGCCAGAGGCGTCGGTAGCGTACCAGGAGCCGATGTTGTCGATGGAGAGGATGGCGAAGGCGTGGTCGTTGGGGTCGTTGATTGTGGTGGTGAGACTGTGTGGGGTGGTGGGGTTGGGGCTTGGGACGGTGAAGTGCGGGGATGAGAGGGAGAAGAATTCGAAGAGGGGGGTGCCTTGGAAGGAGAAGTCGTAGTCTTTGCGTTTGTAGATCCTCTTGGGTGGGGAGGGAGTGGTGTCTGGTTCGGATGGTGAGGGATCGCGGGGACGTGAGCGTGAGTTGAGTTGGGAGGTGCGGTAGGATGGTGCGAGAGTGCGGATGTAGGATGTTGCTGGAGGATCTGGAGGTGCGTGGTCGTCTTTGCAGTCTGGGTAGGCGGTAACGTTGCTTGCTGGACAGGCGAAGACGACATAGGATGTCGGAACGGGCATTGGGAAATCTGGAGGAGGCCGGACAACGCTGAGGGGCTTAGGTGTCCAGATTCCTAGTTTGGCCCATTTTTCGTAGTGTCCAGAAAGATCAGGGTCGGTGTTGGTCTCGGTTGGGGAGAGTGTCAGGATTGGTCGGGAGATGAGGAACCAGATCCAAGTTTGGGTGCCTTGTGTTGGCAGACCGGTGGTTGGGTTGTTGTAAGTTGTTGGTCTATATTGTCAGCATCTCTTCTGCGTACAGCTAAGTGATGTGATTTTGTAGGAATACAAGGTAATGACGAAATGAGCAGACACGACTTACAGATCAACCTCATAAACATCGGCTCTCTCATGCAAGCCGCCACCATTATAGTGTGCCACCAAATCATTCGCATGCTCACCCGTCCTCATATCAGGCGTGAAATCATGGAACGAGATAGTCCTACACTCTCTCTTTCTCTGCGTACCTGTCTCCTTACCACGACTCAACAGCCATTCTCGCAATCCTTTTCCAGTTTTTTCGTCGACCTGACCGAAACCCCAGGGACTGATTGGACTGAGGGGACTGCGGAAGGGGAGACTGACACCGCTGTCTTTACGTCGGTCGAAACCGCCGCCGATAGTTTTTGACTGATTTTGGGAGGGGATTGCGGGAGACAGGTTGCTGTTTTGATTGGAAGTGTTGTTGGTAAGGCGGTGGAGGAACGGACTGTGGTTAAGTGGGACATCTGGAAGTTCTGTGAGATGTCAGTATGTGCTCTTGGAAGAACTCAAGAACCAATACACAGGAACCCATTTCCAAACGACAAGGATTGGAACTAGATATCGATGGACATCATAGCAAATTGAAGCTCATGGCAGACTCGGTAATCATTATTGCCAATTGATGAAGAGAGAAAAGACCGAACAAAGTGATGGGAGTAGTAAGAAGCTGCCATCATCGATAGCCAATTGTGCAGAAAAGACCTCAGCAGGCAAGATACAGGTAGAAATTTGGCTAGTACAAAGTAAAAGGAAATGATAGCAGAAGAAGAAAGCAAATGTGACGCCTTCATGGGCAATAGTAATACCCCAATCAACGACAGAGAATACAAACCCAAAAGACAGAAAATCAAGGAGAAGCGACCACAGCAACAAAACAACAAAAACAAAACAGCACAACAAATCCAAACCACACAGCGAAAACCAAAACCACCTACCAAAATCCAAACAATTCCTCTCCCCAACAACAGCCTGCAACCTCCCACTCGCCAACCCCACAAACCCCATCCTATTCCTCACCCCCTCATCCAGCACCGCTCTCGCCTCCCTAGCGCTCAACTCCTCCTCTCCATCCTCGACTTCGATTCTTCCTTTTCCAACCATACGGTTTTCGTCTAGGAGGGGTGGAAGCCCGCCTTCGAGGTCGGATTTTTGGGTTAGGGCCGCGTCGAGGGTTTGGAGTGTGGGGAGGTGCGGGAGGAGTCGGATTTGGAGGTTTGGGGGGGCGGGGAGGGGGAGTGGGAAGGGGGATGTGAGGGAGGGGAGGGGGGAGGAGGATGGGGAGGAGGAGGGATGGGATTGGGGAGGGGGGTAAGTGGTTGATGTGGATGTGGATGTGGTTGTTGGGTATTGAGGTGCGTAAGGGGGGAGAGGAGGCGTCGAGTGGTCTGAGTAGCTATATGTTGGAGAGGAGGCCATGGTGTCGTTAATGGGATCGCTGAAATGATTGGAGTGGTAATCGACTACCATTGTAGTTGTAGTCGTTGACGAGGTTGGTGTTGGTGTGTGCGTGCTGAGTAGAGGGAGGCAAAGACCTTAACTCGTGTTTTGCAGAAAGATATCTATCTGGTGGAGAGTCTGAGAGTAATTGGCCGCGGTTGAAAAGGTGAGGTGAATGAGCATTCGTCGTCTGGTGGGAGATGCCGACAAAAAAGAGTATATCATGTGGATGTCGGTTCTGTGAGTGAAGCGATGCCTCTTGTCTAGCTGAGAGTCAGAGAGTCAGAAGCAACCAGGTAGGTGAAGCAGAGTGAATATCAGCTTTCTCGGTCGAGAGCCTGTGATGAAGATGGAGACTCTAGCTTACTTCTTAGTTTACTGAGTCTCTATGTGAGGTTCTGATGAGGATTTTCGAATTGTAACGACCTGCGGAATGTGAAACACCAAGATTAGTGACAAAATATTGGTGTTGGAATGTCCGAGCTGGTGTGATTTGATCTATGTTGAAGGTGAACTCGAAAGAAGTCGATGCCTGGAATTGTATTCACAGTAAGAAAAGTCTAGATTTCCAGGATCGAGGAATTCAAACGTGAACTCTTCCTTAAGTGAGATGAAATCGAGGTATAGAAATCAAATTGCCTTAGTAGTCCAAATCACCAGCGTTTGCTGCCAGACTGAACCTCGTTGTTGTTTTTAGAGAAAGCGAAACAAAGATATGCTGAGAAGTTGACAGTGTCAGTTATGATGACGATGATGGTGAGCAGCGGGAAGTTACTCAACCCATTTCATCAGTGAATTTCAATTTTCAAACAGCATAGACTCTTGTTTATGACGTCGTAAAACCCCTCGAACTGTTAAAAACTCTCAAAGACACAGAAAGGAGTAGTATATCAAGAAGAGCAAACACCTCCAAGATTCGCACTCTCCCCTTATCATTGGTAACTATATCAACGTCCACGTCCATTCCCAACCGCCACCAAAATCAACACCTCTCTCTCTCAAAGTCGAACCCATCCTTCAAAATTCTTTCTCGAAAGTACATACATTTCAAAACTCTCATTCAACCCATCTCATCCCATCTAGTCTCATCTCTCAACGTCCCCCCCTTCTCGCTGGCCACCCTCTCGCTGGCCGCCGAGACAGAACTACAAGAAACCTAAATTAAACCTGCAGCTAGCTTCCTATCACAGAAGAATAACCCAGGGACGTCCAGCATGGGACAATAACTTCAGGGTTTTAGAGTTCTCTGAGTGGTTGTGGTTGGCGTGGTGGAGGTTGATTAGGTAGGCTGGTAATTAAGTAGGTAGGTAAGATACTCCCTCACTAAGCATCTAGAGCGGCGAAAAATACCTACCTATCCTGCCTTCTTCTGTCTCTAAGGGATACATAGATTCATAGAACCGCAGTGAGCGTGAGCGAGACCACCTGCAATACATCACATCCATCACGTCCAGTCAGTCAGTCAAATGTAGCTATCTTCCCATTGCACAAGAAGGAAAGAGAGAAAGATGATTGTGTAGTTCGGATATACACCCGGAATAATTGCACTCTCGGTTTCTAGTAAGTAAGCTAGGAAAAATCACTTGCCTGAAAATATCTGACTGGAGCACGTGACTGGAGCTTGGTCGAGTTGAAGCCAAAGCCAGCAAGCGAAGAGGAGGTGAAAAAGTCAGCACGTCAGTACCGTTGCGAGCGAAATGAATGAGTATTTCAGGACTCATAGTTACTGGACACTTAAGACTGGCATTTAATTTACACTTGCATACACGTGCACACGCAGTAAATGCTAATGCGAGTGGCTTCAAAGGCAAATATTCCGTATTGGCATTTCTTTGCCTGTCTATTTTATGTACAGTCCAGGTGTTCATCTATCCATTACTACCTCCATTCACTTCACTTGGCATTACTTCACTTTGCACCATCTCTCTCCATCCATCCATTCAACCATTCATGTACAACCATCCACCCCTCATTCTCCATCCTCCACCACATAGCACCACAATGCAATGCACATATACATCTCCTTCGCTCACAAAATGCCAAAGAACTCCCTCTCCGTATGTAAGAAAGTCCCAATGCCAGAGAGCCCTCACCCACGAGCTCCTTCCGATCAAGTGCCGAGAGAGAAAAGACAGGAAAAGAACTCCATAAAACGCCGCGCTATCGTCTATCATGCGCTCATGCAAGGTATATTACTCATTCAAACAGTGAAACAGAAAAACAAAAACAATCAAAGGGCCTGCTTTCTATCTCCAGCTGCTGTATTCGCTTTTCGCTCTTCTTCAAAAGTTGCATGTACGCCATGTATGTACGGAAACAATGCTGGACAAAAGACAAGAAACGTGTAGTGCGATGAAATGCAGAGGTTTATAGGAACCACATGAAGCAGAGCATGACTGCGACGAGGCCGGCGCTCATGCCAGCAATCTCTTTGCTGCCATTGGCGCCACCCTTGTTGGTGGATGAGGCAGATGCGGCGCTGCCTGTGGCGGTTCCGGTGGGTGTGCCGGTGGTAGAAGCAGTTGTGGCTGTCTCCAAAACCTGACCGATGCTGGGGAGGGCCACATTGCCATTGACCAACCAGCCTCCAGCTGTTGAGCTAGGGCATGCTGGAGGAGTGATGGATGGGGAGTAAGCGGAGCTGGCGACTCCCTTGGGGTGGAGAGTAGCCCAGACCTTTTGGAGATTGGTGAAGTCTGGTGCGACTGGGGTGGGAGTTCCACGTCGGGAGAAACCGCCTTCGATATCTGAAGCTACAACGGTGGCTGAGACGGGAGGTCCGTACGAGATGAGACCGTAGTTGTTGGCTTCCTCGATCCACTCGTAGATGATGGCTCCAGACCAGAGGTCGTCCATATCAGGTCCTAGGATGGCACCTTGGTCCTGGAAATCACGAGGTCGGACAGTGTTGCAGCCTGTCTCGGAAAAGAAGATCGGGATGTTGATGTTCTCAGCGAAGCTGTTGAGTCTGTTGTAACCCGAGGTTGTCATGTCGTTGGGACCACACCATTCATAGGCGTTCAGGCCGAAGAAATCGACAGCCTCGGCGGCATTTGATCCACACGCAAGATAATCTTGCAACATAGGGCGAAGTTCAGCGATATCAGCCGCAGAATATCCAATTGGAATCTTTCTGTAGCCTTTTTTGTCTCTGTACGTCTTCATGTCTCTTGCGGCAGCCTTGATGTATGGTGCGGCGAGGGACTGGTTGTTTAGGGCAATGACTTCGTTTCCAATAAAGAATCCAAGAGTATTGTCATAGGTGTGGAAGGCATCCATGACTGCGGCAAAGGCGTCGAATTGGGATTGGTTCCACGATGTATGGATCTAGTAGGCCATTAGCAATCAATCTTTTAGTTTGAGGTTCGAGACACGTACTGGGTCGATATCCGTCTCGAAAGTGTCCAGATCAACCAAGAGATAGATACCAGCATTCGCAAAGGCAGTCATACAACCGCTATGGTCTCCCTGGGGATCAACATGGTATACACGAATAGCATTTGCACCCAATGTTCCCATCAGATCAGCGTCGCGTTGGCATTGCTCGGTATCGATTAATGGATCGGCAGGTGTGAGCTGATAGGCAATTCCTGCGCAACGATTAGCTACGACCTCGCACACGCGGCGACTTCCTTACCCTTCATGTAGTACTGAGTTCCATTGCTGTAGAAGAACTTTGTGCCTTTGGTGGAAATCTGTGGAACCGCAGCCTGGACCGAGCTGACAGCTAGGCAGGCAAGCAGCACAGCTTGGGTGAGGGATTTCGAGAACATCCTGAAGACCTGCGGGAGGATGATGTTGAAGCTGTGCAACAGTGTATCGTCGCAATATGGGTATCTTGCAGCTTCCAACGCGTTTCGAGATTGAAGCTGAGAATAATTGAGCGAGTGTTGTTGTTGTTTTTTGCTCGGAGGTCTCGACCAGGAAAAGGACCAAGCTTCTGTTTGTGGAACTGGGAAGTGGAGAACTTCAGAGGTAGCGACTGTTTGGACGATATACCTAATCGATAACCTTATGCAACGAGTGTGGAGTCTCGATGGACTGTGCGTAAGTAATTAAGTGATTACTGCTGCACTTGATGGAGCTTGCCCAGAAGTCTTAATGCCGCAACTAGTAAAAGTGAGGCAGAAGAAAAGAAGAGAAAGGAGGAATTGCGATAGAGTTGGGGGTGGGGGTGGGTTGTCAACGCGGGTGGGCTGGGCTTGGCTTGGATTGGATGCTTGCAGCTGCAGTATCCAGGAGAGCAGAGGAGAAGGAGACGAGAGCCGAGTTGGATGGATGGGACTGGGACTGGGACTGGGACTGGGACTGGGACTGGAGGATAAGGAAGGATGCGAAAGTGCTGTGACGAAATCAGCGTGTTATCCCAGCACAGCGATTGGCTGTCGATGTTTTATGCTGGGGTTTATGCAGACAGCGTAGGGGTTTTGTGAAATTTATCCCGATAGCCTTGCCAACGACACCACAGTTCTGGCGAGATGATCTCCTTTCCTTCCTGAATTGCCTCTTCCTCTTCTCAAAGAACCAACAAAAGAAGAGATGTATGCCCCAAACACTCATCCTTCGCCATCGCCATCGCCATCCTCCCATTATTGACATCCATCCTCGCCCCCGCCTCAGCACACACTTTTTGCCATCCACCAACTCATGCGATTTTTAGTCGCACCAACACCGATAACAAAACCTTCTAGCTCCCAGCTAAGATAAGTGTTTCTGTCTTTCCAAGGCACAGGCAACGGTTAGCATTTGGTAGCGCAGCCAGCTCCAAGCCGGATGAAGATAGGCGCGTGCAGGGAAACGCGGCCAAATGGTCGTGATTCGGTCGCTTTCCATGTGGCAGATCGGCTAGAAGGCAACCTGATCCAAGTTTCTTGGCTGATGTCTTAAGTGCGGCAGCGGCAGCTATTTTGGTGGTGTCCTGATCTGCTTGTTTCGTGTTCTGTTGACTTTGCCAAGACACGGCACGGATGCCACCACATGCAAATATTTAACCATGTCGGGATCTGAAGGAATAGTAGTGCAGCACTCTCGATGTCAACGACGACTCAAAAGTTTTGTTTCCTTTATCGAATCAAGGTGTTCATCTTTGCTAGAGAGGTCAAGCTCGAATGACTACCAAGCTTGGAAGTTCAAGTCAATAGGTCTGTCATCCTTGCCTCTCCAAGCTCTAGGCTCAAGCCGAAATGGAAACATGTTATTGTTATCACCTCGCGGGTTATGCTCATTTACATCTGATTCCGTCCAACTTTGGTAACAGATCCATGACAGCAATGCGGACTTCCAGAGCCTGGAGGTGTTTTCTTTGTCATTGTCAAATCGTTTCTCACCCGTTCCATGAGCTCTAATTGAGCACATCATATGTATTTTAGTTCTCTTCGCGTTCATGCCTATTCAGTCCAAAACAGTCTTGCTCCTCTTCATCTTGGGATTGAATTCCTTCTTTCCTACTTCCGACTTACCTTGTCATCATCACCGCACTTTACCACGCGAGAAACAAGTCAGATCATGCACAATTCACATCACGTGACCCAGTCGAGGGATGCCATTGTTTTGAAAAGAGTGTTTCAATATTAAATCACAAAAAAATCAGACGTTGCGAACAAAAGAAATCCATCCCTCGCCCGCCACTCTAGCAGAATAGATGACAAATCCCACCACGGTGCGAAAGCGGTGTTCAAATCTGCCATCTAAATCATACAACAATACTTGCTTAGTTAAAACGTGAGAGTGTCACGAGTTCATCTATTCAAGAACTAGAGTGGCTAAGGCTCAGGATACATACGAGCAGCTGCAAGAACCTGTTCCGTCGCACTCGGGACAGTGAGATCTGGATCCTGTTAATATTCTTCTTCTGTCTTTCGTCTTCTTGGGGATATATTGCGAGACTTACGCTATCGAATAGTCTGATGTGGTACGAAGACTGTGATCAGGTTCCGGATCCTTCCAGACGTCGGGATCTCCATCATTCGGCATGGAGTCGCCTGGAGCGTCTTCGGCAATCACTGACATGCGTATGTCAGGCTCTTCTGGCCATTTATCATAGCCTTCATGATGGTCTTTGTCTCCCAAACTCTTTCTTATGTTCGGTTCTTCTGGCCATTTATCGTAGCCCTTGAGCAGGTCTTTACCTCCCATACTCTTTCGTATGTTCGGTTCTTCGGGCCATTTATCATAGCCCTTGAGCAAATCTTCTGGAATCGAAGGATCTCCTGGTTTTCCAATCAAGACCGGCCAGGGGCTATTGACTGCGCCATACGCTTCACCAAAGAGGACCAAGTCTTCCCTCAGGCTCCGCACGAGACGGACAGCAATATGCATGTAGCCACTTTCTCTCAAGGTACGCATCGTGTCCGATATCAATTTCCGAAATTCTTCAGTCGTCCAATTGATCAGGATAACGACGTGATCGAAGATAATGGGGCTTTGAGTGTTGTCGAGGAGAACTCGATCGGGTTGAGACCCCATAAGCCCAGGGCTGTAGGGGACCGCCATGATTTCTAAAGGCGAAGTTAGTGTCATACTTCGAATTTTTGGCATTGGGCTGTAACCTCGTTGTGGTTCTATTCACTGCTGATCGAGGGTCAAAACACTCGTCACAGAGAAGTTGCCATTGCCATGCGGCGTCTGCCAAGTTTCTTTCCGAGCTGGAAAAAATCCAGAAAACGACATGCGAGGTAGGTCGCAATAAATATTGCGGTGGGCGGAAGCAGCGTTGAAGAGAAATGCGCCCGACTTGGGCTGCTCGCGAGGCACATTTCAGCTGTGCCGATGGCTTTCCTGCAGCCTCGAGTGATGCCAACTCATTCTTTACTTGCATATGTTTCAGCCTACCCAGACACTTCATTGGTAATCCTTGCGAAATCAATAAGCATGCCCTAGAGCTCAAAACACCTAGCTCATCCTTCGACTTCATCACCAGTTCTTTGCAACTTACGAAGTCCGGACAATCCGAATATTGTTTTTACTACATCTAATGGAGCCGATCGGCGCGGCAGCATCTCTTGTTACTTTATTGGCAGTCTCGAAGGGCATTGCTGATAGAGGTCTGCTTTTGGTCAAACGATATCGAGGGTATTCTGCGGCCCAGGCTGTGGTCCGAGATCGGTTGCTTCAGCTGGAGGTACAGCTCAGCCTGCTCAACGAAGTCAAGAAAGCCATCTCAGAATCCAATATTCTATCGGATGACGTGAAGACACAACTTTTAGAAAGTCTTTGTAATACTCACTTCTCATTTGAGTCGATACGAGATCTTTTGGCCCAAAATTCTGAGGAGGGAGGAACTCGAGCACGGCTGCGATGGGCTCGAAAAGGCGAGGCTGAGGTTCGAGACTGGGTCGAAAAGCTTGCTCAACATGGCCAAAGCCTAGGCGATCTGCTCAGTACTCTCCAGGTGTATGAAGCTATTCAGATTTCAATAAAGTCTTGTTGACATGGGTCCAGCAAACTGTCAGCGCATTCACTCAAAATAAGCGAAGCTTCCGACAGCAAACTGGCTCTCATCGTCAAGAATCAAGATGAAGAGAAGCAAACCAAAAAAATCGCTCGATTTAGGGAAATTCGCAATAGGAACGAAAGAGTCAGGTCTAGGTCTGACGAAGGCATGCTCTGGTGTCTTCTTCTCCGGCTACCACCCGGTATTCGCAATCTCACATTCCTACAAAATTACAAAGTTCAATTCAGCTTCTCGGTCCTATGCAAGCCGATAATACCACACAATATAGTGCCAGATTCGGCAGAGATCTTTGAAGCTTGCAAGTCTGGCGATGCACTTGGTGTCAAGCATATCCTGGATTCAGGAGAGGCTAGTCCCCGCGATACCACATCACAAGGCTCAACACCTTTGCGAGTAAGTAACTCTTACTCCCGTGCGGATATTTTAAATCCGAATTTACTAAAAAATAAGTTCGCAATCGAAAGTGGCTCGATGTCACTCGTACAGCTACTTCTAGATTACGGAGCAGATCCGGATACACCATTTGGACAGATGCAAACGTGAGCTCTCCCTGCCAGTCTCTATCAACGCCTATACACTTTGTCCATATTGTCTAATCGCAAATACAATCAGGTCACCGATCGCATGGGCCTTTGGAGCTCGCCAAATAGAAATTGCACGCTTCCTCCACTCTCGAGGCGCAGACATCGATTCTCCAAACACAAACGGATGGACACCGCTCTTCTACCTCTTCGGCTCAATCGGTAGCGTCGACCAAGACCATTCCCCAAAACCACCAGAACCATCGCTTACAAACAACTCCCCGATATCAGAGTACATCCAATTCCTCACCTCCTCCTCCCCCCTCCACGACATCAACGCCCGCGACTCCCGCGGCTTCACCAGCCTCCACCGCGCCTCCATCCACGGCCAAGGACCAGACATCCTCCCCTTCATCCACGCACAAGCATGTCTCTCCCCAAAGACCAAACTCCTCCAATAGACACCGATATTCATGGCTGTGCACGCCAGCAATCTCTCGACGTTCAATGTCTTGGCTGATCACCAGAAAGGGTATGTTCATGAGAGGGATATTCAAGGGTGGACGCTGATGCATGTCGCGGCTAGGAAGGGGTGTAGAGGGATTCTGGAGAGGTTGTTGGGGGATGGAGCGGATTTGTGGGTGCGGAGTGATGGAAGGGCGAGGGCTGTGCCGGAGGGGTTGAGAGGGAGGGAGGTTATGCCTATGGATGTTGCGAGGGTGGCGGGAGGTAGAGCGTTGAAGGTGTTTGTGGATGTTTTGAGGGATTGGGATGGAGAGGTAAGGGTTATTTGGGAGGGTGGCGAGTGTGATGTTTTCTTTCCTTGTATTGGAGGTTAGGTTATTATGTTGATCTAAGATATGTTGCCGATGGTCAGCGACCCCCTTTCAGTCAACGAAGAGGGTCTTCCTGTCTATCAAATAATCATCCAATCAATACTTGTAGATTCCTTCCACCTCTTTCCCTCATTCTCCTTCTCATTCTCAAACCTCTGCAGCCACAACGACTTTGAAATACCTGTCCTCATTACCCTACTATAAATCTCCTTCAAACACTCGACCGTTCCACTTAGTTATCCCAAACTAATCTACGCTTAAACCATCAGCTTTTCTAACCATACCATCCAATACAATTAATCAAATGCGAATCTTCAATATCAGCAGTTAAACTACATTTCTGACCTTAACTACACGAACCATCTAACAAGACCCTCGTGTCAAATCACCTTCGTCCCATCTCCACACGCACCTGCACTGACCTACCTCCTTTCAAGAACGCACCAGCGCACCAAACCAAACCAAATCAACACACCACCCAAATCAACAAATGACACAGCCCTTACAAATCTCCGAACTTTTATTTCTGCTTCTCTCTCAGCCTCAAAACGCCCGAGCTTCACCCTGTGCATCACATGACATCCTTCCCAACCCTCCAAGTTGTGATGACGGGAACTTCTAGCTCAAGCAACATTGAAAAGATCTAGATTTCGGATTTCAGATTTCATATTCCGCTATCAAACAGCACTCTCCATAATCTCCTTCGTATGCGCCGAGTTCATATACTCTCTAATCGTCACAACTTTCCCTGTCTCTTCGGAAAAGATCAGGATCCAGCAATATCTGGGTGGAGAGTTGGCGTTAGCTTGGGTTTATGTATAGTATAATATGAGATAAGATAAGATAAGGTAAAATGTAAAATGCAAGATGTAAAATGTAATGTAATGTGAACTTCAAGTTTTTTAATTACATGGCTGTTAAATGACTATTTTTTAAGAGGATGGAAAGAAGTAGAGAAGAAAATGAAAGGAAAGGAAAAATAAAGAAAAGGAAAACTCACGTATTCCTATACGGCCTCCCATTCTTCTGCGTCTGCCACCCCCTCGCCTCAAAAATAGCTTTATTCCCAATGACGTCCAGCTCATCGACCACCATGTGTACGGGGCCTTGGAGGTGTTCTAGGAAGGGTGTCATGAGGTCGCGTTTCCAGGATTCGACGTTCTGTACGTGGAGGGAGGGGGTTGTAAGCTTTGGAATTTACGCGGAGCCCAACTTCCTGTCTTCCTTTTTCTTTTCTTTTTATGGAGAAGTGTAATAGGAATTTTGAAGTTGGACAAAGAAATTGCATTGGAAATGAAGGATTGTAGAGAAATGAAAGTGGAGAAGTGAAATGAAAAAAAAGACATACATAAACACCGGCCTGGGACAACGGATTCCGCTCGGGATCTACCACCATCCAGTGGACTTCTGGGTCTAGCGCGTTGAGGAGAGGTGACCAGTTGCCTTCGGCGCAGGGGGTGAGGATGTCTTTGACGTATTTGGTTGTGAGGAGGAAGCCCATTTTTGGATTTGATTTTGTTGGTTTTATTTTGCTTTGTTTTGGAAAAGATAAGTGAGTTTGGGTTAGAGGAAACTCTGGAAAGGAGTTGATTGAGGGGGATGATCTGGGGTTTAGATTGGGGATGAGATGACTCTACTTCTTTTATTTATATTTCTAGCGGGGAAGTGGGGTCTTCCTCTTTCGGTTGCTGCGCATTTGTCAGCCACGTACCTCATCCTTGTTTTTCGATGGATAGTTGTGTTATGATGCGCGTAATTCTTGGTTGTAGAAGATCAAGAGTGATTGGCAATCAGCGAGTAAGATCGCTGGCCTTAATGTATTGTTTTGTTTCGGACGGGCATGGGATGCCGAAGCCCGGTTGATTATCCGTGATTCGGACGGGACAGAATTGGATATTTCTTGTCTATTTATCGACTATGAAAGAGTATATTAGTGATTATATTGGAGATTCATTATATTAGCTGTTTTGTTCCGCACCATACTGCGCTGTAATTTATCTACGTTGTGGAATTCGTGCCAGTGGACTTCGATAAGATGACGTTCAGGCGAACCATGACATACTTGCTTGAAATTTCAAGCATCGCAGATGCTAGAATGCTCCTCTGAAAATAATGTCCCATTCTAAATCTCAAGTTAGAAAAGTTGGAGTTCGGTCTCTTGGCCTTGCCGAATTGTCCGGGTGAGGTGTGAAAGACCGAATCAGCCATATAAGCAAGCCACAACTTGAATATTAGCGACTACATTTATTCAGGAATAAGGACTTGATACTTGATTCGTTGAATGAAGAGATGGAACTGCTTGACGTTGGTCTCGTGGAGTAGGTAAATTATGCCGTCTGGAGATATTGAGCCTGCGGCTTGCGGGATCGACCCCACCTTTGGGCACGTTGAAAGTGGCGGATCGTTTTTACAGCACGTTGGCCCAAGTCTCCTCCCTTTTTAGACTACAACTCATCGCTGCACTCAGCAACTCATCCTCCGCCAATCATTCCTCATAATCGCAGAGCAATAATTATTCCATCTTGTCGCCCTTTGTAAACAAACCTTTAACAAGCGAAACTCGGGTAATTCAGGGGTCGCAAACCTACCCCACTTTCCGCCACCAATATGGCCTCGACTGAAATCAATACCTTGTTTTCGGTGAAAGGTAGAGTGGCACTAGTTACTGGTGGAACGAGTGGGATTGGCCTTATGATTGCAAAGGTATGTTTAATGTTTACCTCGTTGACCAATTGAGGATTTTGGTACTAACAATCTAATGCTTTTATCTAGGGTCTCGTGACCAATGGAACGAAAGTCTATGTTTGTGGATTGGAAAGCGATCCAATTTCCGAGGTCGAGAAGGAATTAAATGATCTGGGAAAGACGTCTGGTGGGAGTGCTATAGGGTAAACGTCTCTATTCCTCTTGATACCGGTGAATGATTGTGCTTTACCCCCAAGCAAGGAACAACCACGTCTTGACATTTACTTATGTTAAAGTATCTCAGATTTTCATGCGACCTTACAAGTAAAGAAGGCATCTTAGCCGTCTCAAATCACCTCCGAACCACCGAATCCCATCTCGATATCTTAATCTCCAACGCCGGCATCCGTCGCGACCCACCAATCTCCTGCGACGTCCTCAACGCACCTCTCCCTGAACTCCAAGCCTCGCTATTGTCGTCCTCCTATTCAGACTGGAATGAATCCTTCCAGATAAACACCATGGCGCACTATTTTCTCTCTGTAGCTCTATTGGATTTGTTAGCGAAAGCAGCGGATATGGAGATGGGGGATGGGAGTAAGGGGAAGGATCATGGGAGGGGAGTGGTGGTTATCACGAGCTCGATTGCGAGTTTGCATTATGCGACGAATGTGGATATGATGTCTTATGCGTCGACGAAGGCGGCGACAGATCATTTGGTGGGGTTGTTGGCTGCGAAGTATGCGAGGTGGTATGTGAGAGTGGTGGGGATTAATCCTGGTTGTAAGTATTCGTCCTAAGTCCCATTGAAGCGACTGCAACAAGGAGAAGTGCTGATCATGGAAGTTGTGCCAAGTAATATGAATCCTATGGGAACTGGGAAAGGCGCGGACATCTTTGGTGGCTTGGTTCAAAAGGTTCCAGCGAAAAGAGCTGGCAATGTTGATGATTTGGCTGGTGTGGTTTTGTTCCTTGTCAGTAAGGCGGGGGCGTACATTGAAGGAAGAAGCATTGCAATTGATGGGGGACGAACATTATTTGCCAATGGTCAAATATGATTGTAGCTTTGTCTGATAGAAGGTAAAGAGATCAACAGTGGTCGTAGAGACTCGAAAGTGATACAAAATATACAGATACAACAGTTTGCTGTGTCAGACAGCCACAAAATCATCGTAAATTCCAAGGAGTGTTGTGCGACGCTAGTCCAAATCTCAATGCACCCCCTCCCGCAACTCCACGACTGAGACGCCTCGCCAAAATGACAAATCAAAGAAGTCATTGTTCCTCAGGGAAGAGTCTTCCATTCGCTCCTCGCAAAACAACAACTCAAACTTCCTCATCAATGCTCAACTCTGGTAGAGGCTCATAAGGCTTGTCACCGCCGAACCTCTCATGAATCCTTCTCCACACATCTTCGCTGGTCTTATCCCTCTCGCACAAATCCAACAAATGCTCCTTCCTCAGCTTCTCCTCCACTGAGAACCAGATCATCGCTTTCCTCTCCCTATCCATCTTTGCCAAAACTTCTTCCTCGATGTACGTGAAGTTGTCGCCCTCATTATCGGCTCGGATATAATCGCCCATTCCCTTGGCATCAAGGTAGACTTTCATATCTGCCTTCCACACTGCGCACCGTGGGTATCTATCCATATTTGAGCCACCAAGTTTGCTGAGATGAATTGTAACACCGCCGATGGTATCGGTCCACGCTGTGTCGAGTATGTTGAGGCCATCGTCGGACCCGGAGCTTGATGATGATGTTGATGAGGCTCGAGTGCGGGGTTGTGATGGACGGAATGAGGGGCGAGAACGCCTTGGCGATCGTGCGTAGACCATATTGTACGAGTTACAAGTTTTCAAGTCTTTCTTAATTCTGTGGTGGAGTCTGAAGTATATTGTCAAGTCGCTTGACAGAACGGTTTCACTTCAAGCACAAACACTTGTACTTATACAGCAGGACACCCCACAATGTCAAGATATTGGGTTCCGAATGACTTTTTTAGCTGCCGGTAGGATCTGGGGTACTGATCCTGTGCCGTCAAAAGTGGTGACTTTTGTATTCTTGGATATCGTGGGGATCGGCATGCTTTTGAGCTACGGAGCCTTGTGGGGGTTGTCGGACGTCCGTGATGATGTCTTGCATACCGACTCGGTGGCTTACCTGACCACTTGGATTTCGCACCAGGTTCTGACATGTGAATTTCGATGTTTAGGCCACCGAGCTCGATGCAACAACCGAAAGCACGAAGCTTTGCAACGTGGTTTAGGAGCACCTAATGTAGGACGTTCAACCGAATGTTACGCGTCCATTTTGTGCGAATGAAGCTAGTCAGCAACACTCGATACCAAAAGGCTCTGAACTCATAGAAATAGGACGAAAGCAAGCAAATCATGTTCTTGGAGATTTTCGGCGACTTTTCATTCCCACGCAAGTACCCTCTCGGACTTCAAGACGTCAGTTGACTTACAATAGAAAGTCATTTCAAGTCTTCATGATAATATCAGCGAGAATGATGAAGAATCAGATACTGGCATCTCGGGAGCAAATATGTGAGTGCTTTGCAAAGCCAGGCGTTCAATAATCTCATGATTTTTTTCAAGTCGAGAGCTTGATGGTGTTTTTTTTTGTGGAAAGAAAGGGGCCGACCAAATCCCCCGACATGCTAGCTGAAACGAGCCGAACGCTAGACTGGTTACGGGGTAGTGGCGAGGACCACGACAACGCCAACCTCCTCCCCTTCTCATCATCAGCAAAGTTTCAAATCTTCATCATGGTTCTCACTCAAATCTTTAATCGTCATATTCTCATCCTGTACAGTCAGGGAAGGCATTGAGATAACCTCGGATGGCCCGTCCTGGACTGAATGCAAAAGCGGCACGTCTGCGTTTTGTGGAGGACTTTAGTGCCCATTGAGCTAGCGACTTCACAGCATGCTTGCCCTCAGCTCATACATATCAGATTCGAGATCACCAGCCAAAACGCATTCTGTCTTGGATTTTCGTGGTCAGTGGGGCTTCAAGTTCTGATATCTCTGGAGTGGGATGGGGAAATCTCGCCCGAATCCGGTCCGTAAGCTAAACCCGCATTCTGAGAAGCCACTTCCGTGATGTGGCAGATAAGGCTTCCAGCCGGCAGCCGAACCGCAACAGAAGTGCCGTTTCTTATGATTTGTGTCTACGGCCTACGCCCTCATTGTATGATGAAAGTTGAAGCAGTGTTAGGAACTTCAGAGCCTGAGACTGAACGTTGAGCACAAGGCGATCTCATCGTCGTCCACCACTATCACATTTGCTTTGCCGATTAGAAGTCCAAACCCTGAAACATAAAGAGAATTCAAGGTACTCGTACTTTTGGAACTTATCTTATCTCAGTGCTGCTGCCATGCCTTAGTATCAGAACCAATCAAGTCACCGCTATGTACGCAAAACAGTGGTACGGGAAGGCAAGCTCATAGTTGGGATGGAGTCCAGCGTTCACGACGCAAGTAGTTTCTTTTCAGAAACCTAAACTTGAAGGCAAGTGCCAAGTCCAAAGTTGGGTGTATCGGGTCTACAGAAATATAGAGACCGTTTCCTCCTTCAGATGAACATCACAAGTCAAGATACCATCCATTATTTCAAACTTACATGCTCAAAATGGGAGGCCTTACTTACGCGATGATGCTCGTTTGTTTAACAGCAGCGATCAACTGTGCCACAGTCGGGTATGATTCGAGCATGATGTCCTCACTGAACATTCTGGTATAGGAGGGATACTTCTTGAGGCAAGAGACTAGTGCTAATCAACGTTTCACAGAAAGCCTTCCAGACCCAGTTTGAGATCACCACAGAGCTTAAAGGACTCCTAACGGCGACTTAGAATCTAGGTGGTATCGTCGGTGGCCTGTTCACAGGCAGTGTTGTTGATAGACTTGGACGAAAAGGAGGAATTCTTGCTTCTTCATGTATCGTACTAGTCTCATGCGTCCTCCACTCTACCGCCACCACAAAAGAACAATGCTTCATCGCCAGAGTTCTCGTCGGTTTCGCAAAAGCACTGGACGTCTCCGCCGTTCCAACATATCTTGTGGAGCTAGCACCACCATCAAAACGTGGATTCGTGGCTGGCTTGTACTGGACTTGCTGGTTGCTGGGTGCGATAATTTCGTCCGCCGTTGGCCGTGGGGCAAGAAGCCTTGCTGGAAACTGGAGCTGGAGACTCATCTGCCTATGCATGGCAGGACCATCATCATTATGCATTCTTCTCCTGGCATTCATTCCTCATGTTGGCTGATCTCCAAAGGACGAGAGCGCGAAGGACTTGCTGGTTTCATTCGGTTCCACGGCGGTGGCGATGAAAACAACCCACTCGTCATCGCTCAGTTCAGAGAGATCAAAGAGACAATCTCATTCGAACAGCAGAATAAATTCGAGTCCTATCGTGCATGGTGGAAGACTTTCGTGGGCCTGAAGTCAAACAGATACCGAGGATTCATTCTCATCAGTCTTGGAATATTCGAGCAGACTATTGGCTCCAGCATCATTACCTTTTACCTCAGCAGTGTTCTCGACCTGGCTGGCGTCACTTCAGAAAAGTCGCAATTTGCCATCAATCTGGGCCAGAACTGTGTCGCGTTCATTTCAGCACTAATCGGCATATGCTTTATTGATAAATTGGGTCGTGTAAAGATGCTTGTAGGCGGAACCCTTTTCTGTGCTGCCGTTCTGGCTTGCATGGCAGGTCTCACTGCACAGCAAACAGACAACCCCGCTGGAAGGAACGCAATAATTTCCATGGTTTTCCTCTTTCAAATGGGATATTCGTCGACCTGGACGCCACTTTCGTTCTCTTACTGCGCCGAAGTTCTCAATTTTACGATCAGAGCCAAGGGCATGGCTTTCTACAACATCTTCACATCATCTGCGGGCTTCATCAACCAGTATGTTATATCGATTGGGCTCGCAAACATCGGATGGAGATTCTACATCATTGGCGTCTGTTGGAATATCTTTGCTGCCACAGTCATTGCATTCACGTACCTGGAGACGAAGGGCTTGAGTTTGGAGCAGATTGACAAGCGTTTCGAGGGTATTCCCCGTGATCAGCTGGACGATATTATCGAGACGTACAACGGAATGAAGCCCATCTCGGAGGCAGAACTTGGGAAAGTACCTGTTGAGCCAGTGTCCACTGAGATGCAAGTAAATGTCAAGAAGAATTGAGTTGCGACCTGGCGGTGGTGGAAAGGTGCGGCATGAGACAGGATACCTGATGTGTTCTGCAGATGTCTTGTTGTTCCGATGAGCTTCTGCCTGAGTTCGCAGTATGCCAATTGTATCTGATTGAATTCAAGGCAGAATCCCACGTCGCGGTGCCTTGGTTCAGCAGAAGGGGCTCGCTAGAAGGTTTGCAATTAAACGTGTACGAAGGGTAGTACAAGACCACAATAATTTTACAGCTTAGCTTGATGATGTAATGTACATGTACGTGATATCGGCGTCGTGGGTTGTGCTGCTGTGTCCTGCCCAGCTTCACGCAAGCCGTTGCTTTCGCTAAGTCGCCACATAGGTCCGTAATACTGCGCCCGGGTTCAATTCCGCAGCTTTGGTAATCAGCAACTTCTGAAGAACCCCACAACAATAGGGCTTAGACACAATCTCAAAATCACTCCTAAAGCCTGCTCAGGTGGCTTGATCTTCTGAAAAAATACTGTCTTTGTCAGGTAACGCGGAACTGTCCGTTCCTCCCAATGAGCGTACGTATCATGTCAACTGCAAGGTCGTACAGACTTGTCATCCAGCAAGCGACCTGCTCCAAATTCATAGTGATTAATGGCAAGTCTCAACAGTACACTACCACATATGAATTGAATATATAAGTAGAGGAGAATTCTTCAAGTCCATCTGTATCAACATTGTCAGTAAACAAACCTCGAATAATCACCTCATCCACCACTTTCATAATATATACTTCATCAAAATGCCTTCAGAGCTCAGGAACATCGCTATCATTGGCGTAAGCTTTCCTGTCCAAGATTAAAATCCGACTAACATGATAATTCAGGGTGGCGGCAGCGTGGGAAACATAATCCTCGACACGCTCATCCGTGAGGTACGCTTCAACGTAACAATATTGACACGGAAATCCAGCACAGCAACATTCCCGGCAGGAATTACCGTGATCAATACGGACTACTCTCAGGATGATCTAGTAGAAAAATTCAAAGGCCAGGATGCAGTAATCTCTGTTGTGGGCATGAGTGGTTTCAGTCAGCAGAAATCGTTCATCGATGCTGCCATATCCGCCGGAGTGAAGCGCTTCATTCCATCGGAATTTTCGTCCAATACTCTGAGTCCAGCCGTTTTGCAGCTGCTGCCCATGTTTGGACAGAAGAAAGAAGTACTCGAGTATCTGAAGGAGAAAGAGTCTTCTGGTTTGACGTGGACTACGATCTGGCCCGCACTACTCTTCGACTCGGTAAGATTTCACGTCTTTCTCTCCTCAAAAACGAGAAATAAGCTGATGTGAATCTACAGGGCCTCAAGAATGGCTTCTTAGGATTTGATATTGCGTCCCACACGGCAAATATCTGGGACCAAGGCACCAGCAAATTCACCTTGACCAACGACGACCAGCTCGGGCGCTCAGCCATCGCTGTTCTCGACCGTCCAGATCAGACAGCAAACAAGAATATCTACATTGCATCCTTCGAGACTTCGCAAAAAGAGGTCTTCTCTGCACTTGAACAAGCTACGGCTGCTAAGTGGTCTGTCACAGACACCACGACGGAGAAGGAAGTTGCGGAGGCATCTGAGAAAATTGGAAAGGGTGATTTCAGTGGTGCTTTCGCTTTGGTGAGAGCTACTAGCTTCGGAAATAGGCCAGGACTGCGGGTAAATTATGTTCGGGATGAAGAGTTGTCGAATGAGTTGCTAGGATTGGAATTTGGAAGTGTTGGGGAGACTGTCTCGCGGGTTGTTGGCGGCTTTGCTTAGACATTCTTCTTTATTTTGACCGTCGGTACTTCAATAGAGGCATGACAACAAGTAAGGTACTTTCGATATTTCAGAAGACAGGAAGAGTGTGTGCATGCCGCATGTCCAACCTCCAGTATGGCTCAGGAGAGGTTCGCTTATCGGAGCAGTTAAAATCATCGTCACGTCATAATATCGAGGATGAAATCCCCAAAAAAATCAGTATTCCACGCATTCTGAAATCCAAGCAATCATAAATTCGTATCATAACATGTCACAACACAAATTTCCAGTACTCCGACCTCCATAGACCGTTATGAAGAAAAGACTTAAGTCTGTCGCTCCCAATCTCGCGAGTGCTCAGTTACACTGACCGGTGCCACCTTCTTCCTAGCTATCTCCGGGGTGAACGAGCCACTGCCCTGGAAAGCTGGCGTGTATCGGTATACAGGCTCTGTTCCGTTCACTACTTTTGCGTGTTTGCGTCTATACAAGAGTCTATTGTGTCAAATCATCAGCCATCCGGTCCTGGACCATGCGAATAGAATAGAAAAGAACTTACACAGAGGTTGCGATCACAAGAAGCAATGCCGGAACACTGACACCGACACTCACGCCAATGACGACCTTGTTGCTCACTCCGCCTGTCTTTCCGTTGCTGAAAATTTCTCCAGGCCCACCGGCGCCGCCGCCTGGAGCCTTTGTGGCAGTTGCCTTGGGCACGTAGGAGACGGGACTTCCACTCGTGGCTTCCATCTTTCTCACATTTGAGTTGAATTTAATTGCACTTACGATAGTATTCTCACTTGTGAACAGTGGTTTGATGCCAGAGGTCACAGTAGCCGTCAAAGTCTTCGTGACACTATTTCTGGAAGTCGTACGGAGCGATGCGGGACAGTTGATCAATCCGGTTGAAAGACATTGCGTTGCAGTGTAAGTAACTTCAGTAACTTTTGTCGTTGTCTTAATATCTTGACGTGCTTTCATAGACGCTGTTGTTGTGGCCTGTTGAGTTGTCGAGGTTCTTTTGATGGCGCAAGGGTCGGTAAGTGTGGTGTAGAAGATTGGAATCTGGGATTCAATCTCAGGGCCCCAGGCGTAATCTCCACACTCTAGTCTCGCGCCAGCATTTGCACCAAGAGCCATGGTATACTCTTCGATCACTCGTAGCTCGCAGTCATTATCGTCGCTTACTGGAGAGGATGTGATGTTCGTCTTGAATTCGGCGATGTCGAGCCACACGCCGCCTTCAATGCCTGCAGCAGCATCGAATAAATTTAGGAGAGACTTGTCGATTGCATCTGGTGTAGAGAGAACGAGTCCTGCTTTGAGACCAATACGAAGAATTCCAGTGAGAACGACGCCAGCGCTTTCAATGGTCACAGGCAGGAACTCAAAACTCCCTCCGTTGCTGGAATACTTTGTTAGCCGACTATTGAGGATATTTGAAATTTAATGAAGTGAGGCAGCGCTTACTAGATGATCTTGGAGACATTTTGTCCGAAGATGGGCATCTTGATCTCAATGCCATCGTTCAATTGAATGTGGAAGCCACTGCTAATATCAATCTCACCCTTAACGTCCAAGATGAGGTCAATAGTAACCACAGTTCCAACCAAAAGATCGTCCCCAACCTTGAACCCTGCCACACTCTTAGATGTGTACAGATTGAGGGTGTATGTGGCGCCGGCAGCCAAGACAGTATTCACCTGCATGTAAAGCTCCATCTTGTCAAATTGAAACTGCAATTCCGTGTCTGGGATCTCAGGGACATCAATATCGAATTCGATATCAATTGATGGGAAGTCGTAATCAACGATGTCACCAAAACTTGCTGGCTTCGGCAGATCTCCAAGATAGTCGGCGACTGCTGAAGAGAAGTTCCGAATCTCCCCCGTGATTTCGGAGGTGAGGTTCTTGAATGCTTGGGTGTAGTTTCCATTGACTTTCAGCTGCGACGTGACGTCGCCTTTGATATAGCATTTTGTGCAGATTATCTGGATACCACCATAGAAAGTGGTATTTACCCTTTCGTTTGTGATTTCTCTGAGCAACTGTCAGCAGGTGAAATCAATCGAGGACCTTGTCTTCCACATAATACTTACGCCTCGACAATAAATAGCTCTACATCATCCCAGCTTCTATCAATGGATCTAGTATCCTTGAACACTGGCTCGGTTTCTCTTTGGCGGACGATGGCAGAAGACAGTGATCGACGAAGTTGCTTCAATGGGTCTGCAGAAATATCACCACGAGCTTCTCGAAGATCAATGTTGCTGTTGAGGGGACCAAATCCCGCAGTAACGAGGCTGAGACCCGTAGCGAATGCTAGAGTGGTCTTGAGGTAGGAGATAAACATGATGAGTTTGTCTGAAGCTTCTTTTTCGCCGTTGCTATGCTCAATTTGAGAACTAGGACAATGGTTCTGGCTTCTGTCCCCACTTTCGGGTTAATGGGACGACCACCTCAATATATCATCCATCATGGTTCCCGCAATCGGGTTGATACTCAGGCTGCATATACAGCTACGATAACTGTATGAGATACTGGCGACAAGGGATATGCAAGCCCGTTACACACCATCCCGTGGGGTCGGGGGCCATGTAAATCCGCCTCGGACTATCCCATGTCTGCATTGCATGCTGTCCACTCCCGATATGGCAGTCCAAAAAAGGGACTCAAGTCCGGTAGCCTTGTGCTGACCGTTGTGGTGTTGGTGTTTTGCTTCGAAACGTTCCGATAGCTGCGGCCGTCAGGAGTCTCAGCATTTACATCAGAAAATCGTGCAGGTAATCATGGTTGCCAAAAAGAAAAAGAAAAGATTCTTTGGAGCACTAGTAGTGTATTTTTGACCAACGAGGCTAACGGCCATATCTTCATTTCGTGGAAAACAACTTAGTTCTCCCAGTTTGCTGGTCGGAAAGCTAACCGCGGATGGCTGCATGTTGGCTAAGGCTGAGCGGCCGAAGGATCGGATGCTACAGTAGATTGCGCATAATATGAGACACGCCGTACATGGCTGAGATTTGTTACACAAGAACGGGAAGTCGTCAACGGATTCGAGCGAATCATGAAAGATGCAGAAACGAGGTCCCTCTCAATGGAGATTAGGACAGCTGCACCCAAGAACGCCAAGACCGCGTAGAATTGGTGTGCTCCTCAAGAGCCCCTCCTTTTCAACACCCCTACCATGTGCTGTTTAGAATTTCTTGATACAAAGAGCGCAAATAGAGGGAACCTGAAGTTCATTTCAGGAACGATACATTTCTTCCAATTGGCCGTCAAGTGGCGAAGGTCGGGAACATGCATATTCAGCACATCCCGCAGCACGTACCACGTTTTCGCCTGCCTCAGTAATTGGGGAATACCCTCCTTCCTGCAGGAGCAGCTGCAAATATCGTTCGATAAACACTTGCAGTATGGCGTGTGTGAATCTTTAAAGCTTTTGCAGAGCCTTGCATTTTGTTTGCAGGGTTATTTGTTGGTTTCCAATTCGATACATGCGGGTCCAGACACTCATTGCCTAATCAAAATCACTTGCTGCGCCAGCGATGCATGGAGCTGTTCCTGCGCCGATAAGCCCTTTGGCCTTCATTCTGCCTTGTGCTCTGTCTTGAGAATAAAGTTGAAATCCTCATTGCCCGAGGCCAGTCCGTTGAGCATAGCCGGGCCAGGTAGAATGGAAGGTAGCCCGCACCAATTGTACCTAGAACGGAAGAAGATAATTTTGAGTGCTACAGAGTAAAACAGCCTCAAGTCGGTCTTTAGTCACAATCTCTGTACAGCAAACATTTCTTAAAGTGTTTACCCCATGCCGCACCGCTGCTGTTGGTTTTTGACTGTGCCACATTTGTACATCCTCCCCCGATTCACCCGGCAATACTCTGCCTCGCCTGACTGGTAACAAATGCCCTCAAAACATCTTTGCAGAGACCAGTTCTTCAAAATTTAGTCTCAGCGTCGTATTGGGAAACCCATAGCCCCGATGGCATGCTACGATACCGCAGTGGAGCCTCTGACAGCTACCAAGATGCGGGTATTGTGGAAATGTACCACGCTTGAAGATTTCATCGCAGCGTCGCCATTGATCTGAGAGAAGAGCCTCACTTCGCCACCAATGTTTACAGACCACGAGTGAGGGTTGAATTTGTCCTTTCTGATGAGGATATGGAGCGTGCCAACACCGTACCAGGGCGATAATGAGTCTCTCATGCGAAGAGCTCATCGAGATTGCACTTTCCAATTGGGAGAAGCTCACAGCCAAAAAATTGGAAGTCTTGATGGGACGGTTTTGGACGCCTATTACGCTTAAAGAGATTGATTTGGGTTTCAAAGAAATGATGAGCACAAGCGACGCAGCGCAGGATGACTTTTTTCAAAGTCGTAGTCTCCGCCATGCTCTCAACGAGAATACCGCATTCGATATCGGTAATCAAGAATACTACGGCCGCATTAGGACTGTTGAAAGCTAGAAAGTGCAAGCTGCGGCTGATTTGGAGTTGCCTAATGCTGCAGAATGGATTCACTACTCTTATCGTAAGGCAGGCCACGCTGGGGATATGTTTGCTCATCGGACCCGGCGATCAGGAACTGGATCCGCAAACCATTGCAAACTCCCAAGAGAGTCTATTGTATGCTTTGGAAGAAAGTTTAGATCCAATGGATCGAAAGATGTCATTGACCAAAGATTCGAGCTACACCTCTTGGGATCGTTCTCACAACCTTTTCCATTGCACAGCTACGCGATCAGAGCTACAGACGTGACGAGTCAATTCCGCCCAACAAATCAAGGTATTAAGCTTTCCAGGACAGCAAAGGAGGCATAAGCCTTCCTTGGGAATGGCTCATTAATGATTTCTACGAAGATCTGGTGTATGATGCCCGAAATAGATAAGCGATGTTCTAGTCTCTCATCAGACATCGGATACAGTGTTTTGATTGCTCGTTTAGCAAACAAATGCCAAGCAATCGCCTGTGACAGTGATGTCACTAGCCCCAGCCCCACCTTTCTCCGTTAGACACGATCATGCATGTCCCAAAACAGGTTCCCCATCATACACTTTCAAGACTTTCCTGGCAACGAACAAGCTTCCCCGCATATAAAGTGCCTCAATCGCCGTTTTGGAGAATAAGCTTCGTAAGAAATTGTCTCTCTAAAAATATCAAGTCTTTTTCAGGACATTTTTGTTGATCTCTTTGCCTATCTCTCTCGTTTGGAACGACCCCGCACCAACATGGCATCCCTACTCGCGAAACTGACTGCTGAGGAAGGCGGAGAATCTGTCCGTAAGTTGGCCCCCAATTCAATCATCCTTATACCCTTTGTCCGTTGATTCTCTATGGAAGCTGAAAATACATCCAGAGTTCTTGAACGACATCGTCGCACAGTTATGGCCTCATATAAATGTTGCCGGCAGCAAGATGTTGAAAGATATTGTCGAACCAATGTTTGCGACCATGCTTCCTGGTCCACTGTCGAGCCTCCATTTCACCAAGATTGACCTAGGTCATGTTCCCATCCAACTCTCGAATGTCCTTGTAACCAAGACTGAGACCGAAAGTATCAAACTGTATGTATTTGCAGACCGAAATATGCTCTTCACAATCGAGATGCCAATTTCTAACCCCGCTTTTATTCAGGGACATGAATCTTGATTGGGCTGGCAAATGTGATATTCAGCTAGACGGCAACATGATTCCAACTCTGGTGAGTTCCAGTATAGATCCAGGAACTCCAAATATCAACCTTGCCAACTGATTCAATCACCAGGGTGTCAAAGCTGTCGCTCTTCACGGCAGGCTTTCAATTCTTCTAGGGCCAACATCCGATATCATTCCATTGATAGGAGCTGCTCAAGTCGCCTTTGTGAACCCGCCAGTCTTGAAACTTGACTTCACCGGTGCCGCGAACATTGCCGACTCTGATATGATCGATGGAGCTGTTCGCAAGGTGATCATCGGCATCATCAACTCCATGCTGACGCTGCCAAATCGCTTCTTGATTAAGCTTGACGCTGCGAATGACTATTTTAAGACTCAATTGTTCCCAATTGGTGTCATTCGAATCACCGTTGAGAAGGCGTCCGGTTTTGCCGAGGATAAGAAGGGTGCTGCTCAGAAACTCTTCTCCAAACTGACGAGAGCTTCCCCTGACACTTACTGCAATGTCAGTGTTGGTGCCGAGGAGGCTTGGTAAGTGCTCCCCGATATCTACCGTTTTTCTTCCCTTCTTCAGATCTCTCTGAAAAGAATGCAACACCCGTGACCACCTGGCTTTCTCTTCGTATCTTTATCTTACCAGTACATCTGATGACACACTAACTCGAAAACGTTTCGCAGGCGAACAACGACCAAAGACAATACCACCAACCCTGCCTGGAATGAAACGCACGACTTCATAGTCACAGATCTGAACCAATGCATTACCTTTGATCTACTAGATCACGATGTTAATAGCGATGACGAGATCGGCCTCGCCGTCACCACTGTGAAGGAAATCTTGTCAGCTGGTGGCAAGCAGGAGCTGAGCATGGTGCACAAAGAGGAGCCAGTGAACGGCAAAATTTCGGTGTCTTGCAAATTCTTCCACTTTTCAGTCGAAAGTAGTAGCTTGTCTGCCTCAGATCACAGCGGGAATGGTTTGATGTGTGGTGTGGCTACTGTTTCTGTCGCCGGTGTGTTTGATATCCCTGGAAAAAGACAAGGTATGTGATCTGTTTTCGCACTGAAATGCTCTCGATCTTGGGGATCTTTGATATCCCATTTATTCTGAACCTTGTTTGATGTGCGTACTGACATATTGTTTAGAGCTCAACCCGAGTGTGGTCGTATCATGGGGAGAGAAGCACCGTTTCCAGACAGCTGCCAAGACCGATGCACCAGGGACCGATATTTCCAATCCAGCATTCGATCAGGCTTTCCGCATCCCTATCACAGCAAATATGCTAGGCAGCGGTGCGCAGAACTTCCGAATTGCTCTCATGAACAAGACAGAAGAGATTGGCGCCGTTGATGTGCCACTTTCGGACGTGCAGCAAGCACCAGACATGGTTCTGCAGAACAAGTTCGATGTTGGTGGAGGGGCAACTGTCAGAGCAAGCATTTGTCTTCGGGGTATCGCTCCGGCGAGTATGGAGGAGACCGTCCTTCCTCAACGTCAGAAGTAGTCAGGACAGCAGGGAAGGTTTTGATGTGCTTTGAATCCCCTGGGAGAATGTCACGTTTAGGGTGTGCATGTTGATGGAAAAGTAGTCCCTCTATCAAAAAGGTCAGCAGTTGTTTCTTAGCGAATGATTTATGATATTATGAAATGAAATGAAATATATGAGAAAGAAACCCTCTTGAACATTTTCGTTCGACGCATAAAACTACATTTCTCAATCCTCCTTTACCCCTGCCTGTATGACCCTGCATGGACCCCGAAATTGACTAGCGCGATCTGAACAGCACGTGAGAGCGTGGCACCTCCACGTTCTATCTTTTTGTCGCGTCATCCTCATCTCGATCCAGAACATGACAAACGATTTTACTATGACATCGGGCCAACCTATGAGTAAAGATGGATGACGAATTAGAGTGAGTTAGATGCTCAACTCTGGAAGAAACACAAGTTAACTTACCTTGAAGGCAAGCACTCGCGGCATCTCGCGCTGAGGCAGAACAGCTCGAAGAGGACCGCGAGCTCCAAGAAGCAATCAGGTTATCCAAGATGGATGACTCTTCGACGCAATCGGGCTCACATACGCCATCTCCAGAGCCAGCTGACGAAGATCCTGATCTCAAAGAAGCCATTAGGTTATCGATGATGGACGATGCTTCGACAGCTTCTGGTTCTCCGTCACCGTCTCCTGAGCCTGAGAAGAGGAAAGGAGGCTTGAAGCGCAAAGCTGAAGATGATCTCGGACCTCAGAGCACGAAACTTGCACAGGTAGAACATATTGATTTGATGTCTTCTAGCGAGAGAAAGCTCGACAAGAGCGCCCCGATCTCACCTCCTCCACTGCGACGGAATATCCAAACCGATACGAGCCCTGGACAACAGCGCTCGGAAACCTCAGAGCAAGTTGCATGTGAGTTTATTGCCTTATCTCCATTTACTCATGCTGATGTAACTGTATAGCGAGCCTCTCCGCAATCAGCAAAGCAGAAGCCAAGATCACATATCCCCACGGCGCCTTGCGCATCACCCGCACTCCTGGTAGAGTAAATGCCAAGAACTGCATCAATCTGAAAGATGTGGTCCAAGGAAAGAGTCTTGTATCAGCATGTGTATTCTCATTCTTTATTGGAGAGGAGGAGTTCTATAGGCATTTCCCCTTTACGCAATTGTCAGATAAAGTACCTGTGAGTCTCCATTCAAGTTTTGATCTTATCACTCCTAACATTTATGGGTAGATCTACATCGGTCGAGATGTCAACATGGGTAAGCCCAACAACTCGCTTCATTCTCAACCCTTTTAAATTCACATCAAGTCATCGGCCACTTGCTGACTTGTCCATGGTCTTAGATCCGATGACCCTGGACGCCTGTGAGCAGGCTGGCGTACCGTTAACCGTACAAGGTGGCAAGCCAGACAAGGTAACAAAGAAAACAATGCCAATCATTGAGCCCAGGCTCCAAAAATTGTATTCCAAACGATATGGCGTCAACTACCATGCCTTTTATGCCTGGTCTTCCGGCTCATCTCACTCAAAGATCCTTGTTTTGGTGTATCCCGACTTTCTCAGAGTGGTCATCACATCGTGCAATATGATGGACATTGACACCGTTCTTGGAGACAATCATTGGTACATCCATGACCTGCCCAAGCGCAATGAACGATCGAAATCGGCACCATCCTCCTTTGAAGCCGAGTTATTGGCCCATCTTTCTGCACTCAACACTCCCGAAGCTTTTATTGAGTCTATTCGAGGAATGTATGACTACTCCAAGGTTAAGGTCCACCTTACGACCTCTGTCCCGGGTGTCTGTTCTGGCATCAAAGCAGAAAAGCATGGCCTCCTTCGTCTCAGACGCATCGTCAATGACCTCAATCTGGCGCTGCCTGAAAAGGGCAGCGGGAAGATGAAACTCGAGCTCTGTGCTGCAAGCATCGGTAGACTTACCGCGAAGTGGCTAAACAACTTCTACGACTGCGCGTTAGGCAAAGAACGACTCACCGTTGGCGATCAGACCCAGCCTGTCCCAGACATCAAACTCTTCTACCCAACAGTAGGGGATGTCAAGAGCGCAGATTCATTGTCGCAAGACGCTGCAAGCAATATTGGCTGTCACATTCATCCATGGACTGAAGCACCAAATGCCATCAAGCGCATATTCCATCACTACCAATCCAAAGACGCTGGAAAGCTATTTCATCAGAAGCTTGTCCTGGCGTACGCTCCCCGAGACGCTAGTGCGGCCCCTTATTTCGTCTACATCGGATCGGCCAACCTGTCTCAATCTGCTTGGGGAGCACTCGACGTGGATAAAAAGAAAAACAAGGCCACTTGCGATACGAAGCTGGTTAAGATTGCGAACTTTGAATGTGGTGTGGTTGTCCCTGGTAGTCTCGTGCAGAGCCTATTGGAAGAAGGAACTACAAGTTGGCAGGATGGTATTGTGCCTTTCGATCAGACCGCAGCACCATATAACTTGCCCAAAGAGAAGCCCTGGAATGGTACGTGAGCCCCTTTCGCAGTCTCCTGAGCCAATTAATTGAAGGCCAAGAATTATTTTGGCTTCTGCGACCCTTGAGAAATGGAGTGCTGACGTGTCAATAGATCCTAGATGGGTGGTGAACTTCGATGAGGGCTATCAAGGCAACTCTTAGACATGGTGCAGCTAGGTCTAGATTGCTGGGCTGGAGTTGGATTCTAGGTCACTAAAAGCATCATCGCGAAATGTTCAGATACATTTTCAGGCAAAGTACTGTGGATCTCGCATTACTCCCACCTCTGACTGTATTGCGAGATTTGCTTCTCAACAATATCTGATCACCCAGTAACTGTCATTTCCATCGATCTCTCTGATCGCCTACACTCACTACTTGCTCTCGGCAAAAGTGCTCCACAAGTCTACCACCGTAAGAGCAACAGCATTCTTGTAGGATTTCAAAACACCTGCCTTGATCGAACTCCAAATCTGATGCCTGTTACAAACAGCTCAGCTTTGATCTTTGTCAGATGTGGTGCAAAGTATATATTCGTGTCCGAGCCAAAGGAAGTTACTTGTGATGTTGTAGTTGGAATTAAAGCAGTCCCGCTAAGATTCAGGTAGGGTTTACCCCGCAATCTCCTAGATTCAGCGGCGAATCACCGCTGGAGCCCCTGAGACCCCCTCGTTTAGCGACAATTTTGCAACACATCACCAAAACAAGAACAAGTCAAACAACTCATAGATAAGTAGGAACCTAAATTCTGCCCTTATTGGTAAAAAAAAATATGTTGTGGGTAGTCCATGATTCTCATGATTCTCATGCATGAATAATTAATTTTGCTATACGATTATTAATATTTCTGATCCTTACTTTGTATTACCTCTTCCCTAGCGAACAACTTTACCAAATTTGTGCATATTCCTCTGCGCTGTCCCCTATTCTCCCTTAATTTTGCATCCTCCAGGTACTCTTTTGAAATCCCCCCATGTTCTCACAATTTGGTAAATTCTGTTTCGGCCCTCCCAGCTACTTTTCTCTCCGTCTTTCTTCCTTTCTTGCCTTGGCAGCCGATTCAGAGACTAGCCATTGGCACCGCCTGTTGCGTCGTAACTCTTGTAATGTCATCCCCAGAACCCTCCTTTCTCTGTACTCGAATCCCTTTCACAGGCTCTTTCCCGCCTTCTTCCACTTTCCTCGCAGCTCCAAGATCTACTCCGCTGTCAACATCTCCATACGCACTGCCAAAAATCTCATCCATGCCCTCCAATGTCCGACCTTTCGTCTCGGGAACAAGAAAGAAGACGAAAAGACCCATGATTGTGATACAAGAGGCGAATAAGTAGAAGAATCCGCCACGGAGATTGGTGAGCATGCTGGGTGAGGAGCGGGCTACGATGAACTGTGTAGCGGGTGGGTGGTTAGTAGAGATTTGGGAATTGAGACTGATAGGGGATGAGAAGGAGACAAACCTGGCAGATCCATTGTACGGCTGTGGTCAAGCAGACAGCGAGTTCTTTGATACGGGTTGGGAAAATCTCTGCGCAATAGACCCAAACTACGCCGTTCCATGCAACCGAGAAGGAGGCCTGCGGGTGTGGACAATTACTTGATGCGTCGAAGCAGGAGAAGCGAAATATTCAAGAGGGACCTTGAACTCACAGCATATACGTAAACACAGACAATGGCTACCCACCCAGCAACACTCTTCTCCTGCTCCATTTTAAGATCGATGTGTTTCGCTGTGACGAAGGCCCCGATGTACCAGAGTGGTAGACAGGTTCCGATGGAGCTTGTGATGAGCAGCTTCCTGCGTCCGAGACGGTCGATGAAGAAAACGAGGGAGATGATCGTCGCGATGGTTTTCACAGCGGCGTACATTCCTACGGCAATGAATGTCAACAAGCTGCTCGCTTAGCCTCCTGACGCTACAAGACAACTCCATGTCAAAGCGGTTCAGCAAGAAAACCAACTCACCAGAAGCCAACAAAATGACTTTGATCCCACTAAATCCAATACTCTTGAAAATTGTCGGCGTATAAAAGTTCACACCATTAATCCCAGTGAAGTTTTGCCCAACCATCAAACCCACACCAATTAGCACCCTTCCCCGATTCCCCTTCCACCACAACTCTTTCAGCAATCCCAACTTTCCGCCTTCACCATGTCCACTCTCTCCGATACCAACACCCCCAAAATTATCCTCCCTTCTCACTGCCTCCTCAATCTCCTGCATCTCAAGTCCGACATACTCATGCTCTACGGACAAATGCCTCACATATGCAAGGACTTTTCGTGCCTCTTCCGCTCTGGATTTCTTGACGAGGAAACGTGGTGATTCGGGGAGGATGAAGAGGGAGGCGAGAATGAGAAGGACTGAGGGGATGATTTGCATGGCGAGTGGGATTTGGTATTGTCGGATTGAGGTGCCTGGGATGTATTCGTTGACGATATAATTGCACCAGTAGCCGAGGAGGGAGGAGAGCTGGTTATTGATTTCGTAGATGCCGACGAGGGAGCCGCGGATTGATGGAGGTGAGAGCTCGGCTATGTAAAGAGGCTGCAGATATGTTAATAATGGTTGGCTGGCTTGAAGACTTACAAGGGAACTTCGACGATGTGCACAGGCGAAAGAAGGGAGGACTTACCACCACGACAGTCGCACCTCCAGCTCCAAGACCAGTAATAAAGCGTCCAGCATACATCATACTCAGTCTACCATACGAGAAAGTCTATTTCGCATCAGCCATCACACTTTTCTCCCCCTTGCACTACACCTTCAAAACAGTCCAATCAGACAACACCACTCCCGCCTCATCCCAATCCCATCCCTGACAATAAATTACCAAAAAGAAGAACATACCTGCACCACAGCACCAACCGTATAAACCGTCGCACTGATTGCCAGCGCAACCTTCCGTCCCCAATACTTCATCCCAGGAAACGTAGCCATAGCACCGACCAAGCCACCTATCTGAAGGAGCGAGACTATGTTCTCGATGATGGTGTTGTAGGCTGGTGATCCGGGCATGGGGAGGTGGAAGGTATGCACGAAGGAGGGGAGGACGAGCACGCCTGCTATGACGCCGTTGTTGTAGCCAAACACTTGATAGGGGTGTTAGTGGTGTTTATATTGACATTTTGGAAGATGTATGTAGGAGTACAATGACGAGGTATAATACGACAAAGAGACGGAAGAAGAGGTTGGAGGAATTAATCAGGGAAGTAGGAAACAGGATTCTGTACTTACTCCAACTCCCCAAGCAGGCCAGGAAAGTCAACATGTATGGTCTATAACCATAGACCTCTGGTGGCGTCGGCCTATCTTCTGGTGCACGAGAGAAACCCATGTTTACTGAAGTGTATTCAGCTTCGTATAACTTGCACAGAGTGAGTATGTTAGAGAGCAGAAATTAGATGTAGATTGGATTGCGAGAGGTAGGAATAGGTTAATGCGGATTTGAGTTCGGAGCGTGGACGCATTGAATGCCTGGATAGAAATGGGTTGAGCTGAGGGCGGAGTGAACGAGGTTATGAGATGATATGATTGTTTGAGATACTTGAACGAGGATGAAGATGGCCGTTTGGAGCAATACTTCCTCGAGTAGACAGCGCAACAAAAGTGATAGATGAACGATGATGAAATGTCTTGATTGACTAGTGTGACCCCGTGTAGAATAACAGCGGTAGTATGGCAATACAAACTTAGCAGCATCAGAAAAAGAAGATCATCAAAATCTAATGAACCTTACAGCACATAATTCACACCACTCGGGGACCTATTCCCCCTTAAATACCAAATATTTGGCCATGACACACAAACTCGGGGAACCTCCGACCCCATCCATCTTCTCCTCCAAAGAGGTCTTTGCTGCACATGTAAGCAAACCCAACTTGACCCCCCGAAAACGGAGTTCATAACCAGTCAATCCAAGATCACCAAACCAAAAGCCCCTCATTCATAGTCCAGCACTCGCTGTACCTCACTCGAAGGAGCTTGAAAAGTGGGCTCGCCAAGCCTGGGTTGGAATAAGAGTTTCGGCGCTTGCCAAGGGCTAGACCTTTACCAGCCTCAATTCAAACAATGGGAAGGTTAAGCGAAGGACTCGTGACGGGGTGAGATATTGGACTGGAGTGGATGGAGATTGGATTGGCTGGAATTGTATTGTAATTGTGAGGAGGTGGGCGGAGTGTTATGCTGGTGGGAGACTAGTCGGCGAGATCGGAGGGGAGGTATAAGTTACTTACTCACTACCTCTTTTGCTGGCATGATTGGTTGGTTTGGCGTCGTGTGAGTGAGGCATTGAGCCGTCATAGCCGATTGCAAAGTATACTGATTCTACTTGATAAGATGGGCGTCAGGTGTTCGTCTGGTGTCGTGCTGTGGTTTGTTGGAATTATTGCGTTTTATTCCTTGCTATGTGTTCTAGCATTTCTCTATATGCCTCGCCTCTTGCTCCCCCCACGTTCCATTTGTACCCCGCCTAAACTCGGGGGTTGTTGTGATATTCTGAAGCCTGGATGATTGACGTCGATAGGTCCAAGAACAAGCCCATCTACACCTTTCTCCAATCCGTCATGCATCTTCCTACACATCCCAAGCCCGCAACATCAACAACTTTCTCATGCCATGAAAGCAGCACACTCATAGCTGATCCACTGCTCTCACTTTGTGCGCCAGGTCGTCCTCCCATCTGCGAGAAACCGGCACCTGTGCTCTGTGGTGTGAGAGTTGAGCCGCGGGTGGGTGTCTTGCTGGTTGGGGTGCTGGATGCTGCCATGCCTTTGTAGCTATTGAAAAGTAGGCAGATTAGCTATTGATCCTATGAGACCGAAATTCCACAACGTGGAAAGCTGTTCACATTGGTGATGGAACACACAGCCAATTTCCCACCAGCTTGAAGCGAAAGAGAAGAGTCCACGTACAGATACTTCATCAGAACGTCCAAAGCCTCACCACCGCCTTCACTTCCGAAAATCCGTTGTAGCATGGGTGTCATCTCGCTCGCCTTAATGCTCTGTAGTACCTCTGTGACGGTCTGAAGATGAATGTCCTGTTCGAGTGTTTGCATCAGCAAATGTCCCTTGTCTCGTCTTCACTGTCCCCAAAATCCAGTACAGTGTGCCTCCTGATATCCTCTTCCATCTGCCATCAGACTCCCATAAGTTTCCCCTAACCATTCCCATACTCAAACCCAAAGCCCATTCTAGCCATCCATCACCACTGCCCATCCTCAATCACGAATCTCAAACACGACGCCCTCCTCAAGGGACAGCTCCAACGTACCTTAACCATAGCATCCCCTCCATACGGCGCACTCTCCAACGCACCTCTCAGCGCTCCCTCCGGATCACCTCCCCTCAGCAACTGCCTAACCTGCTGTCCAATGCCCCGAACCTCATTCTCGGAGACTGGCGCAAATGCCGGGTGAAGAGTCGAAGTATCGAAGTTGGAGGATGATTCGGGGTCGAGGGCGTCGATGTTAATGGTGCGCCAGTTGTCTGAGAGGGACGCGGACGTCACTTGTTGGATTATGGACATTGTGAAGGAGGTAGTGGGGGAGTTGTTGTGTTGCGTTCTAAGGCTGTTGCTGAAGTGGAGGGGTTCGTGAATAGGACGGAGTGGGAGGCGGCTCGACCTTGGAAACTTGGAGCTGGTCGGACGTTAATTCGGCTGTTGTTATCTTGAGGATTGGTTGTTGTGGTCTCTGATCCTCAAGTTGTTGTTCGTAGCTAGCTTGCGTGTTGACGATGAGGCTCGATGTCCCCTGTCCCCTCCCCTCATTGTCAGCCGCCCGCCGACACTCACTCACACGCCCGCCCACCCGCCATCATTCCGCTCCGGTCCGCTACTTCCCACTCCACTCGCGCCAAGCTGTAGATACAGTAGAATCCCCATTCCGCCTCTCTCTCCTGCACCCCCACGCTCCATCTCACATCTCCTTCCCAAACCAGCTCCTCGCATCTCAAGTTCCAACCCACACACACCAAAAAATCCACCCGCATCCCATCCCATCCCATCCCATCCCATCCCATCCCATCCCATCCCATTCACTTCTCTAAATCCCCGTTCCTTCCAGAACGCTGCACCGAACTGCCCCAGTAGTCCCAATCCCAATCCCAATCCCAATCCCAAGCCCCCGTCTCGTCTCGGCCTCGGCCACGTACCGCCCGTTACCCAAACCAAACTGCTGGGCCGTACGTTAAGGTGTGTATGCTCATGCAGCTGGATACGGATAGCGATACGAGTACTGATACTGATATGGGAAACTGACTGGGATGTGTGTGAACCAACAACAAAAATTGGGCACTGCACCCCTATCTATCTCATTTCCATCTCAAGTTACCTCGTATTTCATGCCTTTTCTTGGAACTTGGATAACATGACATGACTTACTTGACTTGACAGGGCAGGAGGTTCGTTCAACCCCCAACCCCCCACGAAACACCTCTATCATCCATCCATCCACTCAAGCCTTTTAAAAGGGAGGAAGGAAAAAGGGCATTACATTACGGAAGTGCTTGCTTGCTTGCTTGCCGTATGTATCCCACGCGTTAGTCTGTTCGCTGCTTGTTGGTTCTTTCGTTCTATTCTGTTCTGTCTGAAGTGATGAAGCTCGCTCGGGTTTTCCCTCCCTCCTGCCCCTAAACACTTTCCCGCCGTGCGTGCCGTCCCTTGTTTCAATCTCTCATCTCCTATCTCTCTATCCATCTCTCTATCTATCTATCTATCTATTAGACTATCTATCGCACATCTCGTCATTCATTATTTTTATTTATTTCATACTATCTCTATCTCCATCTTCATCTTCATCCCGCGCCGCGCCGCGTTTGTCGCCTCCCTCCGTCCCTCCCTCCCTCACGCATTCCATTCCAATTCCTTTGCACTCACTCCCCTCTGCTTTCCTTTCCTTTTCTTCCCTTTTCTTTTTCCCCAGCCGCGCGTTTGAGATCCAGACAAGAAATCCACGAGGTAGTTCTAGTTTGAGTTTGAATTTGCCTTTGTCGTGTCGTGGCGAAATACATATCTTTTACTGTCGCGTTTCTATTTTCTTTTGTCTAGGTATGTGTATGTGTACGGGTATGGGCGCGCAGCGTTGTCACTCGTCATATCAAATCAGATCAGATCAGATCAGATCAGATCAGATCAATCTGGTCTAGTTTTGTTCCAGCCGGGTATCTGGGACCCAGCAACTCATCGTCATCCTGATTCCTGAGGAATGGATAGCTAGCTCCGATCACCTCGCATCAGCTACGACCAGTCGTTTCCACACACCCGTGGCGAGTCTGATCACGGTCCTTGATCGTTGGGTGGCACGTCACAGGAGTAAGTTAGTTCCCGAGCAGTTTTATCCTTTTGCTACGGTTCTGGTCTCTGCTTTCGTTGGGATTTCTGATTGCTTTCTTTTTCTTTTTCTACCTTCTTGCCCTGGGCTAGCTAGCTCGTTGGAACTCGACGGACGGCTGGCTGGATGGGGATGCTTGCTGGTACTGATGCCGTACATAATTTAGGTAGTGGGGGGCATGCACTTTGTGTGGAAGGCCTAGGGGGCATCGTGGATAACGAACTGGACCAAATACATCCGTACGAGGACGTACTATTGTAGGTACGGAACGGCCAGATATGGGGGTTGTGGCGAGCGAGGTGGGTGGGTGAGTGAGTGCCGGTCTAGGTCTGGGTGGATTCTGATCGTGGGATGCATGTGGTGAATGGATGGGGGTTGATGCACTTGGTAGGTAGGGTTTCTTAATGGAATTTGGTACCGCCGCATTTAGCATAGAGGTGGGGCTGATGGGGAGAGACGCGAACTGTTCCTGGCCACAGTGGCTGCTGTCTGGTTACGTCGTGACTGTATGCATCGGGCTGCTGGGGCGGGATGAGTCTATCGCGAGTTAAGACTCATGTGTGTCGCTAAATCATCCAGTTGTCTAGCCAGTCAGATGGGTAACAGTCACTCAGCAGTTCTAATTCAGTAGTCATGCAGTCATTTCCAAGTCAGAGTCATATTTGGTTCCATTCTCACTGTTCCATTTCTCAAAAGGTATAAATGATATTGAATCGAGATCAAGTGTGAAGTATTAAGTAGGTATCTTATTATCTCTCCCTTCTCTATCTCTATCAAATCTCTGTCGCCCGAAGCTCAATCCCGTCTCGCGGACTAAGTGAGCCATGGCAATTAGTCTTCCTATCTTTCTTCCATCCATACAGAAATAGTACAGTAACAAAACATGCTGGTTCGCTCGCTCACTCATTCGCTCTGGTGTACTTCTTTGCAGAAGATTCCTTGCTCTTGTCTCTCCAACTCGTACCAAAAAAAGTCTATTATGGGTATATTCCACGCTTCTCTCTCTCCTGTCCATCCAACAAAATAAAACATATCGATCAGGAACCAGCCTCATCGAGGCGAAGTGAACAGCAGACGGCCGAAACAGAGCAAAGCAGAGCAAGCAAGCAAGGTAGAAGCACAGTATTAATAAGAAGTAGTTCTCTTCCTTCCTTCTTTCGTTCGTTCATTTCCAAAGGTATCCCTATCCTATACAAGAGTCTGCTGCTCTCTGGCAGAGCACGCATGAGTGTTGCCGGACAAGTATTAACCCGCGAGAGTTCTTGTCCGGCTTCCAGAAAATCCAAAAGTGTAATATCGCTAGTGTCGCATCCAGTACAGTAAAAATAAGCGCGAGCTCAATCAAGTGTGAAACAGGCCAAAATCAAATCAAAAAAGCAAAAAGTCTATATGCGGAACAGGCAAAGAAAAAACGATTTTGAACCCCCTCCCCGAGATACCCAAGTTGTGTTTTTTGCGCTCCTGACAAAGATGATAAAAACCAGACCCATTTTGTGTAGCCGAAGGAGATAAATGCAAGGAGAAATGGGACCACTCGTGTGATGTGATTTGGTGTTACAGGTCTGGAAAACGTCGGATCCAAAGAAACCAAGAATAGTACAGAGCCGATCTAGATGCAACGCCATGCCTGTGCCCATGATATGTTCCCATTTTTGGATGTACTCCGAACCGAAACCGAGAAGAACTTTGTGTTGGTGGATAATGTTGCTCTTTCCGTCGTCGATGTGCACCAAGGGAGAGGCATCGCAGGTTGTTTGTTAAGTGAGTCAAGGCTCGCTGAAGCAAGGAGGCTGCTGTCTGTGGCACGATGCGACGCGAGGAACTTTTGTGTTGGGGGCTGAACGACGGATCGGTCCAGAGCGAGAACGACGAGCTGAAAAAGGGGTATTGTGGCAACGGATCGATCGAACCGAACACTCGGGTTCCAGTTGGAATGCTGACAGAAAAATGCCGGGAATGTGAAAATGAGAATCGTCGCGAGTCGTGGTAATGTACAGGATGCGATACAGGAACAAGTTGCTGGTGCAAAAGCACGATGCGTATTAATAAGGGTTTTGGAGCCAAAAAATAGTGTATCTGAGAATGATATGATATGTGGTGCGGTTGGTCTTTCGAGGGCTGCAAGACGAAGGTGCTTCAGGGACGCAAGGGCAGAGTTTATGTTGCGTATGCGACTGTGAGGAGTGGCGCGTGGAAGTCTTGAGTCTCGAGGATGTTGTTTATCGCTTGCAGGAGTCGATGAGATGAGGATCCTTCGCGGTCCTTATCTGGGCTTCGGTGGAGGAGGTTTGGGAACGCCCGTCGTGTCGTATGCGCCTCTGCCCATATTGCAGGAGCTGACTTCTATCGAAATCATCATGGTAGATGTGTGGTTGTGGGACTGGAGAAGTCATGGTCAGCGATGGATGCCTCAAAGTATATGTACCAGCTTGGTGAAAGCCATGCCCAATGTTGGCAAATCAAATGATGATTGCCACAAATGCAATGCAATGCAATGCAATGCAGTGCCATGCAATGTAGCCAGCCATTGAATGATTGGGGCGATACAAGCCTGAAGGTTGTGGAAGGTAAGGGATATTATGTGTCTGACTCACTGTAGTGTTGGTACGCAAGGTTGTCTGCCTCCTGAAAAGGAGAGCGGCGATGTTCCGAGGAACCAAAAAAAAAGTTGGGCTCGCGAAAGTTGTATGCAGGTCAGTCGATCGGTACTTGTAGCTTGTCTTCTCTCAACTTTTCAACTCTCGTTTTCGTTCGAACCAGGAAATGTGATCTGTCGCAGAAGTTTTCCAGAAGGAATGTGGGCCGGTCGCCGATTAATATGTGTCTGTTAAGATTTGGGTTGCTTTGACAATCCGAGACTTTGCGACAGTGTCTGCGACGGCGCGACTGAGCTGGGCGGGAGCTGTGACCTTAATGCCGGTCGAATGTGCGTAGCCGAGATGGACAGCAGAGTAGGTGGAGGCTAGGGTCCGAGGGGAGGGATGAGGGTTCTTGCGTGAACTGCTGCCGGCAAAACGGGCTTGTAAAGGCACGATCGGATCTTGTGCAGAAATCTGAATTTGGCTGTGATGGCGTGGTTCTTGGTTCCTGTCCTCTGCACTTTGATGCTGGGATACCGGATGGGTGAGCTGGGAGAGATGCCCGGCTTTATGGAGGATGGCAATGTGCGTGTGCTCGGTGTCTGTCTTTCGTGTCCAGCTGCAATGCAGGCAGGCGGAATTGTGCAGCAGAGGAGAGTGCTGATGAGTCTTTCTACTTTCTTGTTCGGCGCTTTCTGGTTCGGCGGAAAGAGTGAGTTCGTGAGTAACAGGATATGCGGTGCAGGCGTGGTGCAGCAGCAAGTGAGATGAGATGAGATGAGACGATGCAAGTGAGGCTGGCAGATCCTGATCAAGATGGCTTGGTGACGGCGAGGAAGAGAGGAGTGGTAGATATTAGTAGGACACACTCGCTGGATTGCACTGAGGAAATGATATTTTGTTCCTTTCGTCGAGGGAAGGGGCTTTCCAATGTCTTATACGAGCGTTGATTGCATGCCAGAGTGACAAGGGAGCAGATCTCCCCCCTTCCCTTTTCTTGGGCTTTCGACGCGGACGACCAGGGTGCCCCCCAAGCCAGCACGCCAGGGGTAGCGACGAGGCAGCCAGGGCGTGGGCAGGGGAGAGCAAAGTAGGGCGAACAGGCATGGGCCATGGGGCATGGGGGATGGGCGATGAGAGTGAGAGAGTAGTGAGAGAGTGAGGGAGCATGGGCAGGGGAAGGGGAAGGAAGGGCATGGGCATGGGCAATTCCGCGACGGAGGAAACTCAGGGAGCTCAGGGACTCAGGGAACTCAGAGGTCAGGGGTCAGGAACGGCTGCGCGGGACTGGAACTGGATTCGGGACTAGGGGAACACGGAAGCAGAAGAGACACATCGAAATGAGAAGAGCACGAGAGCCGGGGGCCGGGGGCCGGGGCAGAGGGCAAGGCAGGCCGGACCGACCAGCTGGCAAGGGGCTGAAATTCAAGATTGGAGCCTGAAGCTCGACGAGCCAGCTGCAAAAAGGAAGACGAAGACGAAGACGAGGGCAGGAAAGCATTGAGGCACGAGGCACGAGGCACGAGGCACCGCGGTTCGGCACTGTGACAAGTACTGTAACTATGTTTGAACAATAGAAAGGCCTAATAATAATAAGGAACATAAGCTGGCTGGCTGGGTCGCCGCTCGTCTCGTCTCGTGTGGCTATTTCGTACTGCAACTATGCATCTCAGACAGACAAGACGGCCTTCTGCGTGCGAGTGGTTACGAGGCTCCTACTTGAGACCTATGAAAAGATACTGACTGTTTTTAGGTGCTGAGCACAGGCTGTCTAAGTATCGTTGGTTGGTGAGTTTCTCTACGAGTAATGAGTAGGTCAGTGTCGCATTTTGTTTCCCTCCCTTCCTTCGTTTCCATCATAACATCGTCTGGTAAATTTATCATATCAATACCGAGCACCAACCGAAAAAGGAAGTGATCTAGTCCAGCCGAGAAGAGGCAAGCATCTGCACTTCTTCGAACGGCGCAACAGCCAGCAAACGTGGGAGTCTAACTGGGCAAACCAACGCAACCCAACAGCACAGGGCAGAAAAAAGGGGGTGGAGATAATTTGGACGGGAGGGAAAAACAACCCGGAGCTCTGGGATTCGCTAGCAACATTAGCATCAAGCCCCGGGACAGGGGTAGCGAAGTGTGAAAACGGAGGTGCAGCACATCCTGGATGCCCCTGCCCGAGAGATGGGATGGATGGATTGTGGATGCGGATGTGGATGTGGATGTGGATGTGGCCATGGGGGCCTGATACTGTATGATGATGTGGGCTTGCATGGCGTGGGATTTTCCTGGGTCGCACTTTTTCTGGCTATGGCTCTAGGGCTTTTAAAATTCAATTTGCTGTCTGACGGACACGGATACAGCACCAGCACAGAGTTCAGGTGAGGCTCATACCCTGATGACTCCATTCCCATATCCTCTGTCTGCGCGGCATCACAAGATCATCAGCTCTGCCTATTATTGATATCTCTTGCGCTGCGCTGAACGTCTTCTGATGAAGTTGCACTGCCAATACTTGGGTTTGTACAGCAAAAGGACCGCCCAGACGGATTCGAGTAACTCGACCTTCGTTGCATCGTTACCATAGTTTGCCGTCAGCCTCAGAGGCTCAGCACCATCGTCAGAGGTTACACTTGCACACCTCATCCCACGACTCATGGTGAACTGTAAGTAACGTATGAGTTGAGCCTTGACTTCGCACCGTCCTGCACTGCTGCTGCAAATCAGCTCAGCGCTCACGCACTTACCAAAGTAATAATACCAGTCAGTGCCCGACCTAAAACATTCTCGAAAAACTCTGATCCGTTCTGTCCCCTCAGCATAGTCAAAGCCAGCACGCAAACCCTAAAATACCACACAGACAGAACAAAACAGACCACAAATCCCCGACCGTGAACCATCCGTTCAGAGTCAAATAAATGCTCCGCGAAGACCTGGTCCAAGTCCGCATTTCTAATAGACGAAAGAAGATTTTTTTGAAGACATCCACAATATTCTAATGGAGACATATCTCCACTTCCACGCGCCTCTGCATAGTGCATAGTATGCAGTACAGACGATGACCGTCCAGTCGGCACCTCGTCAATTCAACACGAACCCTAACGCATCCACTTCGCGCCCTGAATAACGGTCTTGTCCCCACTGTAATCAGCGTACCCGTCTCCCCGCTGGCATTTGATTTCATCTACCGCGAGGCAGGGCTAGGTCCAGCATGTCTCGCCTGTGCAGTCTACGTCTACCTGATTGCAGCCCAACAAATTCCGGAGCGCTCTTCCTCTCCCAAAAGTGCGCAATCTGCCCACACACACAAAATTATTTCTCAAAAATAGAATAAACAAAAACACATCTCACAGCCGATCTCAACTGCCTGCCCTGCTCGCCACCGAACTCACTAACAACGCCAGCATTTCCAAACCCCTGACTAAATCCCCTAAAACCTCACCAGGCACAACTCTAATCTACAGTAGCCTGCCTTCTTCTATCTTAGTGCCTAGCCGCCATGCCTCAAGCGTACCGGGAACCTGTTCCTAGCACTTCCAGTGCTGGGGTTAAGGTGGTCTCGGGGAGCCGATTTGGGGCGCTGGAAGACAGGGGTATACTCATCCACGAGCTCAAATAGGGATGGTGTCGTGGGAGTGGACAGGGGCGTACGGATTGCTGGGACGAGTGGGTGTTTGGATGTGGGACAAGGTGGTTGATAGAAATTCAAAAGGAGGACTGCCAAGGCGTTGAGCTCGGTGTTTGTGATGTTGCTATCTCTTACAATTTTCCTTTTGGTGCGCTCAGGGCCTGAATGTATGCTATCGAGGGTTTATTAAAAAGGGTATATGAGATGGATGGATACGAGCACACAGAGTTCAGCAATTAAAAAGCATCAGTGGCATCAAAAATCCGTCGTTTCAGTAGCACTGCCGAGGACATCAAACCAAACCCAACCTAACGGCTCTCATCCTCAGCCGCCTACGCCCTGCCATGCCTGCCCAGAGCAGCCCATCGCATGTCAGTATTCAAGATAGCCACCAACCACCCACCCAGACACAAAAACAAACCAACACATTTACTCACTGCCTCCACGTCTTTTCAGAAATAAAGGTTCAAAACCGGACCAGCCATCTCTAGCCGCATGCCGCAAAAGATGAGATGAATAGATGCGAACGAACGAACGACCGAACGAACGAAGGGGTGATCCGAATCAAATTGCTGCTGTAGGTAGATTACATGATTCGGGACTCTGTTTTATATCCCGGCCCGTCGCGTGGCGTGGCGTAGCTTGCCTCTCAGACTGAAAGCGTGGCGCTACGAGATATGATTTGCGATTCACGAATTGTGATTCTTCAGGGTCTCTGGCGTCAAAGCTGGTGATTTGTTGGGAGCGAAGGAGAGAGTAGTGAGGCGTGCAACCTGCTGGATAAGTAATGTTGCGCTCGCTGTGGCTGTGCTACTCTACGACTAGACTATTGGATTTGGGCATCTATATATTGGGAGCCCTGAGCACCAGCTGGACAGCACGAGACGCCGTCAGACGACCACGTTACTATCTTCCTGCTCAGAAACAACTAGATTTTTGTTGGTGCAGGACATAACTCACTCACGCCTTGCGACTGGTTTGACAACATTATTCAGACGAGCATCCCGTCGGTTGTGGCTGAGTTCTGATATTACGCCCTGGGATGTCCGACTGGCTGTCGCAACGGACGAGTCATACTTGCATGCGATAGATTTAGAGGCGAACGAACAGACGATTTAATTCGGTTTGGAAATGAGAGTCGTCGCGACGTCGATGCGCTGGGCTCGGCTCGCGCTGAATCTGTCACATCGCTTCGCAAATCATAGGGAGGAACGATCGACCAAGTGATTGATTTGGACAACCAATGATCAGCTGTTAAACGAGGCTGTTTTGCCTTTTTGTCATGTTTTTGATTTTCTGTGGTGTTGACTACTCCTCTGTTGTTGGCCCTATCGAAAATAAACTTCGTATGCTTAGGTTACACCCACCCTACCGGCATCACACCTCCCCTTCCGCGGTGGATTTAAGATTCTTAAGATTCAGGGTCTCTCCTCGTGAGAATGCTTCTAGAAGACTTCCGCATTCGTCTTCCTCTCCCGTGCATCAATAATCCTCAAAGCGTAAATCTCAATAATGGTCCTCTCCAGACAGACCAGGACATACCTGTCCTGTCCCAACCACATGAACTCTCTAGTCTGTTCATATTTCAGACTCGCACGCTCGCATAGAGCAGAACGTATTATGATTCGACAGGAGCAAGCATATGCATGTACGGAGCCCAGTCCCGAACATATATCTTTCCTTGCCCTGGTGGATGCAATAATGTCATGCGATCCGAAGTTTTGGTTCAGCTAAAACAAATGAACCTTGTCTCGCCATGCTTGATGACAGGACGAACGCTCGATCGATTTTGTATTTGTTAATTGAGCCCTGATACAGTCCGTTTGATCCACATCCGGCTCCATATTCGTGTGTTCCGGTCACTAGGCAGCTGGACGGCAGAGCCTGGTGAATAATGTAGGCGGCTGGGCCCTTACTACCATTTTGAGCCTCCCTTTTCTTTCTCTTGGGTATTATTGAGGGAATGATGAGGCAGGAGTTAGGAGAATTTTAATGATGTGAGTTCCAGAGGCGGCACATAGTGTCTTGGAAATTTGAGAGGCGCTGGGGGTTTCTGTGCCTGACTTTAGTGTTCCGCATGCTCGGGAAATCCGAAGCCTCCCGCCAGCGACGAACTGAAATGTTCCTGCGCCTTTCCGCTGTCAGGCAGATCACATCTATTATTGAGTTCAAATATCTTGTCTCGGGGACAAGGGAGGACGGAAGGAGTGACGGGGGAGAAACGCCTCGTCTCGGCACTTCACAAACACAACAAGAAAGTGGTTCGTAGAATATTTTCATGAATAGTGAGCTGAGCTCATCTCAGTCATCCTTCGTCTCTTGTGCAACAATTCTACTCGGCAAGCCAAGAGATGATCATAGACATGTAATACAAGTCTGGAAATCAGCTTACGATCCACTGGCCTTCTTTGTTCTCAAGAAGCTTCTATCGCGTCTCACGACATAGGAGTGTTACACGGACGTCCACTTCCACCGGATTACACGACTGCGGCATTTAACCATTCCATCGAAGATATGCAAAGGAAGATTTCCCAGATTAGATCTGAGATACACGACAGCGGATACTGTGTGCTGCTGTGCTTCGACCAAGATTCCGGCTCCGTTTATGGTATGAAGTGTTCGAAGGAATCGATCACATCGAGATCGCATCGTAGCTGTAATCTAAACTAGAGATATACCGGTATTGAAAAGGATAAATAAAGTATTCCCGAGTCATCGTATCCTCTTGCTTCCGATGATTCAGCATGAATGACTTCTGATAGAAAGTTAGAAACTTCCGGGTCGACGGGACAGTGAAGCAGGAAAAGTAAATTGTAATGATTCATTTTCGTTTGCTTGGAGAAGAGTTAGAGTTGCTTCATATCAAAATTATCATGCCTCCAAGTTACAACACTCTTGCGATCTATCACATCCCATCCATCGCATTAAAGTCCCAATTCAGCTCAGCAGCCAAACCATACCAAAGCAACGGCAACGGCCGTGCGACGGGGAGGGATTTCCAGCCTGCAGGTTTTCTTCCTTCCCGTCCTTCCATACCCCTGACGATCAATCCCTATCCCATGTTGACAGCCGCGGAAGTCGAACCGGATCGACGCCTAGAAGTTGCAGGAGAAGGGGCACGGAAGTCAGAATGCCCTCTACTCCTTCATGCCCCGCTTGCAATTTTTTGCTTCCTCCCGTGTCACCAAAAGCAAGTCCAGAGAGCTCACCTCACTGGACGCTCATGCGGCCTGTTCTGTGACCTGATTGTTGGTCCTGAGTTGAGTGGGTGTGGACTGTGAGGTGTGAGGCGATGCCTTTGACAGCGAGAGATAAGGATTGCTTGTGTCTAGTCCGGATTTCATCCTCGGTACTGCGTCAGCAATGATCTCACTGCTTTCAATCTATCAGATTCCAAGGAAGTGGTAAGTTTTCAAGGCCAGCCACCTCCCGGCTTCATGTCTTCCAATCTACGCAGCGGACTCCTCGAAATCCCGGAGTAGGCAATTCCGTCGTCCTAAACCTCACGCCTCTCTGTTGCTCATCCAACTTACTTGCCGTGCTCAGCGTCCCTCGGTCTCGTTCTCGGACAGATGACCCTTCACGAGGGAGCTGGGGACTAAGTCGCTTCCCGTCTCCGTAGAGTGCGACAAGAGGACAGAAGTCATTTCATTTAACAGATACGCCGCGCTTGGTGATGCACAAACGTCTTTAGCCGCATCGCATCGTAGCGCACAGCACCGAAGCGCAATCACTCTGGGGAAACCTCTCAACTCGGCTTGCCGACCGAGAGACATGCAGATTTCAGATGCAGATGCAGATGCAAATGTAAATGCAAGCTGGCGGCGGCAGTGACACAGAGAGCCGGATAACGTAGCCAGCTCGCGTGGAACATCAATGAGTTTTCGCTCGGGGACTTGGAAATCTTGCTTGTGAAAGGCACAGGACTCGAAGGGCCGAAAACATGACTTGACTTGGCTGAACCTGACCTCATCTCATCTCGATTGAATTGCTGTAGTTCGGTACCGAGGTCTACGGACCGCTGTGGTTATACGACGGACGCGGAAGAATTACAGCTCGTTACGAAGAGAAATTTCGATGAACAGCCGGAAGAAGGGAGATCCTGGCCTGGGGTAGGTATATTGGGGATAATAAATATCTCATATGGATTTACCTGTTGTTCTAAGCGACGAGGAAGAATGAAGAACAAAAGTTACTTCCCGTAGTCAGTGATAGCATTTCTCCATAAGTTTCTACTTGTTGTGAGCATTGAGGGTGTCGAAAGGCGCGCTCGAGCATCAAAAGCACTTCGTTCAAGCGCGACCGTTTATTTTCTTCTCCTCCTCATGCATGATCAAGGATATCAAAATCCAGGATCAGATAGCCAACCATCTAGCCAGTCTTCTTCACAGAAACAATGAAAATCACCACAGCTATGCAACAATAATCGAGCCACAGCGAAGGGCAAACTCTTCTCTCGGACTCATCCTCCTCCTCCCCTTTCCCTGCCTCTCACATGGGAACCAAGGATAAGATCACCGGCTCCTGGCCCCCGTTGTTTCCACAGCTTCTGGTGTGTTTCCACTTGTTCCAGCGTTCCCCTTTCTGGTGGAGTCGACGCTTGACTGGGATACTGCATGAACTGGGGGAGAATGAGTGGAGGGTCCGTCCCTGCCCTGCATTACATTACCGATATGCCTGCTGCATGAGGATATGCAGGGGTAGTGGCTGGGGCATGTGGCTTCTGAAGGCTTGCCTGGACTGATAAGTTTTGGCTTCAGATGCCACGATGATGCGCAAGGGGATTTTTCATCTCATCTTGAGCATCCTGTTTGAGTATTTGCGGGGAGGGCAGAGAAGATCGAGGTGTGTGCCTGTTTGATATGGAGAGCCAGGGGCTCATACCAAGCCTGACCTGCGTTCCCTACATGCATGTTTTCTGTTCCTGCATTTGTGCAGGTCACTTCGTTCGGAGCGTACATTGATTGTTGGGTCCGTATTTCCCATCACACCCCTTCCTCACTGCATTTTATCTGCATCTTTATGTTCGAAGGAGGCAGCAAAAGTCGTCGCACGCACAATTTATCTGCCCGCACGAACAGCAAATAAATGCCTCTTTCAAACGAGCGAATGTGTCAGTCATTCAGACTTTCACCAGCATAGATGAAGTAAGTTTAAGGGTAAAGATTCACCAATCCATTGGATTCGAGTAGATGCATACGCACTTACAGTTGAATATGCAAAGACTCATAGTTCAGTTTAGGCTTCGACGATAGAAGGAAAGGAAGCCCTTAAGGCGGGTTCTAGCGGCCTTCTGGAAACCTTCTAAAGCATTGTGAAGAGTGCCCTGAGCGCGGCGTCCAGTAACAGTGGTATGGAGTCAGACTGTCAGAGATTCCAGAAACTCAAATCTCGGCTAGAAGCCGATGCGGTTACATCCAGGGGTATGAGGCGGTTGGTTGGCTGACTGGGTCAACTTGGTTGGGTGGTGCCGTGCAAGAAAAGTGTTCATCCGAATCAGGGGAGGGAGTACTGTAGTTTTGCACTGCTGGACGGTAGCTCCCTTCCCCGGAACCTGACTGACTAAATTGCACCAGATCAGCCTCAAACAACGGCAGTTGTGTCTCTGGCTCTCGATCAGTCTGGATCACACCACTCTATCCATGAGGGAGCAAAAGGTGAGAGAACCATGATATCTCAATCCTGGCTTTGCCCATGGCCTGCGCCTGGTCTCTGTTTTTCTTCCTGCTCTCTGGTAAGCTAGCGGAGCATGATCTGATCATACGCGGAGGACAGGGCAGAAAGAAGGGGAGGGTCCAGGATCCCGACTGTTTGGGCGTTAATCGCAATCTCCGCGTCTGCGTCTTCTGTCCGCGTCTGTGTATCCCGTTTTGTCCTGTCCGTGTCTTATCTTGTTCTTGTCTGGCGGTTTGGCCCTCCCGTACCCGAGGGGACGGGATCGACCCCGTTGAGGTATGGAGTCTGTTAGAGGAGCCGGTTGGTTGGTGTATCGCGAACGGCAAGGATTTCTGTCAGGTGGATACAGAGAGGAGAGGATGAAGGGGAGGCTGGTTGACGATCATGACCTTTCCGTTGGGAATTTGAAGTCAGGATAGATTGAAAGAGTGGGGATGTGAACATGCTACATTCCATATATCCACTTTTTCAGTTGGCTTGGTGATCTCCTTTTTCCGTTCTGAGGCTGACCCATGGCTTTAAAGTTTCAGGGAGAGTTTTGAGGTGGGAGATGGGGCAGGAGGAGAGAGAAGGAGGGAGGACCTGGGGAGCTTGGGCTTGAGAGATGGGGATGATGAGGCTGAAGTGGATGCTTTAGGCAATCGATTTGAAAGATCTTCTTCAGACTTTTTCTTCTCTCTTTCTTTCCCTCCCTATTTTCATCTGACCATCTCGTATTTCAATATTTTCGATAATTTCAGTCTCCTCCATGCGTTCTAAATCTGCGTTTCTGCATCATGCCTTTTCCCCCCTTTCATATGCGTTGTCTATCTCTTCCTTCCAGGTCCCTGTCATGGCGAGTTCCGTCGCTGACCTGTTGGCCGATCTTCCGGCTTCGTCTTTGCATCTTGAAAAGTTTCAAGGCACTGACTGGCCTGCCATATTGGCCGAGAATGATCTGATTCGGGAGATGATCTTGTACGCCCTCATACAATACGTCTTCCATAAGCTAGCTGCCGCTTCAGAACTGGTGCAGGAACGAGGGTGCGTCACATAATGGTTCGATATGTATGAGAAAGAACCTCGTCGACGGTTACTTATGATGTAGTGGGGTTACCAAGGTCCGTCCCTTCCAGAGAGGCAGGCAGTCATTCCAATATATCACGTGAAAACATCTTTCCCCTTCTCCTTGCTGATATTTTGTCTGTACCTCGAGATTGCGCAACATTCCATTGTTTACCTCTATAGACCCTACTGCCTGAATCCTTGCTCTGAGCATTCGGTGATGGGCAAGGTCTAGTCCCAAGTCACATGACAGTTTTCGGCCAGCTGCAGGACATGGAAAGCTTCTCCTGTCCAGCCAACCCTGAATCAATGTAGCACAAGAATTGTCATCCCATTATCACAGCAAGAATGAGAATCTCATTCTCTTTGTTGCACTTCGCAAAAAAACGAATAATTTCCGAGAATCTGAAGCCATCCTTCATGAAGTTATTGTGTTTCGTTTTTGCCCTTCGCTTCGTTTTGACCGGATCCTCAAACCGGGCTGGACGTCGACAGGTCGACGCCACGCCCGCAACAAGGCTATTCTATATGAAGCGCGCTACGGATTACGAGTAAACGCAGTTTCATTACGATGAGCGACCGGTCTGCGCCTTTAGGTTTTTGCAGAGACAGAAGAGGTAATCATGGCGGGTTTTGTGGCTGCGCTTGGTGTTCTTGGATTATGAATTGGGGAGATCAGGATCTATTTTTGGGGACTTAGATGGAAAGTGCATCTGGTTTTAATAAGGCTGCGCTTGATATCCAGATCCAGAGGGTATTTTAGCTGGATGTTTGATTCTTTATTTTGGGAGAGAAAGAGCTTAGTTTGATCGCAGCTTCCCTTCCCGCTTTTCAAGAAGTTCCTGCTTTCCTTTCAACCACTTCGTTTCAGGCACACTCGCGAAATGACAAATTCTCCGAATGTCTTCAACTTCAAACATATCCTCAGCTCCAGCAGTCCACCAACAGAACATCATCCCTTGCTCCGCCCCCTCGTCCCTCTCATGAATCATCACCAACATAACCACCAGCGCAACTTTATCTCCTCAAGAACAATAAGTCCAGTTGATCGCCACGCACGATCCTCTCTTCCCCTCCTCGGCCCAGCAACCGTCTCCCCACGACACGGCACACTGGTCGATTCGCACCGAGAATAGCTCCCGTCAAGCCTACATCACATCCGATCGACCCTGGATTTATCTTGAAACGCATATCTCCGATCTAGCCTGTAGTCTAAATGGCCCTTAGCTGGAGCTACTGCAGGTGCGTGTGGGCTCTGGCTTGTTAGCTACAGATGTTGATCGTGGATAGATAGGCTGAGTTGCTCGGCTTTATCGCTGGCAAGCAATCGGAAGTGCAGTCTATGTCACTATCTCCCCTTATGCCATCGAGTTATGGTTCATTTGGTTCATGTGCCGGTTGAGTTCTCGGAGGAGACCGAAAGGTAGGCGTTCCTGATTTTCGCACAACCGCTGCATCTGTATCCTCTCCTTGCAACAGCTGTCCTTTGTCAATTTCGCATTCAAGATAATGCTGGACAGCTCTTTATGTCCTCCAGTTGGCGAAGAAGCACGAAAGAAGCATCAATGAAGATCAGAGCTCTAAACTCGGCTTTGCTATGTAAGACTGTCTTTTGGTTCATTTCTTTTCAGCCTCTTTATCACATGTCATTTGACCCAGATCACCATGCTTGACAATCATCCAGTTCACCTTACTCTTCCAGAAAGCTGTCACGTACTGCTAGCCTTGGCCTAGTGGTCCCAATACCTCGATTCTGGGTCGTCGGAAATTTATTTGCTACATGCAACAAAAATCACTTCGTAGCATTTTTCTGCGTCGATACTGGTTCTTTCAGGCGGGTGATAGTCACTCCTTGACCATGGAAAGCTTTGGATATGAGACCGATCAACTGGAAAGGATAGATATGGCTAGGGTGTCGAGCTAGCTACAGGACCTTCTCCTAGCTGGGAAGAAATCGACCCCGCTTGGAAGGGTAAGGTTTATGCTTAAAGGTGAGGAGATGTGAGAGTCTCCATATATCTTCACCTGGTGACCTGATAGACTTGACCCGCGGCGGGTATGATCGGTATGCTCCACTTTCGTGCGATTTGCAACAAAGGATGGAGAATAGAAATGGCCCGCTTTGCGGTGGGGAGTGTGGGGGACGATGATGGAGGGCGAGGGGTTGAGGAGTACTGTGATCAGCTGGTCTGAGATCTTCGGAACGCTCTAATGAAGCACGAACGGCAGCGAAACAAGCGATCCTCGTGGCTGCCGCGAGCTGTCGCTTATGCCTTTGTACAGATCTATGGTGAGATGGACGTGCTGCTATGATGGCTACTCATAACCACAGTCCATCTCCAGCTTTTTCTATCTCGAAAATCATCTCCTTCTACTTGGCGCCGCTGTCCGTTTACGTCCTTTCTCAGCTCTCCCACGAGCTCAAGAAAGCCTTAATTATATTACGAGTTTACTCAAACTTCCGGTAGTGACCTACCTTATCTTGGATATACCGACTTCCCACTGCAAATCCTCAGACTATCAGCCGACCGACCAGACCAGACCACCTGTTCTTTGTCAAGCGCAGAACCTAATCTTATCGAAAGGTACCGTTACTTCCTGGAGTACCGGCTTGCAGCAAGGCATCGCCGATTTTTGCGGGGTAAATAGTGGAAGTACAGTTCGCTCACTTGTCCGCTTCCAGCACTGACAAGCTTTCCTTTAAGGGGAACCTCGGCAGCGCTCTCCCCGCGACGCTAACTCATCTCTCCGCCTCTCAAATGATTCGGGGGTCTCTATCTCGCCTCACAGGCTTCTACTAAACTCCACAAGTTCTCCTCTCTCCCTCTTATTCGAGTTCGATCTCAATATCCCGTCTTGGCAACTCTAATTCACACTTTCCCCTCTTATTACCTTACCCCCCTCTGCCCCTTTTCTCACTTAGACTTAAATTTACTTCCCACCTGCTCTTTGCAGCTGCGCTACGAGGGTCAGCTTTCCCTTTTTCCCCACAACACCACGCAGAAAAAGCAAGTTAAGGCATCCACTCCACGCCAGATTCGAACGAGCGAGCGAGCGAGCAAGCAAGCAAGCGAGGGAGTGAGTGAATGGGAAGCAAGCATTCGTTCGAGTGGAGATTGGGGTGGGGCGCGTGCGATTTGCAACAAAAACGCTGCGCTGTCTGGTGTTTGGCTTATCTTCAGGTGGGTGTGGATTCTAATAATAAGGGGTGTAACCTCTCTTGTTATGGGTGTAGGGTGTGGGTGTGGGTGTGAGCGAAATGGGTTTGGTGAGGCTGTGAAGAGGCAGGTGTGGGGTTGTGGTTGTGGGCTGAGGACTTCTTTACCGGTAAGTACCTATGTTCCATTCACAAGAGAGATGCCGCCGTGGAGACGGGATGCGGGTGCGGATGCGGATGCGATGCGATGCGGATGCGATGCGATGCGGTGCGGTGCTGTGTTGTGTCAGCAGATTGGCTGGAGAATACTTATACTGTGTTCTGGGGATGAAAAGGTAATTTTCCGGAGGGTAGGTGGGACTTTGTAAGTGTTTTGGTTGTTTCCTTATCGGCACTTGGATATCTGAGGCTCTTCTGATTCAGGGGAAGCTCGAATGAGTAAGGTAGGTAGGTAGTAGGTATTCGCCCCCTCACATTTCTCTGGCCATCATCCACTTCTTCCCTTCTCGTCATCCAAAGTCAATCACCGAATTTTTTGGTCAATTATCGCAATAGTCCTTCAGGACTTGGTCGGTGAGATAAGAGAGAAATGGACTAGGAAACTGTCTACAGCCTTGTTTTTGAAATGGTGGCGGCGCGGTTCAACTCTATCTATCCTTGTTCTCCAATCCTTGATTGCTCTCCTCCCCATCCCATACATCCGGGGCGGTGTTTTGTCACATATCACCTGCCTTCTTCATGACATTTCTCTTTGTGTATCTATCGTCGCAGAGGAGTCTTTCTTGGACGTCATGTTGTTGTGTTGCTCACAGTCTGAGTCACTCCGGGAGATATCGCTCTCCTTCCTTCCACATGCTCCCAGCGGTGCGGCACGCGAATGAGCAGTCTGCTCTAGATTCGTGGCCGGCTTATTGTCGTGTATCATGACCTTAATCCAACTACAATCAAGCTATCTCTTCACCTGGGTCTATATTCAAAGCTTGCTTGCGGTCCTTTTGATATTGATGTGGCGGTGGCTGAATCTGCAAGGCCGGTAAGATTGGGGAGTTGCAGCCTTCCTACTGGTCAGCACCAAAATGTGTATCGCTTCCTTCCAGGAAATACATCAGCCATCACCTCTTTGGGGCAGCCTTTCTAGATTATACCAGGCTGCAACCCCTCAAGAGTCTTGACTGCATGTTTGTTTTCCTTGGGATGTGCTATCAAAATACTCCTTCCACCCAATTTCCTCCAATTGCGAAGTCCCATGATGCATCGTGGTCTCGAACGAGTCACAGCAATCCGGGTGCTCAGCCTTGCGACTGTGGCATTCGAATACTTATATCGTAGTGTATGCAACTAATTTTCCAGTATTATCATTCACAATGGCATCCAACAACCCTTTGAGAAATTATGTCTTCAACAATTACGACGAATGACCTACTCGATCCTTTGGTGCAGGAAGTGACCCTTTCGCCAGGATCGTCACCACTGTTCACACCACAAGGACCAGCAAGTGTGACAGACCAAAGGCCTCGATTAGTTTCTGTTCAGAGCACGAAATCGGTTGCATTCGATCCGTCCGCTCAGCAAGATACCAGCCACCGAAATAACACGCCTGAGCAACTGGCGACACCACCCAGATCATCTGGGGATAAAAGAAAAAGCATTTACTGGCGCTCACCAGCCAGCATGGTAGCATGTTTTTTTCTTGGCGTTTTTGTAGCTCTAGGCCATCATTTGTACTACACTTCGCTGAAAGGGGACCTTGTGGGAGATGAGGACGAGCAACAGAGAAAGTTAAGGTATGTTATCATTCCCCACAATGAACCTAAGCTTGCTGGACATCATGCGAGGCTGCTTGTTGACCATGTTTATAAGCTAACCGAAAGCCTTTTGATAGATATGGTACGACGTTCGCCTTTGTCACACAAGTCAGCCTTGTTGGTTCTGTCGGATTCGCGTATTCGCAGTGGCTGTGGAAGACTCTGAGGGCAACCACAGTTTCGGTGCAATGCCTGGACTCGGCATTTTCTGCCGATACACAATTGATATCCATGTTTAATCCGGAGATGTGGTGGAAGATTAAACTTGGTTCGGTCCTTGCTCTACTTGCATGGTAAGTGTGGAAGAATCCGATGTGTCTATACCCAGCCAAGACTTACAATCTACAGGTGCCTCCAACTGCCGTCACTAATCACGCCAGCAACTCTTGGTGTAGTACCTGGTACGCAAGCGGTAAACACATCTGCAGAGGTACCGCGTCTTCTCATTTCGACCAACGATACTGGTCAATATTCCCGGTTTGAATATTCGGCTCCTCTTCTCCCAGATACCGTTGAAGGGCTCAACGATACGAATAACTTCTTTGTCGGTCCACGAACCATCATTTCTCGGCTATCATCAGCTACAGCGACGACAGGTCAGATTCAGTCCATCTACCCGCCATTCACCAATTCTTCGTATTCTCTTCAGTTCTTTGGTCCAACTGTTAAGTGCGAGGAAGCAAATAGCACACAAGCGGGCATTATCGATCGTCTTCTGAAGCTGAAGATGTCGCATTCGAGGGATAACTTCTCGGAACAGACCTCAGCATACTTTGGATTTGTCCCAAACGAGTATATTATCAATGGTGGCGAGGTCACAGATATTGCAACGGTGAACGAAATATCTGATATCAGGATGCAACGACCTGCGAACACTTCATCGAACCAGCTGTGGACAACCTACCAAAGGTACGTCTGGGATTCGATCGGAAATCGAAGCACTGTTGTCCATCATACAGTGTGTCGTCTGTTCAACGCCTCCTATGATGTCAATTTCGACTTCCAAGCTGGCAACCAGATTATCCAGAAAAATACAGAACTTGGCATTTTAAATGAGATCAAGTACCCTGCGGATGACCCTCAGACGCCAACCAACTATGCAGCTCATTCTTACACGGCCTTCATGTGGGTTGTGACTGATCAGCTTGTTGGCTCTATGGGTTTCTGGATTGATAATACAACCAATCGGAAATTCAGCTCCATTTCTACTCCTATTGAACATAACAGTCTTCTCGGCAGCGTGGATCTCGATCCATTCTTTGATTACAACGATGCTCTCTATCGTCAAAATTCGACGACCGCCAACAAGACCATGAGCGATCAAAGAAGGGAGGACAAGGACTTGGCGAAAAACAAGACGCTGAATGCGCTGATCGAAGAATTATCTTTCAATGTTACCATCAGCTTTATGAGTAGTAACCTTCTGTCGTAAGTCCTACCCAAACGTAGCGAAACCTTCTGTCTCCCTTTCCCATAATGAGTTCGGCTGTCATCCTGGATTCTTCGCTAACGCCACCCGCAGGCCTAAGGTCAACACAACAGTCCTTCGCACTACAACACTTAATGTCTACACCTACAAATCCACAAGTCTTTTCCTCGCTTACGGCCTCGCAATCCTCACCTCCCTCCTCGCCAACATCCTCGGAATAATAGCCTACATCTCCAACGGATCAGCCCACGATAGGAACTTCTCGGCTATTCTCGGTGCAACCAGGGAGCGTGAGCTGAGCCATTTATTTGATGAGAAGAATCATGGGATCTTACCGGTACCAAAACCGACGAAGATGACTTTGTTGAAATTTAGAGATATGGATGATGGGGGCTGGAGCTTTAGGAAGGAGGAAAAGAAAATTGATCCCAAGGACTGGAAGGCATTGATGGATAGGAGGACGAGTGTGGTGAAGAAGTCTTGGAATTGGAGCGAGGCTTTCGGCTTGTGGAAGACAAAGACAATGGGTGAGAAGAGGGGCTGACGATGATTAACGGAGAGCTCAGCTCGAGAGGTAACATGAGAAGAGGAGGGGAGAGTAGGTCTAGGAGCTCTGAACGCAGGCGATGGAGCGATGCGAGGCAGTTAAATGCAGAAAAAGCAGTATTTAAATCGCGTCACTGGGAGCCAAGACTTACGTGAAGGTATGTCTGGCGAGATTTGCAAGGAGGGGTATTAATTCTAACAATAACCAGAACCCAACAACAGCCAGGATAAATGACAGTGCTATTGCAAGCAGCAGCACTGTTAGTAACAAAGTAGGAATATAAACAGCTAAACTTGCTTCCAACCCTCCCACAGTCCCATACACTTGTCATATGATCAAAAATCAGTACTCAGACTCAACTCCTTCCATTCCTCCAACCCTTTTTTCTCAGCTTCCAGGATTCCTTCAACAGTGGCCACATAGTCACTCCCCATTCCCAACCTCCACGGCAACGTCTTCCCCTCACACCGCCCCGAATGCGTCAAAGCCTCCACAATCAACTGACTCCCCTTCACCGGGTCCCCAGGCTGATTATGGTTATAATCCTCGAACGCCCTCCTCAACGGCTCCATCACCGGCTTAAGATCATCAATCACCCTCGCCGCCACGACCTTATTCCCCGCCGCCAGCAAATCCGTCCTAAAATACCCCGGCTCAATCAAGGTCACCTCAATCCCCAAATGCTCCACCTCCCGCTTCAACGCATCAAAGATCCCCGCCAACGCCCACTTCGTAGAGCAATACACTCCACACCCTACACTCCCATGCCAACCGCCTACACTTCCCAGCCCAGCGATCACACCAGATCTCGCTTCCCGCATGTACGGCAAGACAGCTCTCGTCACAGCCAGAGTGCCGAATACATTCACGGCGAAACTCGCCTTGGCTTCAGCGTCGGAGGTCTCTTCTATGGCGCCTTCGAGCACGGCGCCGGCGTTGTTGACGAGGATGTCGATGCGGTGGTGTTTGGCGATGGCGGTTGAGATGATGGAGGTGATGACTGGCTCTGGGGATGTCACGTCTAGTGCGAGGGTGGTGGCGCCGAGGGTGGAGAGGTGTGTTAGTTTGGAGGGGTTGCGGGCGGTGGCTATTACGGTGTCGCCGCGGGCGAGGGCGAGGGTTGCGATGGTGGAGCCGAAGCCGGAGGAGCAGCCGGTTATGAACCAGACTTTGGGAGATGGGTTTGAGGTGGTGGTTTGGGCTGTGGTAGACATTGTGTGTATGGTATTAGCGAGGTATCAGCTTGAGGATCTAGATAGGCGTTGTATGTATTGTAGTTTGGTATTGATATTGAACTGCTCCCTTCAACTTCGACTCGTTTGTTGATAAAGAAAAAAAATCTTCATTCCAGGTGTTCTACTCCTACCTTATATTCCTCCTTCCACTCACTTAATTTCGCTCATTCCCCTTTCCATTCTCAACTCCATCGGACTTCTTTCCTCATTGTGTAGCACAAGTTCTGGTGATAAGTCGAACCTCGTCGTTAGCACCTTTCTCCTATCGGCGATAAGTCCCATCCGCCGCCGTCCCCCAAAGGCATCGGCGATACAGTATCAAGCGTTAGCCGAATGCGCCAAGGCAAGGAAAGAATGCAGCCCGTCAGCATGTCAGCAAGGAAGACCAATGGGCCTTTTGGGACGTGGTGTGATTGTGAGGGACGAGAGTTAGTGTAATCGCTGTACAGGAGCGCTCATTTTGTTTCAGCCCTGGAATTGGAGTTTGGGGTTGGGAGTTGGAGAGGAGATAGGTTGTGAATTACGGGGGGGGAGAAGTCGGCGTTAGGATATGGTGGGGTAAGGAAGCTGTGGGGGGGTGGGATTATGACCGTGGAGATTAGGGAGGGAGGGAGGAGATGAGATGAAACGAAAAAGTAAGACGAAAGGTAGTGTGTTTGAATAAAACCAATTCTGGGACACGTAATAATTCAAATGGTGGTACTGTACTTGGCTCCGCTGCTAGTTTGGAGAGGTGTTCTACATGGAAGAATGTGGAACTGCTTGCAGAGCGGATGACATCGGTATTGTCACTAGCCGGAATTTTTATCATCTCAAGCTGTGGCTGCTGATGATCAGAACAGTCTCGAATGCCACGATAATGAATTACTCTGGATCAGTCTTGGAGTCGACACTTTTGTCACAGCTTGGGAATCGCTCGCTTATTATTGTGGTGTTTTGGTTGGGTTACAAGAAGGACTCACAATAGCAATATCAAGTATAAAGAGTAACGACATTCTTCCAAAGTAACAGTTAGTACTATGCGATGGTGTACAAAGACATGGCAGACTTGACAGCCAATACCACATAGAAAATTGTTCGCAATGCTTGGACATTTTCGTAACCGAGCCCTGACTGGGTAGCAACGAAAAGTGTAAACACAAGGTAGAATAACTTGTATGGAGAGAATTAAGAAGTGTACTGGCGTATAGATGTAAGGGATCGTGGTTATTATTCGTAAAGCTTCAAGCTTCAATTCGAAAATGTAGTTGACGTCAGAGAGAGAATAGAGTTCCTGAGTCCCCGTCACCCTTTTTCGCCTCGTCAAGTTCATATTATTTCACTTACGAAATGTTATACTAAGTCTATCCACACACAACCCTCGAGCAGAGCTGGCTCAACTCGTCGCCAGTGTCTCCAGAGATTATGTGTCAAGAATGGCGGATGCAATGGAGCTGCGGCTACACCGAAATAACCCCCCAAGTTCTCTTCTGCCGTCCGTATGCGGCGCACAGGGTGGTTCCCGATCCGAACAACTGGGCAAGTATACATGACTGTCCCAGCTATATATATATACGTCGATAAGAAGAAAGATAGGTCGAGCTGTCCCGACTGTGACCGCCTTCCTGAGCGACGCAAGTGAAGGAAAAGTACTTCAACGACACCTCCAAGGCCGCCGGGTTGGGCATCAAGAAGCGCGCCGTCTGGGATGATGCATATTTCAACAACTAAGTCGCCGGCGGTAAAGAAGGCTGTTCTTTGTCTTTATTGTAAGGTGCGGGGGCGTGTAGTATATTGTAAGTAAGAAAGGTTAGTGATGTCACGAGCTGATGTAGAGAGTTTATATCAGGAGGATTATATGGAGATTCAATGAAATGACCCATGTCTAAGGGTGAGTAAAGCAACGGTAAATATACATAGAGAAGATCCAGCTGAACAAAAAAAAAAAAATGCCCCCCAGCGCGTACGCTCAATCAAGAAACGAACGCCGTGCGACGGTATCAAAACAAAGGAATGCCTGCCACCTGCGCCAACATGCCAAAAATGCCAAATACCCAGCTCGCAAATTCAAGAATCAAAGATAGCGCCAAAAGCAGGAATACCACGCGCTTCCATGGCGTAAACAACCATCTGAGTCAGCTTCTTGTTACTGATGATAGCGACAGCCTCCGCATTACTCTCTTTCAGCAAGCGGTAAGTGACAGCCACCATGTCCGGGCGACCCTGTGTTTTCGTATTGTGAATCACAGCATTGGGATCAGCTTCCTTGATTGCATTGATGATCTCTGGTCCGAAGTTCTGCTCCGGGTGAGGAGTCGACCAGAAGATCCTGCAGGGCACCTTCTTGGCGTAGATGACGGGTAGACAAGGACCGATGCCAGAACCGGATGCGACGAGGACGAGGGAGCGGAAGAGAGGAGCGATACGCAAGACACCACAAGCTGGAATACCGCGGACCCAGAGCTTGGTGGGTCCATTTTGGATTTGACGTTTCGTCCAGTCACCTGCATTGGAGACGATGACGGAGAATTCCTTGTCGTTTGGCTTTGCGATGGTGGCGAATGCGTGCCATTCAAGCAGTGGTCGCTCTGAAAGGCGGATGGCGGTGCCGACTGTGGGGTTGGCGTAGGTAAAGTATAGGCGTACGGCGTGTTGGGATAGGACATCTGCTCGGACTGTGACTTTGCGGAGATGTAACCAGGGTAGAATGATACTGCTTGTTGCGGTTGCCAGGAGCCAGAAACCCGGGTTAACGAGCAGTGCTGAGCCAAGCGGTTTGATACCACGACCGCTGTTGGTGACAACGATGGTTTGTGCCCAAAATAGAGCAAGTGCTGTCCATCCGGCGAAGCGATGGACGATTTCGAAACGGTCGTGATATTTCATCCGCATTGTTGGGTGTGCAGTTCCCACCATAGCAATCATAAAAGCAACGATGAGGTACGAGACCACCAAAGTCGGTAGATCGGGGTTGTTCAAAGTCGTACCAACGGTGAAAATAATGAGCCAGATAAGCGAGAAGACAGCACACCCGCTGTGTAGTCCGCCAATGTGGTAGACTTTTGCGCAGTTCCGTCTGATGAACATAGGCCATGATGTGGGGACAGCGCATGCAATGGTGAAGAGGGCGTTGATCACATACTCCTGTCTCATCAGGACAGCCATTGTCAGATTCGCAGCAACAGCTGTGGAGATGTTCTGTAAGCCTTTCCCGGTCCGTCCAAAAGTAATCATTAGGTATACAGCCACGAGGTTGACAACGAACACGAGGGTAAACAGTCGTCGGTAGAGTGACAAGATACGGTGCCGGAAGGCACGCAGTCCATGCATGCCCTTCTTCTCCGGAAGAGGGAATTTCTCATTATAATCGCTGTCCGAGTCGCTAGAGGAGGTCGAGGGTGGTCCAACGATGATCTGCATCTCCTTCTTCTCGGAAGGAACATGTGCAGGTTCTGGTTTCGATATCTCGGGCGTGCTGGGTGGTGTGAGTGGCTTCCCGGTTACTGAAGCTAGCAGCGCTCGTTTGTCTATTTTGCCGTTCGATGTCATTGGCAATGTCTCTTGGAAAACAAATTTCGAGGGAACTGCATAGTATGGTTGACGTTCTTCCACGGTGCGTTTGACGGCAGCCTCGTCGACAAATTGAGTTCCAGAGTAAAATCCCCACAGGACCTTCTCGCTGAAGATTGCGCAAGCTTTGGTGACGAACGGAGCAGCTTCCATAGACGCTGAGACGCTATCCAGCTCAACTCTGAATCCCTTGATCTTAACTTGATCGTCCGCACGACCTTCATGAGCGATTGTACCATCAGAGTTCCAGCGGCAAAGATCGCCAGTATTGAACATCACGGATCTGTTAGAAGTTAGTATGGTATGATTCCTAGCAGAACGAGGTTATGTTACCCCCGGCTGTCGAATTTGTCTCGTTTGTAGCGTGTCGATGTAAGTTCTGGGAGGTTGAGATATCCGCGTGACACGGCAGCACCTCCAACCCACATCAACCCAGTCTGCCCGATCGGAACTGGATTCTCGTCTTCATCCAAAATATAGACACTGGTATTGGGGACTGGCTTTCCGATTGAGAGTTCTGTCCCGGTTGTATGCCTGTCTTGTGTGAGTAAATGGTTCGTGAACTCTGAATATCTCGGAGACAAGCGAGACGTACCTGTGCATGGTATTGACTATAGTCACTTCGGTTGGACCACAGCAGTTGAAAAATGCGGCCTGTGAGGCCCACTCGTCGGCAAGTCTATTTTAAAGTATGTCAGAACTCAAATTTAGGTTTTCTGACATTCATCGGCAGCGCATGGCTTACACTTTTGGACAAGGCTCGCCAGCAAGGGCGACAACTTTGATATTTGGATATGCTTTGCGGGGGAATGTGGCCAGGATTGAAGGTGTGGATATGATTGTGTGTGCCTAGAATCACGGGCTCGTGTTAGACCAGGTTCCAAAAGATAAGGTAAAGTATGTAAGAAAAGATGGCAGGGGTGTATAAGGTTCACTCACTCGTTTCAGAACATCTTCCCATTTGCCTGTTCTGATAAGAAGGCTTCCTCCGTTCATTAGAGTTCCAAAGATCTCCCACTGGCCTGCAATTGCATCATTAGCATCGAGCTACGAAGTCAAATGTTTTCTTGGGACTCATACCCATGTCGAAAGAAATCGAGAGCAACTGAGCAACCTCGGTCCCTTTTCGGATATTAAGATTTCCTGGATAGCTGCACAGTAAATTCGTGACATTGCCGTGTGCAACGTCAACGCCTTTAGGAGGACCTGTGCTGCCTATTTTCTGTCAGAATCCGATCTTACAATTCAAGCGCTATACGCACCAGAAGTGTAAATGCAATAAGCTCCGTCTGCACGACTGACATGTAAGTCAGGTCGGAGGGTTGACTCGGGTTCTTCGATAGAGCTGTCAAGTACGACTATCCGCGCCGTTGGTTCAGCCAGCTGCTGAACTTTCGAGTAGAATTTTTCCAAACATAGCACAAATGGAGCCGCGGTATCTTTCATGATGTGTCGAAGGGCACTCTCGGCAGTCACTTGCCCGTCGAGCGGTACGTATTGACATCCCGCTTTTAACACAGCCAGCATCGCGATTGCCATTGGTAAAGACCGCTGTACAACTAGGCAGACCCGTTGTCGAGGCTCAAGGCCCATGGATATGAGACGATTGGCAAGTCCATTGGCGCAACTCTCTAGTTCTTGGTATGTGAGACTGCGACCTTCTTGCTCAACAGCAATCGTATTTGGCTGCTCGTCGACCTTGCTCTCGAACGCGCTGTGAATAGTGCTGAAAGGTGTTACGATGTTCCGCCCGCGGCCAAATTCTGATTTTATTAGTATTGGATTGGAAATAAACGATCGAGGCAAATGATATCATCTGAAGCTGCGAACGCTGGGGAATTTGCTGAAGAGTCTACTTACGGTTAAACAACACCTGATCAGCAAAAGTCAGACTTTCCAATCCCTGAAAGGAAGAAGTCATTGTGAATAGAAGAAATAGCTCAGCCTGAAGAAAAAGTAATAATAGATAATAAAAGAAGTGAGTAAAGAGGTATCCAGACAAGATCAAGTATACTTTCCTGTAGGATCGAAGAACCAGCTTTGCCAGATGCTGGGGAGGGCCCAGTAATATATATCAGTTTGTTTAAGCTCCTTTCCAGCTCCATACCTGCGCCGACAGCTTTCGGGCTTGCCCGCTATGCTCCCAATGCAGTCCTTATTCCGAACCCATGCAAGGAGTTCACACATGGAGGAATAGATGCTGTGGGCCCTGCACTGAATCGCCAAGTTTAATTTATGGATCACGTACGGACCAAGCACATGGTCCCCGGACCTGTTTGCTCGCCTGTTTGTTCGCAACCCAGAGAGGATCGCTTCAGATCTAAAAAAGTGAATCGGTTTTCGAAAACTTAGATTTGGCCAAGCAAGAGTTGGGACGAAATCTGAGATCAAGCATATCTCAACGTCACAACGCTTCATAGGCAATGAAGATTCATACAGTGGTCGTACGGTCAAGATACTTGACTATGGCATCGTTTCCAAGCTGTTTGAGGGAAGGAACATTCTCCGGGCTGTTTAGCTGCTTCTTCTCTTCGAATAGCGGCTCGTACTCTGGGCTTCCTGGACTTTGAGCAATACGATGGAATCCGCAGCTTTCCTCTGACACGGGACTTTCTTCAAGTGCCCAACACCAAGCCGCTTTTGGTAAGTCGCCCGCGCTGTAACAACATTCTCACACCTCACATCCCTCTTGCCGTACCCTCCTGCCGTCCCTTTTCGGCCGTGAAGTGGTACATGCCGTTTATGCAACGGGTTGGCGGGGCGCCTAAATACTCCGGAGCGTCCTCCTTCCCGGGATGTGGTTGGGATGATTTCCGGTATATCGCCAAAAGCTGTAGATTCCGTACCTACATGCCACGGAACGTCCGTCAAATGGAGCCGTACACGTGGGGAGGATTATTATACGCCAACCGCGAATGCCTCATTTTACCTCGTGCACTTTTCAAATGCCCTTTTAGATATCCTTGTTGCATCACCATTTGAAGCTCACCAAAGTGGAGCAAGCAAAGGGGCTCCCCACTCCGGAACTTCGAAACGAATTCGAAGCCCCATAAAAGAGCACGACAATTGTCTGATCCAGGGGTCCTCCAATCATATTTTTGAGATTATTCGGTTCCACTTGTACCTTCTTATAGCCCAAGAGCAAACCCTCAGACATTTCTATATTGTCGAGAATGGTCTATATCAACACCCCTAGGAAGAGGAAGGGCTGTCATTCGCTCCTGGTAGATCGTACGTCGAAAGTGAGTGAAAAGTGAACTTTTAATTGCAATCGATTCAGTTAGAGTTCAAAGACGATCGATGTCGAGTCTAAAAACCTTAGGATGATGGCGGAAGTCACAAGAGCTATTCTGAGTCCTGACAGGTTTCCACAGAACCGGGAGGACCGAGAACTGACTCGGTGGTGGACAAGGAAGGGCACCGCAGCATCGGCAAGGGCTCTACGGGACTGAAGTTCAGATTGAAAGCGGGGCAAGCGTCATGCAGTGTAAACATCGGCATCGTCTAAAAGAAGGTCGAACGTGTCGACATTATTACAACGTTGCAATGTAAATTTACCTACAGATAAGGCCTGAAGGACTACACCGTGGCGGTAAGAACTCAATAGCCAGCCACTTGCAATTGCTAGGCGACCTTGCCACTATGTACACCTGCCAGCTTCCTAATTGTTATGTGATCTTCAGCGAAGGAATGCCGTCCGAATTTGCGACCACGTTGGCGCCGGGTGACATTCCATATTTGACGATGGCGGAGCAACGAAAACCGAGCTCTTACAAGTTTGTGCCAAAAATTCCGTGGGCTGCATAAGGCTGCAACAGGTGGGTTGCGAATCTGATAACAGTCTATTGACCATTCGGGTATGTTATGCATAGGTGGCTGTCGTCACTCTGGCCTTATATGATTCTGTGCAATCATCCGAAGGTCGATGAGGCTGGCAGTTATTCCAGAATTGGCGGGAGTTGAGTTCTATTCACAGTTAAGGCCCCGAGGTGCAGCCAGGGAGTGAAACCTTGCAAGGATCAATCCAGGGTCCATCCAGGGTCTTCCTAGGCCAGATCGTGGAAGCTAAGTTTCAGTCCGAACTATTGCGTTGAAACGAAACAATGTGACGAAAACCAAGTGTCATCAAACAAGCGATCGGCTCAAGACACAACGTCAGATTGGCGCGATTTGCTGATGTGGCCGAGTTTCGCAGAATTATTGAAACACGCTTTGCTATCCTGAGCCGAGGGGGATTCGGGATTTCCCAGTCGAACACTAGAAACGGCTGTAGGGGATCGCTTTAGCGAGTTTTGCACCCACTGCCTGGCATGAACCCAACAAAGGACACATCGGACGCAAGACACGGCTTCCTTCTTACAGCTGTTCATGAATCTCCTTCACTGGCCAAACCATCAATGTGGTCCTCCTCCAAACCACTAGAGCATCGAGCCTCCCAACCGGCAGGGGCCGCCGCCGCCGTATCCGCAATGGAATTCATTAGCGACACTTCTCTTGTGCAAGTCACCGTGGACGAGCACGGCGTCGCCATCTTGAAAATCAACCGCCCTGAAAAACGAAATGCACTCTCTCAGAAAACCATCGACAGACTCGTATCGGCCTTTGCTATGGTTGAACGAGACAGTAAGGTCAGAGTGGCGATCTTAACCGGTAGCAGGACGGCGGGCCCTTTCTCAGGTACAGTGGACCCTTTTTTTTTTGGACGGAAAGTTGCAGTCGATCAAACTCTCCGTAGCAAGATTTGGGGATTCCCCCGCTCTTGTCCCTGGTCCTGTATCTTGGTCATTGCTGACAGGTCTCTTTTCACCACACAGCGGGGGCTGATCTAAGCGAGCTACAGCATCTCTCGACGTCCGAGGCGTACAGAATTGGTTATCTGAAAGACTTGTCGGATGCAGTGGCTGCGATGCGAAAACCTGTTATCGCATCAGTTGCTGGGTTTGCTCTAGGTGGCGGATTCGAGCTTGCCATGATGTGCGATATCATCTATGCCGCAGAGGACTGCAAGTTCGGTTTACCAGAATTAACAGTAGGAACAATTCCTGGTGCTGGCGGCACGCAACGATTGACGAGGGCTGTGGGCAAGCAGAAGGCTATGCACATGATTCTCACGTCTTCGACCATGACCGGAAAAGAATTGGAGCAACTTGGGTTGATCGCCCAGACATTTCCGGTCAATGAGTTGTATGGCGCAACTGTTGCTGCGGCACGGAAAATTGCCTCTCGCTCCATGCCAGTTGTGCAGTTGGCAAAGCAGGCAATACTGAACGGTAAATTTCCTTTCCTTTTCCGTTTCTTTTTCCGCCTGTCACCCTGCAAGTCTTCGCATGAGCTGACATGCCTTAGCTGATGAAATGAGTCTGGATGCCGGGTTGAAGATCGAGCGAAGTTTGTATTATGGTTCCTTTGCACTTGAAGATCGAACAGAAGGGATGAAGGCATTTGTTGAGAAGAGACAGCCTGTATTTAATGACCACTGATCGTTATGGCCTCCAACACGTCTCGGCTTGTCATGATTATTTGACGATATGTTGACGACTCATGTAAGTATAATACCGCCAAGATGTTATGATGAGGCAAACTCCTTCGCAGTATCGCAAGAGCTTCCCAATTGAGGTAGACGGGGGGAACTACCGAATTGTTTACACTGCCGGCCTATCAACTGCATTCTCCAAACATGTGCTCGTCCATTATCATAAAAGTTTGGATGGTCAGGGGCGCACCCCCCTCTCGGTTGCTTGGTCCGACGGCACCTGGATAGGCTACCTGCCGAACCTGGAGATGCATGGTAGGCTGCGTCAAGGTGTGATATCACATCGCGCTCAACACACTCAAAGTGATACCATACTTCCGCATCAAGAATTTACCGTATCTGAGCATATTTGAGGAAGGTGTCGCTCTGCTAGCGCAAAAGCAAGGAACAGTTGCTGTGGAAGAAACAACCTTCGTAGGCGCTTGATTGGAGAAGATTGCGCATGCATGGGTAACAAGCCCTGCGAGCTCGTATCAGCTTAAGCTCACTCGAGCAAGTTGATCACGGGGTGTGAACGTCCCAATGCACAGAAACTCACAAAAGGAAGTACGGCCGATTGCAAGTGCTCGATAAACGATTGCCTCAAAGCGTGTAGTGAACACGAAAGTGATCAACAGGAACTCCATTAAATGCACAACAACTATGTACCGTACTAATGACGCTCCCTAGACCCATCCATTCAACAGAAAATTCGCCTTGCTCGAAGTGCACCCCAACTTACGACACTAGCACATTACCAAATGCATCTGATATTTCCCTCCGGCTTGGAGGTTCAGCAGCCTCCGCGTGAATAGACTCGCCCACTTCAAGACGCTCTTGCATCGTCTGAATCATTATTGGGGGAACACTTTCGTCCGTAGCGCGAATCGTAAGACGGACCATCTGGAAACATTGTGTTAGCATATGTGTCCATACCAAGGCTGTAGAAAAATGTTGAACTTACGCCCGTTGAGTAATTAGGCTCAAGTCGGAGCAGACAACCGAACTTTCCACCTTCACCTGTGTGTAGGACACTCGCTCCAACAAAGTTTTTCTTATTGGGGTCAACACCATCAAGTATACCCCATCTGAAGCCATCGATGGTTCTTCTGATAAAGCCGTCATTGATCTCACGATCACCACCTTTCCCACCTCTCACCCCAAATATGCGTTGTGCTTCACGAGGAGCACCTCCAATTTGCTTCCAACGCTTGAAGAAATCCTCTGCTGAAAGCTCTGCAGGATCCATGAATTTGTGGATCGTCACAGGAATTTTGAGCGTCAAAGCCTGTAACGCTCCAGCCAAGTAGCTGATTCTGATGGTGGGACTCTTCTCGAAGACCTTCTTGGCCTCGAACATGATCATTTGCTGGCTTTGAGCACCCTCAAGTATGGTGCTCTCTGGTAGTCCTTTGACCTCCCAACTCAGGTTCTCCTTTTCCGAAGGCTCCAGGTCAAGTGTTGTTGTAAAAGAACTCACAGCTATTGGAGCTTTGTTTGAGAAGTACAATATTACACAGGCCATTTGTCCGCGGTACTCTGATCGTACACCAATCTGTATCTGACCATCCTCATACAGAACGCCTTCTGCTTTGAGAAGAAGCTTGTTGTAGCCGAGCTCCCAGTCGGGAGAAAGATGAGCTGCGCTGGCAAGATTAGGTGCTTTGAGAGTCTTGGGCTCCGATGGGCCAGCATCCATCATGTTCAAACCAGCAAGATCATTATGACCCTTGGCATGTCCGTTCGTACCGTTGATCGCGGCTCCGTTTGATGAACCATTTGCCCCACCTGCAGCGCCATTTGCACTGAAAGCTCGTTTGAGGCCAGGATTCTTGGTCAGGTTGAAGTCTTTCTCATTTGCATTGGCATCTTTGCCTCCGACTACCCAAGTCCTCTTATCACTAGTATTGGCGTGTTTTTGGTGAAGGCGAGACAGGAGTGCAGATTGACGCTCAGGAAACGGCGGCATTTCGTCGCAAACTGTCCGGAGTAGATCATCTGATGGCAAGCTTGCAAGTGCAAAGTATTCGCAAGCACGTTGTTGCAATTCGGAGTCCAGCGTGTGGCTGTAAGCTTCGAAAACGTACATCAGTCGCGGCTTGATCTCTGGAAACAAGTTGACGAATTTGATGAAACAAGACAAGATGATTGCTCTGGTTGGGGATGAGCAGCCCTGAAGTTTCCCTTGAAGTGCAATGAACTGTTCGATAGGACTGCACCCTTTGTCCTCAGCAATGAGATGGCCAAACTCGCCCAGGATATATCCGCCAATTTTGACGAGAGTTTCGTGACAGTGGTCCGCCTTGACATATTGCAGGATGTTTTGCGCGGCATAGACTTGCAGCTCCTCGTTATTTGTAACGATTTGAATCACTCGATGCCACACCTCATCACTTACGTGATCGCCTGCCATTGCGATGAGCCGCAGGGAGATGTCGACATACCATTGGATATCTGTCGCATACTTTTCCGTCAGGATAGCAATCTTCAAAACCATCTCCTCGCGAATGGCAAAATCTGCATTCTGTAGATATTGAAGGAGCTCGCCAACGATTGGCTGCGCGTTCGTCTGATCACACATGCTGTAAAGGAGATCGAGGCCTTTCCGCCGTACACTGATATCTCTGTCTTTAAGCGAACTGATGATAATACCCTGATGTTGTTTGATTGGATCCAGGGTTTCTGCTCTTGCAGCCAAATGCGTCATGGCCTCCAGTCCCAGATATCGAACATTCGTTTCCCTCGATTGGATGAACTTGCCCAATCTATGTGAGATCTGTTTCATCAATGCTTGTTCAGTGTCCAGGTGAATAATTAAGTTGATAGCTTCGAACAAAACAGCATTCTGTGCATTGTTCTGCTGGACATTTTTAGGCATCTCCAACGCCAAATTAAGGATTTTCTGAAGGGATTCTCGAATCAAGTCTCGTACATGGGTATCATCTGGAGGTGATCCGTCAGCATGATCCGGACATACAAAGGAGACATTTTCGTACCTGACGGCGGGTAGTACTGCAGTAATCGCAGCAGCTTTACCTGTATCCACGGACATGGTACTTTGTAGTACAAATAGTCTGAAGCGTACTCTCCGTCGACCAAAATTCTCTTCATTTTTGATGCCGCTTTGACGTAGCTACCTTTGTATTGATCGGGTTGGTCTTGAGCTAGTGCCATAACAAGAGAGGTAACTGAAAGGGCAACTCCCATGTCGGCATCGTCCATCAGAGATATTATTCTCTCTGCCCATTGCGGCTGCACGATATCAGGGTGCTTGCGATATAGCCGAAGGAGAGTCAGAGCCGCTTTCTTCTTCACGAACGACTTAGAGGTACTATGATCTGTCAGAAATTGTGAAGTTTTATCCCATTTCTGGTGAGGCGTACGGTGAAATCAGAAGCCTGTGAACTTCGCCACTCAATGCCTCCCCCATCTCCCTACTCCCAACGTTGGCAATGGCATGCAATGCCAAACAGTTGTACAACTCATTGTGGTCCGTAAGATCTTTCCGAATACTGTTGACAACCAAATGTAATAGCTCGTGCTGCTCGTGGAGAAATAGGGTCATAGCAAGGTATCCGATTTGCTTTTCGGAATACTTGGTCGCGGAAATGAGGTTGACAGCTTCCAGATGTCCAAAGTCGACGTTCCATCCCAAAATGTATATATAGAGCAGCTGATACGCAGTTAGAACTCGTAATTGGGGAAAATATCTAGGGCTTTACCTTGCAAACATATTTCTTCTTATGGTACCCATTCAGGTTTCCGTCTGGATTTGGAGTTAGTAATGTGAATCATGCAGCCACCGAATTATACAGCAGTAGGTCCATTTTAGCATACCTCGGAATTTCTGCCTGTGTTGACGGCATTAGCATATCTCTTGAGGCGCAAAGCAATCCAGAATATGACGGACCTTATATTCGCCAGCTCCTTGTTGATCCTCTTCTCCTCCAATTCTCTTGCCCTTGCATTTCTCAAATCCGCAATGAACTGCACCAGTCCACGCATATTCGCATTATTTCCTGACGAGCCGCGGCTCAAGAAGCCCGCTGCCGCCGAGGATGCCATGATGGATTCCCGTCACTTGTGCTTTTTGTGATGCCGTACGGATCTCACACACGCCTGGTGTACTTCCAATCCCAACCAGCTACGACAATCTCCTGGGACAGGTCGAAGAGCAGGCGGAAAGAAGTAATGTCGTTCGATCGGCTTAGAAATTGGGCTTCTGGCGCGGTTTGGTAAGGGTCAGATGGCAGAGGCCTCGAGGGTTTAGCCTTATTCGTGGAACTCCATCCGATGTAGTGAGGGCGGCGTGACAGCCAGCAATACTGTGAGTCTGCGGCGCGATATCTTCGGCGTCGTGGGTGCTGTTAAATGTGTTTCTGGGTTTGTGAAGGTTGAAGGCGCCCCCTCGTGGAGATCGGCTAGTGGGCGATGAGCTTTGACAGGGGGAGGTGATTTGGGCTTGAGCCTCGTTACAAATCCTGGACGTCACTGACAGCCTTCTCGCTCTCCTCCCTGTTCCTCTTGACAACAACATTAATTGTTGTCAATTGTGACCATGAAGGCTTTAACTTTGCGACCGTTCCTACCCCGGTCAGCAATTCGGAGGAGATTATGTACTTCCAGGAGCTATGCAGTCCAATCGCCAGGATTACCGACTCTGCAAGTCTTCAACCGGCATACAAAGTACCTGCAGAAAGAACGAGCAGCTGCAAATACAGAGAGAAGCAGGCAGGTGGATTATTTGAAAGATGAAGTGGCCATGCGGCTGTCAGAGAGGCTTCTAGTAAGTTTCGTTATACCTCGAGATTTCAAATCTAACATCGCAGGATATCAACAGACACTTCGACCATGTCCTCGACCTCGGCGCAAATTCATGTAACATTGCACGAGCTCTCACTCTCCCAGATCCATATCCCGACCCAACGAAAGAATCAACTCCAATCTCTACTCGTCTCTCGAAGCTCACGGCAGTGGATTCATCACGAAATATGCTTTATCGAGATGTCGACTTACCTTTCAACAACGAGATCAACCTCACACGCGAAGTGCTCGACGATGAGGAAAGACTACCATTTGAATCGAATACATTCGATGCCGTGCTGAGCTCGCTGAGCATGCACTGGATCAATGACCTACCGTCACTACTGGCACAAATAAATAATATTTTGAAACCTGACGCTCCTTTTGTGGCAGCAATGTTCGGAGGAGATACCCTATACGAATTGCGGACATCGCTGCAGTTGGCAGACCAGGAACGGAGAGGAGGAGTTTCGCCCCACGTGTCTCCTCTCGCAGATGTTAGAGATATGGGTGGGCTGTTACAAAAGGCAGGGTTTAAAATGTTGACCGTTGATGTTGATGATATTATCGTCGATTATCCGGATTCATTCGCCCTGATGCAAGATCTACAAGCTATGGGAGAGAACAATGCAATTCTCGGAAGAGAAGATGGACCAATCAAGAGAGATGTTCTTCTGGCAAACGAGGGAATTTACAGGGAACTTCATGGCAACGTAGATGGCTCACTGCCAGCTACATTCAGGATGATTTACATGATCGGTTGGAAGGAGGGCCCGAACCAGTCAAAGCCATTGGAAAGAGGGAGCGGAGATATCAATATCAAAGACATATTGGGTGGTGGGGATGTTGGCTGAAAGCTAATTCAGTTCAAATTTAAATAAAAGACTAAACACGGCCTTTTTCTGCGTTTCCAAGACGATCAGCTGTGACATAGCAGGAATCGAGCCATGCCTACCCGAAATGTCAAGCACACCAGAGGCGAGATTCTATACATTTCTCCATCAGTCACAAAATCATCCGTGCTTAGCCATTGACTTGTAGTTAGGCATCTTGATCCTCTAGAAAAGTCGGCGCGAAAAGTATTTGGTATTTGGGTATCTCGATAGCATCAACATCCACATGCGGAAAGCATGAGCTTCACGCACTCCCCTTACTTCCATCATTGCCTGTACACCCAATCGAAACTCCTTTCCATATCCAAGACCAGTCTTGTAACCAACAAGAGAACCAGGAACCCACCATAATAACAATAAACATTATCCCAGAGCCAAGTATGTACGCAATTCTCAATTCAGCCAAGCCCAAGAGCCCACCACTCTGCCAAGCGACTCATCCGCGAGTGTCGTAAACATCTTGATGCTCAAATCCAGATCTGTTGGCGCGCATCCCATACACTTATCCACAACCATCACATCAACACTGCGATTTCCTCCAACAGCCTCATTGAATCTCGTAATCCGTATCATCTTCCCGCATAGCGGATTTTCATTTGGATTCGAACTGGTCAGCTGGGAATCCCAGAGAGCGTGAGCCACTGCGCAAATCGCATCCGTAGGTTTATTCTCGTAACCACAGGCGCCAAAGCCAGGCCCTGGGCTGTAGTATGTCAAGTCTCCATTGAAGACCCCACTGCTTGTCGGTAATGGTAGGTTCTTTGTTTTCTTGCTTCTGAGGGAGGAGGATTAGTCGGTTCTTTAGGAGCAAAGGAGAGTGGTACGCGATGAAGGAGACCGGAATTGATCTGGAAAATAGGAGGTTCGAGCGCAATTGCTCGTACAATGATGAGCCAAAAGCTCTAAGGAAGAACTGCAGGATGGAACCCATCGAGGGTCAAGACTAACTTGTGTGAAAGACCTAGTCCGAGTGCTAAGCCGAGGATAAGTGCAATGAGGAGGACAAGCGCGACAATTGTGATTATTAGAGTCTTGCGGCTTCGTTTTGCCCAGCGAGGCAGGAAACGATCAGAGAATGTGCGCTTCGCCGTCGTAGAACCTTCGCCTGGCGCTTCCTCCTTTGCGTACGCATGTGGCGATTGAGTAGTAAATTTGCTGAAGCGACTCTTCTTGGGACCTGGCGCTTCCCAGTCTGGAAGCTGGTGTGTATTCTCGTGGTCCGTCATCGAATAATTGGAATGTAGAATTAGAAATGTTATTATGTACTACGCATTGCGAGTTGTAGGATGTACAAATGAGTGTGGGTGCAAGGTGCGAGGGGTGTTGGAGATAGTGAGGAGAAGCAAGATGATCGGGTTCCTGGCTGAGTTGGCAGATCCCTGTAAAGGGGATTTTTCTGGGGATAGTGCAGCTGCCACTAAACCTTAATTGCTTACATAATGCCGCAGGCAGGGGGTTGCCAATGCTAATCCAACAGCAATCTTCTCCTCCACGTCTCTCCAGTCGTCAATTACCTTCGCCCGTCATTCTCTGCTCCTACGCCACTGTTAACACCATGAAACGCAGGAGGAAAAAGATTATGTCGAAGTAGTATTTGCAACACTACTTTAGAAGGCATACATACGCTCCAGCAGAAGTCGCGTTTTGCTAGTCGCAGAAGTGCTCTCAGTGACTGAGCCTGGGCGGCATGGCTCTCTTACTTGCCAACCACGGATTTGTGATATACATTACTAGCAAATGTTTTTTTTTCCAGTCTGTGTTGGGAGTAGTGATTTCCATTCATCTGGTCGACTTGTAGAGCTGCAAGCAAGTGCAAGCCCTCCTCCTCTGTTTTCTACCTTTCCCATTCATTTTCCTTGAACAACATTTAGCTCTCATCAATGTGTTTTGAATGGCCGAATCTTGAGCCAGATATATATCCTGAATATGCTCTTTGTCTTCAATCTTGTTCCATGCTGTGTATTTATTGACTTTGCACCATTGCCCCCAACTGCTTTGAATTACTAAGGAACTATTCTATTGTTAGCTTGCTAGTGTTTCTCATATTCATTGTTCTTCTTGTGCCCGACGAATAGTCGACCACGATACAATTCCGGGTTCCAATATATAATGTCGCTGGCTGGGGGCTTTTGCTTTGTTGCTTGGATCAGCATGGCCAGTATCTACGAAGCAGTCTGATGTGGGTGCCTTCTTCATGGCGACATATTGGTGGAATGTAGTCTGAATTGAAATGGCGCCAATTCCTGTTTACGTACCCCAAACCAATATCCTCAGCTCCTACCAGAGCAGTGCACCTCAAAGGAAAAGGTGCGTTTGCCGCAACCGTAGGAGGAGGACTGTTAGGAGGCCCTTTCCTGAAGTGGTAATCTCGTAACCGTCAAGAAATTCTAATCACTATCATCTGACAGCCGGCTAGTTTTCAGCTCATTGAGTGAAGTGCCTTGTGCCCTGCTGGTAAATTCTATAAATTAGCTTTTCCACCAAGATAGACGCGACTGAAATTATATGGATATCACGTGGATGTATCCAATCAAGGAGGCTATGGCGTCGAGTCACTAGTAGCTCCTTTGGGCGACTCTTCCTGAGATATCGATATCGCCAATTATCTCGACAAACTGCTTTCCTTATTGCAATTGCATGCTCACCTTCTACTACACAAAGCACATCACAATGGCACCTAAAAGAAGCACTGGCAAGCATCGGGAGCGCAATCGAGACGCGTTTTATAATTCCCTGCGAAATGGCCGCCGAGCCCTCCCAATCCGAAAACCTGTATATCCTGAAGAGCCGACCGAGCAGCACGTTATCGACAACATTCTCCTGACCCTCAAGAACTTCGACTTCCAGAGGATTACCAGGCAATCAGTTGGTGAGCTGGCAGCGAAGCTTGTGCACGAAGGCACGAAAGACATTGAACATGTCATGCTCCCTCTTGGTCGTAAGTTTAGTTTCTGGTGCATTTTTGATTACACCCCAGATGTTGAGCGCTCCCATCTGAGTTAGAAGGTGTCGCTGAGCTAATACCGACTTATGCATCAGGTTGTGGGATCATCGACTACGAAATTCGTCTTTAACAGCTTGGACCTGGTTCCTTGTATTCCGAAAAAGCTGTTGACTCGCCTACTGATTGTCTTTCCCCATTTGTGAAGCCGAGATTTACAAACACAATTGGAATCAAGGACAACGGCGCATCTACTCGTCTTGCGATTGTACTTGGTCGAATCGTTGGTCCTCATCAGCACAAAGAGCGACTTGTTCAGTCACGTTGGATCATCCTCCTTGACCAGACACACCTCTTGTGGGTTGTGTATGCCAACGGCATTGATAGGAAGGATGCTGCCACGAACGAGGATGGTAGTCCAGCTCCATATAGTGCTAACTGGAATACTGCATTTGGCGCTCGGAAGCAATTCGGCCAGAAGGCTATCCTCCTTGGTCTTCTCAACAAAATCCCGTTTAAGGTCGATAAGTAACTGCCTGACCCTGAAATTCATGGCATCGACTGGTCAACCACCTTCGCGTCCATCGACGAATTATCTACTCTTCCTCAGAAGCTGTTGGGTTCGGCTGCAACTGTCAAGCGTCTTCTCAATACTGATACTTATTCTTCAGGCTTCCACAATACAAAGACAGGAACATGGCATGGCTCAAGAACTTCTTGCGCTACGATCAGTTCTGCGACATCCTTGATGAGGCAAAAAAGGCCGAAAGACTTGTCATTGGTCGTCGACTTGCCGAGGCTGCTTGGTACAAGGTCGTGGTTCAGGCATACAAGTCCATGGATGAAGGAATGGAGCAACGGGAGGGGCATGCATTCCAGGCAAACTTAGAGTGTGTCAGTGATTGTTTGGCACGGGTTAGTCCAAATTCTTTCATGCATGCGAAATCGTGACTGATAAGTCACCGCGTCATGGAAAGAGTGTCTTCAAGTATTGGCTGGCAAAGTCGATGGCATACCCTGGTCTTGATCTAGTTGTGAGTGGCATTACTCGGGGTTGATCTTTATGGCTATTAACATTCAGCCAGACTGTCCCTAACGAGGACCCTGCCGGGGATTATCTGGCTGGCCTTACGGAGTGGGCACTTGCCATGCTGAAAGAGAACAAGAACCAAGGCAACTCGTCGTTGGCTATCCACTCTGCCGTAACTTCAAACCCCGAGAGTACTTTCAGCCATGAGACGGAGCCGAGTTCAATGGGATATGTGGATATGGGAGGGTTCACAAGCTTAAGATGGCGCCAGCATGAGAAGGTACATGCTGCTCGTAAGAAGGCAGAGAAGCAAGGCTTGGTTCGTAGAGTCGAAAATGTCTCTGTCTAAGGCTGTATAAGCGTGCTTATTTCTGATTCTGCCATGGGATCTGTAGTGTGTGGTCTTCGATCCAGGTACCTACCTACCTCACCTATACCTAGGTAGTATGGACGAGGTTCTGATCACGAGTTTCCGATCTCAATGAGTACGGGGTTTATGCATGGACTGTATTAAGAGGTATCTCGGGTACGCATATTCGTAGATGAATGAAGTACATGTATTCCGCACAGGCATTGCAGCTGTGTCATGGCTGAACCTCTCAAGGACGTATATGGCGTCAGTCTGTTCTCCTCTGTCTGTTGCTCCTTTTCCCAAAGACCTATCACAGCATTTCCCTTGAGCAGCTTTTTCTTTCCATCATTGACCTTCATCCACCACAGAATGACTAGACTCCAGGCGAGCCTTCTAGCCAAAATCGTCCATCGTGGTTCCCCAGCGTAGCCTAGCGAAAGGTAAAGATATGAATCCCACGCTTTCCGTCTCATCCTCTATCCTTCGAGAGCGAATTGATCCATTTTCCTGGTCATCGTTTATCCAAACATTTGTCGACATAACAATATGATAGTAACATGGCATCCTTCACCATCAAACACGATCCCGAAAAGGCGTAATCTATTTCCGGCAAAGTTGACATTTCGAGATCGTTTTCCAACACATTATCACACCCCTTCCCGTTCTATTCTCGCCCGCGAGCTGTGAATGATGCCCGCCCATACGAAAACGACCACAATACCAACAAGCATCATTATCAAAGGGAATGGCACTCTCGGGTTGACCATCGGATCGCTGCCGAAGTCCTGATCGCGGATATTGAGGACGGGCATAGCTTCTGCAGGAAGAACAAGACTTTTGAGCTCGTACAGGTAGCTGAGCAAAGCTGCGTTCCGAAGTCGTTCAACTCGATGGTTCCGTGATGTCGCTATCTGTAATGTTCATACAATATATTCTTCTCTTGGAGTAAGTTTATGATGTTGGGGAGAGCCCCAAGCTTGGGTCGCATGACCCCGAAACCAAAAACGTGGGGGAGCCACATTTGAGTTTCCGTGCATGATGACTATGACGAAATAGAAACCAACCTGCGAATCAAAAGGAAGTACAACTCGCCAAACTCACAGTTGGAGCTTCAGAGGTGAATCATGTGTGGGAAACGGGCAAATAGGGTGATTGATGTTGCGCATGGTGTAGTGAGAGGTTTGGGTGCTTTTTGATTGCCAAGAGGCTTGTGAAGAGCAGTCGGTTGTCATGGACTCAAGGTGGATTGTTCTTTCGCTACACACAAAGTCACCAGAATCACAGCCTTCTTCACTGTTATTGAAAGGTCCACAATTGGTAGACAAGGCTTGCGAGCAACAAAAATCATTCCGATGCAGCAGAATATCTTGATGTAACGGATCTCGACACCGGAATGCCGATTCCTCCGTCATAATCCAGACCCTAAAACAGTACTCTTTCCTGAAAAGGATTCATAAGTTCTTCAATATTAGAGTTTGATACGTCTTGCGTGTGTCTCTCGTAACAGGAAGATATATCAGACGACTTCTGTCATTTTTGCTCCACTCATGCTGTCTCGCTTAGCCCATTCCAAACCGAGCGGCATTTGTTTTGTTTCAATTTGATGCCAAGGCTTCCTGATACATAGTATATACACCGTACGTATATAACGATCTCATTATCCGCTCACAGCCCTCTTGCCCCGCGATCCGGACTCCAGCGTGGACGACTCGACGTTTCTCTTCCTGTCTCGCTCCAATTCATCTGCGCGATACAAGATCCAAACCCACTTCGTCATTGCCACAATCTTCGAGTCTATGAAGTTGTGACTTGCTGAGTCCGCCTTTCTGGGACTCATCACGTTTTTTCCTTGACTAATTTCATCTACCTCTGATACCCTCCTTCTCTGCTCATTCTTTGCATCCCAGTCTCGCTTCGCATGCCGCAGCAGTCGATATTTCTGACCACATATATCCGCCATGTGGACCACGCCAAAACTCACGAGAAGTATACAAAATATTTCTCCTTTCGATATAGGCTCATTAAATGGACACCGACACTGGTTGCAGCATAATTGGGGCGAATGCTGAACCAAGCGATGTGATCTCACGTGACATATGACTTGCTGCTGTGTGTTGTGTCGTGGAGGCCTTGGTGCATCGATTCGGGGCTGGCGTAAGAATTTCGAGATGTATAATGCCAAAGAGTTCAATGATCTTGTGGGCTGCTTGACCCATAATTTCAGCTGTGTTGTATTTAAGCGTCGGAGGACCATTTTGTTGTGTCTGTGACTGGCAAGATTGCAGGCAAGTAGACAGAACAAAGTCTGACGTGGAAAGAACTTCCTGTTATAAACGGTAGTTTCTGGTCGATATTATAATCCAGGGAATAGTACAAATGGATTTCGTGGCATGGAGCTTGCGGTTAAGCTAAAAATAGCGCGGAATGAGTTCGTGACATTTCGAAAACGACCAGTCCTTCCATTAGATCGACCACAAAATCATGTTAGGCCGCGGCTTGAGTTTAATGTGACAAGTTTATGTCACCACATTGCATTATGCTAGAATCTGCTAGAGGCGCTGAAGTAGCTCCCAGTCCATATTCATCTATACCTGGTTTGATACCGGGCGGGGGAACTTAAATATAATTCAGTAAATATACTCCACTGGTCTATGATCTATTCATATGTCTATCTTTCTGCATGTCCAACTCGGAGTTTACTGCAAATCATTCCAACTCGAGAACTTGACCTTCAGCCCGTCCGTGTCCGCAACCGAAAACACACCGATGATGGGACCCACGAAATCCGGATCGGTTATTTCTAGTGTGTCTATAGTCGCCAGAGGTAGCCATGACGGTGAGCTAGACGCTGTAGCATACAGCAACCGGTACTCCAACTCTGTGTACTCGATACAGAATGAGATTTCCTTTGGGACGGAGTCTAATAACTGGCGCGTGGTTTTGGCAATATCCTGCGCAGTGTTGACGATTTCAACGACAACAGAAGAGTCTGCCATGTCAAGGTAGATGCGGAAAAATCGATGCTCATCTTTGTAGCATGCGAGCCCAAACTTCAACTTTGCCGAGCCCCAGGTATCGTCGAAGTGGGAGACTGTAGCAGTCGTCTTCCCTTCAAGGACCCGCTGCCTTCTAGAAACAAAGGTAGGTGAGGACTCGGGGGCAGACAGATCGACGAATGATGGCGTTAGGGTGATAGCAGTACTGTCTTCTTCAAATTGATATCTGTCCAAGTGCGCGTCTCTGATGTAAAGATAATCAATACCAGGGGCTGCTTGTAGAGTAGACCCTGATAATTGAGCCCCAGAGTGGTTGATGACATCCGACCTGACGCGCTCCATCTGGAACCACTCACCATCGTATGTAGCAGGCGTAAGAAAGGTCTCCCTGCTCAATGGATACCTCCCATCGTTTTTGCGCACTGCCAGACAGACCACCCACCAGTGGCCTTCGAGATCTTGGAAAATGTCGCAATGTCCTGTATGCTGGATATACTCGTTCGTTCCGTACGCAGTCAGGATAGGGTTTTTCGGAGCTGCCTGGTAAGGACCCCATATGCTCCTCGAACGGGCTGCCGTCACCGAATGCGACAGATGAGTACCCCCCTCAGCAATGATCAGGTAGTACCATCCATTCCACTTGAATACGTGAGGACCTTCTGGATAGACGCCACCAGTCCCAGTCCAGATGGTTCGCTCTTCTGATAGCTTCTTACCGGTCTTAACATCAATTTCGAAGTTGTTGATCCGAGTGGCCGGCCCAGGAGTTGCTGACCCTTGGATGTATACTTTGCCATCATCGAAAGTGATGCCTGGATCAATGCCCTCAAAATCAAAGTAAACGGGATCGCTCCATTCTCCATTCCAAATATCCTTTGTCGACAGAATGAAGTTTTCCTTTTTTGCCCTACAATCGCCTTCGTTCCGTAAGGCATTTGTGCAGACGATATAGAAAGTGTCTACGTGATGGCGGATGGTCGGAGCATAGAGTCCACCAGTTGCAGGCAATATGCGGCCTCCTGTTTCTGGTGATGCAGGACTGAGGTTTGTTCTGGACTTTCGAAGACTGAGCTGGCTTTGACGATGGATTGCATTACCTGGAGATAGGAAGTGAGAAATACCAACCTCCTAATTCTTTTGAGCACGAACCGATATGTTTCCAGGAGCAGAGATCTTTCGATGCATAGATGGGCAAACCAGGGAACAAGTGAAAAGACGAGTTAACGACGAAGAACCAGCCGTCGACATGTATTGCCGATGGATCAGGGGCAAAGCCTGGTATGATTGGATTCAAAGATGTCTGTGGCGCCATTTCCCTAGAATTTGGGGCGTTGGAAGACGGTGTAAGTGGAGTGTAACTCTGATGGCTTCAGCACTCCTGAGGATATAACTTGTCTTGGAGAAGGTTTGGATAGAAGCAGATTACCATGATTCCTGATGAATCTGTGGCATGGTTCAGAGAAAGTGCTTTCTACGAATAATGCAAAGACTTCCTTCTGATCACAAGTTCTCTCCAAGACTTGTGGCCTCGGTAACATGCCAAGGCTGCTGCGGTGTTGCTGTGAGCGTGGGAGCCAACTATTCCCCGCGGAATTTAGGAGGCATCGCTTCCACACGGAATTTAGTCGGAGTTTTTCAAAATTATTGCCCGCGGAGTCCATCAGACGCTTTTGAGTCCAGTTGGGCTAGTACATCTAATAACTGCACCAGCTGAGACTGCGCTCGTGTCTTGATGCTCTCGTTGCTAGCGTTGTGAACCACTTCAAGGATGATACTACCAACTTTGCGAAGTCGTTGAACCTGGTCAATATCTTAGTAAGTCACTGCCAACACTCGTGAAAGCTTTCAAGAGTATACTAACAGCCGGCTCTCCCTGCATCTTGATGCACTGAAAAGGCGCAAGCTGGAGCTCGGCGAGAAAGTCTCGTGCTAGATCTATCTTTTTAAGGTGCTGTGAGAATTTGTTGTGGTCGAGCCCCATCACCTCGGGCGCGCCATGATCGATACACTTTTGTAGGATCACCAACTTGAGAGAGTGGAATGTCGTCATGATACTGCTTCTCTGCGCCCAGAAACACATCTTCTGATAGTGTGCTCCATCAGCATCTGGGAACCGGTCGAGATATTGGTCGGGGCTTCGCAACCACCGTGGGAAGCTGTCAATCAGACATGCGAATTCTAGATACAGATCAGTTAGCTTGCTTGCATTGGTGCCGTGAACCTCTCCAACTGCCGCTTCGGTTTGGCATTGGGAAGACAAATGAGCCTGAATGCGCCTAGAAGGCTTCAAAGCCGTAATTATATCGACTGCAGCGGACGTAATGTGCCTTTTCAATACAAATCCTTCTTGAACTTGGTTTTCAAGGGGCGACAGGTTTATTGTCTTTTTCATGTCGAGCAGAGGGACCTCTTCATTGCCCCTCTCCAACAACGTCAACTCGCCATCAAATACTCGTTCGTTTATGATACAAAGACGGTCGTCGAGGGCCGTAGCGGACTTGTCAGAAAGATATAGTAGCCAGAAAATTGAACGTAATAACTGCGACTCAATAGTCGACTCCCGGATGACAGAGGACTCATCATACAAGCGAAGTCTGAGTGCGAGCATCTCAGCCTCTCCATAGTAATGATTAGCTTCCCCATTTCTACCAGTAGCGTTCTGCGTTGCTGAAGACTGCCAGACACGTATGATCAACGAAGTCCAGTCAGGACTTTCGAGATCGATCTCCTGATATGCTTGGAGCATTGCTCGTGATGCTTTCAGAAAAAGCAGCGCCAGTACAGCTTTCTGGGGAATGTACGATTCAGGTGCTACGGACAAGACCAGGGCACAGAGAGCTGTAAGGAGGGTGAAATGTTTCTCCATGCCTAGCTGCAACAGTGCCTCGGGTTGCTGTGCTACTAAAGATGACTCCACGGTATCCGCTGGGCTACTCATAATCGTGCGGAGCTGGAAGATCGAAATGCCGGCACGGAGTGTGGGTTCGTGGCAAACAGGCGTGTTGGGAAAAAGGAACATCATGAACAGGTCGACGCACTTGGTCACCAGTTGTGCAGTATTCTCCTTGGTTAGCAAGCAATCCACTTGCTGGACCAAATTGGTAAGGATGCGTGTGGCAGCTGAACTCGGTTCGTCGGCAGCAGGGGAAATGGGAATAGATAGTGCGACTGTGCCTGTGCCCGCTTCGTGTGGGGAAAGAGGAGGATGGCTGGTCGCCGTAGAATCCACAATTATAATGGATTGGGAATTGGATGGGCTGTTCGACCACGCCGCAGAGTTGATCGCGGCCGCGGCATCGCTACTCGTACTACTTTGCGGAGTGGTCGGTGATGAAGGGAGTGAGAGGCTCGCTGCTGGTCTCTGGCTGGCCCTTCCTCGCTTCTGGGGGATGATCGTGTACCTGCAAGGGATCCGGGAGGTCTGGCAGCTTGCGCAAGGGTCTGCAGAATCGCACTTGACTTTGCGTCGTTTACAGCAGTCTGGATTTTATTAGAGACAATTTTGATTTAGAGTGACAGGAAGGTAGCATACCGCAGGCACGGGTCACATACATGGCGTCGCATGAGGCCTGCTCCCTTACTGGAGGATGAGCTGGACTAGAGAATAGAAGATCGTTCGATGGATAGCCACTTTCTCGGGCAATCGGCCAAATCGAAGAATTACCGTAGAATAAATCGGACGAGTAGGTCTTCTCAACAGCGACCTCTCTCTTTTCGACGGCCGAGCTTATGCGAGTCGAGAAGTGGAAAGTCAGCAAAGGGCGAGCATGGGGTCTATATGCTGTGTGGGGTAAATAATCCGCGGAATAATACCTCCTCCAGAACATAGGCAAGCTAAGCTAAACCCTGTCGAACTGAGAAGAAATCCGAGATAATGGTCAGTGGTAACTGATTGATTGTGGATTCCTCATGACTCGGATCTTTTCCTCCCTAGAGGAACCAGGGCCACAATGCCAAGATCGACGAAGTTTTTAAACATCCCAATGATTCGTTACCACGAGAGGACCTGTCCATGCGGCTGTGCACCAGACACTGGCCCAGGTGACACATCCCTATTAAAGACCCACTCATAATAGATAAGTTTTAATCCAATCCATGTTTTTGACATAAAGAAATACAATTTTTCTTATTTGAAGCTCATCACTGGCGCACTTGGAAGAGAATTTGAAAAGTGAGGGAGTGGCAATGCAATATCTGATCCTTTGAAAATATAAACTAGTTCTTAGGAACAGCTGAAGGAACACTGCAGCGCAAATGATTCGATTGAAAAGGCCAAGATAACAAGCCATTCTGTACAAGCTGTTCGCCTCCTTTCAGTTGCCCACCTATGTGTAGTTTTGAGGCTGGAAGTACTTTTTGCCGTCAAGCTCTGTCACAAGCGTGCCATTTGCAATAAAAAAGTTGACCATGAAATCCATCTCAACCTGCAAGCCGCCGGGTCCAGTCTTCTTGGTGTTAATCACTTTCCCGATGGTCTGGGTCAGATCCGAATACCAGTCGATGTGGTGTGTGCTCAAGTTGATAGCCTCAGATTTGACTCTTTCTGTCCCGTTGAGGAAGATCTTGCCATCATCAGAAAACTCAAAATAATCAACATCAACAGTATCATTCCCAAGCAGAACTTTTGCGTGTCCAGATGCCTGGCCCTCGAGAATATAAGTACCTCCGGGTATCTCTGGGCGTATCGGTGGTTGGCTCCCGGTTACATATGGCTCACCCCAAGGGACGACGTCTGAGGCAGTCTTCACGTTGGGTGGGGGACGCGGCTTGCGGTTTGTTAGAGTCGCGACTACCATACGCTGGGCGATTCCATCTCGCTCCTTGGAGGGGTAGCATGGCAGGGGGTTTTGGCCACCGCATGCAGGAGAAATTGTCTGTTCTTCCCAATAGACGATTTTGGTACCGTCAAAAGACCATCGAGGGTCCGCTCTGCCGTTCCACTCAGGATCGTTGAAATCACCGCTGCCTGGTATACCAGATCCTTGATCATTGATTCTCTGCCCGAAGTAGTCACCACGGTCACCATGTGGATCTAGCAAGTAGGGTCGGAAGAATCTTCTCCGCCCGTTATTTCGGACAGACGAAGTAAGAGTCGTGGTGACAAGATCGGTGAGAGGAGGGATATGGTGCATTCCAGAAAGCCATGTATTTCGGTCAGTCCCACGGGTGTCCATGATTGCTATCCAATTATCATGTCGGGAAATATCGATCGGATCAACATATTCGTGATGGCTCGTCAATCGGCGGTTCGCACCTGTCGTCAAGTCGGTAGCAAAGGCATCGATATTGGATGATTCGGCGGCTCCTCCAATCGAAACCACTTCCTTACCGTCACCACTGAAGCCTCTCAATTCGCCGACGGAGATCGCATTTGGCGTAATGATGACCTTGTCGCCTTTAACTCCGACTTTCGTCGGATTCTTGAGGCTATCAAGCCGAGTCACTTTGATCAAGTCATATCGAGGACCAGACGGCAAGCCGGTCTTCGGCGACGGATTGAAAGAGAGTCTTGAAAAATATCCATTCTGACCGAGCTTTCCATTGATAACGCTAAAGGCATTAAAGCCCAAATGTACGTTGTCGGGATGTAGACGTAGTTCCCTTATTTCACCGCCAGGCCCAGAGCCGTCAGGACTGACATTCCATCTGATGGGATAAACGTTGGTGGTCTCCCGGGTGCATTTGTTGCTGGATAACCCATATTTCCCACAGTCAACGATGCGCAGGCCAGCAAGTACACGCTTGCCGTCCAGGAATGCTTGTGGGTTATCAAACATGCCTTCCTCGTGGGGAACGCCGCAGGTGAGACACTTCCAGGAGTCGCCATTAGGAAATGTTTTGCCATTCGCTTTGACCAAGATGAGCTGCGATCCGTTGTAGATGCTCGCCGGGTGAGGCTCAGCAGGAGCACCAACAAAGTTCACCTCGGCGAAGACGTGGTCCCCATCAGGTAGGAATCCTCCTCCCTGAAAGTAGGCAGTTGTTCCAAGACAACCGGTTCCCCTTGGATTTGCCTTCTTGTCACAACCACCAACAGGTGCGTCGTCGGCTATGGCAGGAGGGAGGAGCAGTTTTCTCAAGGAAATCGGCTCAGGTTTGGGAGGAGGTGGTAGTCCGTTCACTGAAGGCTCTTGGACATTGCCACGAATGGACAGAGACTCGGTCGTGGCGGCGGCGAGCAACAACAGGCAGGTCAAAGAAACTTGCATGATGAAACCGTAAACAATGGCAGACAGCAATCTAGAAGCGAGATATCTGGGTACTGCAAGAAGTTGGGGAAGTTGCCATGACACACATGACAGCAAATGTAGGTATTTATACTTACGCAGAACTGACTACGTACCCAATATTATCCAGTATCGAGCATGTCAGAGAGCAGAGCCTTGACTGACCGGAAGATCGTCTCGGCTCCAGCTCATTCCCATACAAGCTGGTTGCTCACATGGTGGAAAGGTTCTCTAGAGATTTCCCCAGCGGATCTTTTCTGCAAACATCATGCAGGATCGTGGAGAGGTTGGGGTTGTCAACATCTCCACAGATGAGATGGAGCGGCTCATGCTTGAGGTCCCCTCGGTTTGTGGTCATGGTTGTGGTTGTGTGCGGAGAGAGCCAATAGAACTAAATTCCGAACCATTTAATCCGCGGGGGCTCCACCAAAACCTGACGCCAGGACAACGGCCCTCAATGTGCTTCCTGCGGGGTACCTGGTCGAAGCCATGGCAATAAGCCTGGAAAGAGAAGCTCCCCCGGATTTCCTTCAGCAGACACAGTGCGTCCCCCGACCAAGGCTTTGGGATTATTGAATTGGCGCATTGGCGCTTTGTCGTTTCGTCGTATTGCCGTATGGCTGACTGGCAACCATTGACCGAGTGGAGTGACTGACCACCAGAACACCAATCCTAGAAGCCCACTCGAACGGGACCCAACAAATCATCCAACTATGTATGTATCCAACTTGAGGTTGCAATATAAGTATCATGAAAGCTCTTTCGCATTTCCTCTCTTTTTGTTTCTTCTCTTTTGTCCTCAATCCTTCGAGCTGAAGTGGCTGCTCAACGCGTTTGGATTATTTCATACCCAGTCTCATCTCAGTGTACCTATATCATTCAGTTGAACAGCAAGGTCGACAATGGCGGCCACCGACGACTCCAAAGCTCCAAACGAGAAGGCCACTAAGATTGACAGCCGCCAGGATGAACACATTGAGGCTGCTCTCAAGCCAGATGAATTTACTGCTGATGCCGCAGCGAAGGGTCAGGCCAGGACTGGTTATGAAACCATCAGCCTTTGGGACACAGTCAAGACCTTCAAGATCGCCACCGGCTGTTGCTTCGCTGCCGCTTTCAGCGCTGGTGCCGACGGATACCAGATGGCGTGAGTCATTCCCATCTATATGCATTTCGTAACATTGAAAGGGTGGCTAGCTGACCGTTTGATTCCTCTAGCATGAACGCGAGTATCATCGCCAACAAAGGTTTCGTCCAACAGTTTGCAACTTCCATGGACAAGAATGGCAAATTGTTTCTGGAGTCCGGGACTATCAGCAGCTGGAGCGCAACCCAGAATTGTGGACAGGTCCTTGGCCAGACGGGCATCGCATTCGTCAATGGTCGGTTTGGACGTAAGATCGGAATGTACGTTCTGTGGACTCTGATCATGGTCAGCGTCTTGGTCGAAACATTTGCAAGGAACTGGAAGGTCTGGCTTGTGGCCAAGCTCTTCGCTGGTATGGGTGTAGGCGCTATGCAGGCTACTATCCTGGGATATATCAGCGAGGTGGCACCAGTGCGCGTTCGTGGAAGTATGCTCATGCTGTACTCTTTCTGGTGGACTTTGGGCTCCTTCTGTACCCACGTCGCCTTGCAAAGACTCAATCGCCGGGACGCATACGACTACCTTACCCCTATTTACACCCAATGGGCTCATGTCGGCATCATGGCTATCATCTACGTCTGTCTTCCCGAATCGCCTGCTTGGTGTGCAAGTGTTGGCAAGGAAGAGAAAGCTAAGAAGTACTTGAAGCTCATCCATAGGGATGTGAAAGACTACGATGTTGAGTACCAGTATCAAGTCATGGCCTTGAACATCGAGCATGAACGTGCTATCGCCGCCGAACAACGTAACGAGAGTTGGGTTGCTATCTTCAAAGGTGTCGATGGACGACGGACCATCACCGCTCTTTGGGCAATTGTTTCACAACAGTTCCTGGGCTTGGCTCTTTTTGGTACCTTTGGCACTTATTTCTTCCAGCAGGCTGGCCTGGCAGACCCTTTCAAAATCAAAGCCATCACGTCCTCTTTGCAGATTGTCACTGTCCTAAGCGCCGTCATCCTCGTTGACAAGTTTGGTCGCCGGCTTATGGCTTGCTGCTCAACTACATTGATGTGGATCGCATGCCTTGTTGTTGGTATTCTTGGTGTTGCTCCTGAGAGCAATGCGACGACATATATTTTCGTTTTATTTGCCTGTTTCTGGAGTAAGTCCTGCCACGTTCCATGATCGAGTAACCAGAAACTGACGCGATTCGCTATTGTGTAGACATTGGTATTGCTGGCAACGGCGCTGCGGGTTGGGGCTACATTGGCGAGATATCATCCCAGCGTCTGCGACCCTATACCTCCGGTTTCGCTGCCTCCGCAAACTCTATTAGTGGCCTTATCATGTCCGTTCTGACGCCGTATATGGTCAACGCGCACAAATGGAACTGGAGATATAAGACGGGCTTCTTTTACGCTGGTGTTGGTGCCATTTGGGTTGTTGGGAGCTGGTTGATCATTCCGGAAACAGCAGGGTTAGTGGTTTCACCCATCTTGAATTCATATTGTGATTGCAAATAAGCTAATAAATTGACTAGTCGCTCTGCCGCCGAATTGGACGAGTTGTTCGAACGTAAGATCAAGGCCTGGCGATTCAAGAAGACCGAGACGGCTACTCAGCGCCTTGTCAAGAGCGAGCAGGAGGAAATCGAGCGTTCCTGAGCAATGGGATCTGCAATATTGTGGATCTCACTTATCAGTACATTTGGGCATTTTCACTTCTTTTTTTGAATGAAGTCTAGTCCGGTTTGTTGTCCCAACAATACTTCACTGGAACTTTCTAGCTCGTCACGCTCGTGTCGCATAGATCTGTAGTACTACGAGGGTTGATACTCCATTTATCAGAATATTATCAGAGTCCTCCATGTCCCCAATTCAATTTTTCTTTCTTTTTCTCTGCATATTAGTTGATACCAGAGTTAAATATGAGTAGTATCTTGTGTAGGTGTCACTGTCACTTCATGTGAAGAGACGCTAGGTTAGGGAGAATGTATTGAGATCTAAGCTTGAAGAGATGGAGCAGCCGTGTTTTTTTCCCATGACACTTGCTTCCACCCCAAATTCTCTAGCCCTTTCCCCAGATAGATGTCCACCAGCTAATCTCTGGCATCCATCGGTGCAGGTTGGCGTCCCATGTATACCTGTACCATTATTAGCACCGGATTCACTCAGACTCACAGAAAATACTAATGATGATTAGTTTTCACAAGAGAATCTTGGCCATATTCCTCCGAGAGAACCCGTTCTGCTTGATTTGGTATTTTGACTTGGACGCCTTCGAAGATCGATGATTGAAGCGGGTAAATCTCATCTGACTGTGAACAATTAATGTTACTGTCGCATAACATAAACGTCAATACAATGATGGCTTACCTCATACTCATGGCCATCTTTACAGAACAGCAGATGCGGATTAGACTCGTTCTGATGAAGCGCAGTAATGTCGATGTATTTTCCGTTATTCATATCAATCCAGCGAGCGTCAATCTTGTTAGATACATCCGCTCTAGATACGATAGAGTAACGAGGATTGATATCGAGGAGATACGTGCGGCCCTCATGCTGGTATTGAGTGCCATTGTATGTCGCAGCCAAGGCTATCAAAGTCGACATGGACACCTGAACATCTATATCCGTGTCCCAGGGTAACATCTTTCTTCCCCAATGATGTCCCAAGAGTGTACCGTGAGCTAGCCAAGTCTCGACTCCCACGTTATCCATTGTCTTCGTGTAGCTTCTGAACAGCGTGACGAGGGTAGCTTGAAGTTCAATGACGCTTAGGGGCTCGCTTCCGGAACCGAATCTTGAATCGATATGGCTTATTGCGCCAATGAGATGCGATTTGGAACGGACATCAATTTCGGTGAAGTACGGATAAGTGTCTAAGCTGGCTTCAGGACTGCGTAATGGCTGGATTGTGCCCAGTTGGGTCTTGGTTGCATGATAATAAACAACAACGCATAGAAAAAGTAACAGCGCCCACAAAGGTTTCATGCGTCGCATGATTGTTTTGCCGCAGAAACTGAAACTGGGGCCAGTGTATTCTAACACTGTCTTTGTAATTAGACACACAATTCGATAACAAAGCATGAATGAGCCGGAAGCAAGGGATCAATTCAGGCACGTGATTTGTTGTTAAGCGAAATATCGAGGCCCTGTCATCAACATCGTTCAATGGACACGGATCGGGTCATCAGGAACCCTTAAGGATTATAAATATATATAAATATATAAATATAAGAGAAACTGGGGGACTGGTACATAAGCTAGTTAATCTGGTCACAAAATTCCAATTTCATTAGGCGAAAGTCATTTCACAAAGGAAAAGGTGGAGATCAGAAACTTCAGGCATGCTTCTTCATCCATCTGTGCTTACCTTCACGCCTTCTCGGCAAATTTACTCGAAAGTCAGGAAATCGTTGTAAGACTTCACATTGAGACATTCATATAGCTCTTGGATCCTCCAGAAAAGCATTTTGAGATTTTGATAATCCATATTGAATCGCACACAGCTTCAAAAGTAAGGGAAAAGCAGGCCCCATAACATCGCCCCTGGTTCGCTGGGCAGAAAATGGAACCTGCCATCTATTGCCTCATAAGACTGTTTGACGCCGGTGAGCGAAACTTTTACTTCTTCTGGCCATGGCCAAGAATTCTCTTTGCACAAATCCTTTTGGTCCTGTTGCGACAAAAGTGAATCGAACTTGAAAGCTGTCTCGTGTTTCTGCTCGAAGGAAGCGGAAATTGAGCCTCGACTAAAGTCAACTTTGCCCCACGGTTCCTCTTCTATACCATGAAGTCTCCTTCTAAATTTGTGGTCGTTGAAGTCTCTCCCCTCCCCGAGATCCATCCATCTAGTCAGAAACATCGCATTGCCCGCCTTGCCATAGCTCTTGAAGTCGACTCGGAACTCTGTGTAGCAATGATCACAGCATAAGATGCCCTGCTTATTCTCAAAGTCCTCGATCTCGGTGGCATGCGGAATTTGGATACCATATCTGTGCAGACTTGGCATTGTGGAAAAATAGATATGAGGGCAAATATCAATTCCGCCACACCATGGGAGAGGAAGTGCCTCGGAGGATGGCACCATGAATACTCTGTGCTCACGCAACAGGAGCGATCCGTTTTGGATCCGAGCTTCAGCTGCACTTTGTTCTACGAAACCCCAATTGACAATTCTCTTAGTTTCATAGCCAAGTAGTCTTAGAAGCCTTGTGGTATCAAGAGACTGCCTGTAAGCTTTCATTGCCATGTGGAAGATGGTTGACGAGAATTCGGGATGTGTTCCGTACTCAAGTCGGCTGACCAAATCCCTGTACCGGCATTCCAACCGGGGTCGACTGGAATTGAAAGCCGTTTGCGATAAAATATGGTACTTCTCAGCGTTGAGAATTGAATGGAAGCGGACGCAACTTGGACAAACAACTTGAGTTAGAAGGTCTCGCTCTACACACCAAAGAAATTCCAGTACCGCAGAACTCCCAGCATTCTTGAGAGAACCTAGACACCGCTCTCTGAGACTTAAGTAGTACGAATGACATGTGAGACTTAAGCTTTCTCCTGATACCACGGGCACATAATCCAAAATGAGGAGCATGAGCTCAGGTGGAAGTTTCTTGATAGGTGGGTCCGAGCAGGAAATTATGGCTCTCTTTTGCGTACCGTGACGAGCGAAGCCAAATCCGAAGAATTGGAATATTTCTTGAAGGATGGGGACTCTCATTTCAGGGGCCGGGGCTGGATTTCTGGAGATCTGAGAGAGATGAGACTGTAAAAGTAGTGTGGAAATGTGCGGAAGTTCCGGGCTAGCCAAGCTGAGTGATGATTGTGGTCGTCGCACCACCAAGGTTTAGGGATTATAGAAATCAAAAAGTGTAGCATCCGAACTTGTGCTATTTGAGAAGCGGTTATGTAAGCTTTTGCTAGCCTTCTGTGGGTAGTGCCCTATCAGTGGAGAGTCGAGGCCGAATTACATCATTTGTAAAAGTTAGCCGTATTTTCAAATACCATCTAATCATAAACACTACCTTTATCTGTCATACACAACTATATACCGAAGATAAATGGGCCAATATATTCCTCCACGTAATCTGATTGTAGAAAGCTTGATTCCAAGTAACAAGAACTCTATCCACTCCCCAGGGAAGCTGTGTCTCCATCATTACATCGATGAAAAGTTGTGGGTAAGGAGGCAAACTGAAGTCATGCTATCTATGCACGTCATCAAAGTTATCAGCTGTCGCTCAAATCCCATTGTGGGACTGGTCAACCAGTTGCCTATCTATGCGCATCGCATATGTGACCAAAGTCATCTTTCAGTGGCTGGTAGCGCAGAAGCAACATCTCGAGGTTTTCACAAGCTGTAACAAAAGAGTCTAAAGAGAATGTGATAGCACAATACATAAGTCACAAAACCAAAGCAGTCCCTAGCACTCCTTAACTGCCCTCTTAATATGGTACATTTATTTCACAGATTGTCAGCCGACATTTCCCCTTGTTTTACATAGTAACATATCATAATCTCCATATAATCATGCCCGTCGTTTTACTGACCATGACTGGGCATCAAACACCAGATTGTTGTTCCTTCTGTGAGCCTCAGGATCGACATAAATCTTCACATCAATGCTATCTCTCGTCAAGTGATAGACTCTGAAAATGACATAGACATCAGCTGTGACCCTCCCCTCCGTAAGAGCCAAGCTTTGCATCTTTTCACTATTAGCATATACTTGATTAGATTGATACCGAAGGAATAATACATACCCGAAGGAATTGGCCATTGCTCATAAAGAACCTGTCATCACATTCGCCGGTTGTTGTTTTAACTTCAATGAAATATCTTGGACAAGCGCCCACCCATGTTTCATCCAAGTACCCATGTTGTACAAGTATTCCTGTCAGAGTACTCTGAAAGTCTGAGAAGACGATATCGGCCGTCTCCGTCCCTCTCCAGGGCGGCATATCACTGTAGGCCGGGTGCACTGTGACCTCGTGTCGTATTCGACTTTTCCAATTCTCTCTACCAAAATTGTCTTCACGGTTGGAGAGAAGAGATGAAAGGATTTCAAATACCTGAAATGGCTTAGGTTAGATATGGGATAATTTACTGTAGACTAGAATTGCTTACCAAAAGCTCTCCAGCAGCGCCAATTTTGATATCGTGGGACACCTGTCCGAGCGAGCGAACCCCAAAAGCATCTTCATGATTAAAACCTTGATATATCACGCCATTACCGACTTGTGGAACAGAATCGTGATGTGGAAATGCTAGTTGAGTGGACATCTGGATGACATGTTCCAAAAGCCGAACGTAACCAGGTCTTCTGCTAAAATTAGCTTGTTCTGGAGTTGGGCTTCTCCAAAAATGGCGATCCGGTGACGGATACACATATGCATTTGATCCGCTCAATTGAGTTCCAGCTGGAGTGCCTTGATAATGTGCCATAGGCGAAATAGATCGACTGGGCGAGTTCCACGCTTCATTGGCAACTCTGGCCTGTGACTGGTCTCGTACCACCATATCTCCGGATTGAGATGTAGAAGTTGGCGAGTCTGCCGCAGTCTCTTCAGGAGATAGCACACTTTCATCGCTTTCCTCGTCGTCATCAACGGAGTCGTCGTCTTGCTCCAGATTTCGACGTGGGGGAGGAACATCATGAATATTTCCGATTCCTTCGGCATCTAGAAGATCCTCGAGTACAGAAACACTGCTTGTGAGCACTTTTTGGATGATGTTTCTCGCAGATGGATTGATTCGAAAGAGTGTCGTCAATGCCTGTGGGAAGTTCCTGAAATAGCATAATTCTTTAAGCCTATTGTTCAATGGGACAAAAACCTGCCAAGTGTTGCCTTCTGTAGCGACGTGGATATAGCCTGTTGGCACACAAACTTGTATATGCTCATCTCCGAGGCACAGACAGTGCGTCGTTGAAATCCTGTCAGATCGCTTGACCGTGGTGCTCAAGAGTTGCTGATAGAGTGATTGTGGATCCGTCCTCGTGATTGGACTTTGAAAGGAGGAGGCGCAGCTGGTACTACTGTCAGTAATCTAGCTATGAAGAAGAACAGCGATAGAGTAACCGTAACAGTGCATAAGCTCGGTCCTAAACTTAAAAGTCAGACGTCTATCCTCCTCACCATCATCCGCACATGCTGTATCTTGGTGAGTAAGAATCGAGATATATCGATCTTCAAGACTCAATGCTTTCAAGAACCGATCCAAAAGCAAAACTTCTTCCAGTGTGAAATCAAGAAACTTGGCTTCGTGCTCGTGTTCGAAGTTTCTCGCAATTGATATGTTGTCAATGACCGCAAAATCTGTGCCGATCGATCGAAGTACGGTTGTGAACCTCTGAGCGTCAACGTCAAACAGTTTTACTGGAAGAAAAGCAGCTTCAAACAGGCGGTCGAGATCTCCTTTCTCTGGGGTTTTGTCGTTAATAGCCCGTATTAACTGTTTCACTTGTTGAACCGAAGGATTTCTTTCTGACAGTAACTTAAGCTCCAGCACAAGCGTGTCCAATGTCGCCCGTGAAACTCCCAAGGACTCTATGAAGAAATCCCTGAGGTCTTCAGAATAAAAATTTCCGATGATCGCACATCCTTGTATTGGAACAGGGCTGTCCCATAAGCATTGAGATGGCGGAAACCACCCTCCATCCGTGCCAGGCAGATATACTAGTCTCTCCTCCTCGAATATTGTACTACATAATTAGTCACCATCTCAAATCTAAATAGAAGTCAAAATTACCGTATTGCTCTCCGATCACGTGCGTGATCAACATCTGACAGCAATTTATACAGTCTCAAGACTTTCTCGGAGTTGCCTTGTGCAGTTGATGAGTTCCCCGATTCACCTTTTAGCGTCGATAACACTCTTATGTAGTCTTCCCAATCTGCATCTTTGATACCGAGGACCTGGGTGAAGAAGTGGCAGAGCTTTTCATTGTCCCTGTACTGAGGAACAAGTGCGAGCACTTCTCGGTCGAGAATATCTTCAGGACCCTCCCAAACACAACTTCTTGTGTCTGTCCACGATGGATTATTGGAGTTTGGACATAGTGCTCTGGGACGCAATATCAATGACACGTCGTCATCATCAAAAACCTGTCTATTCATCGTCAGCTTGCCTGTGCCAGTCTTTGGGAAAGGAGTAAGTCCCACCTCAATAGCTCTGTATCATTTCCAGTCTGACGGTCTGCGATAGCTTCATATGATCTAATGACATTTTCTTGTGCTGTTGTATCCCATGTTCTCTGTGTCAGCGCTTCGTGTTGCCGAACGACTTCGATGTAGAAACGAAGATCGTCTACGAAACCAACACGGAACTCTTCGAGAAATATCCAGCTTCGGCGCAGATTGCGCTCTTCTGAAGCTCCATCGATTTGCAAGATCGGAAATCCTCGCGAAATACCCAGCGCTTGGACCTTGTTTTTCAAATCAGGAAGCGGCATGTAAGTGCTTCTCAGTTTTCTCAGGGCCCTGCTACCACTGCACGCGACCTCAGCCTGCCAAATTTCTTGACAAATTGGTGGAGACATGTCAACTTGGTAGGTATCCCAGTACTCCTTCAAGGTTCCTACCAGCATTCGTGGCTGACGTGCTATGATATGTCGGAATTCCTGAGATAGAGAACCTCCATCTGACTTCAGCCTAGGAACGTGACGAACTCCCAAGGAGTTCTCTAGCCAGTCTAACCATGATACGCCTCCTCGCCGAGTAGATGCAGGGAACAGGTTCATATAATCCGAATGAAGAAATGGCACCAAACAACGAGGGAAAGTTCGAGCCGGGTTTCTGGGGTGACTGGTAGCCTTTAGAAGCTGCTTGGCGCTATACTGATAATCCGATTGAAAGTAGATGACCTTGCGTCTCGAAGACACCTTTTTGTTCTCGTCATCGTAAATCCACATAACCTGGTATTTGGAGTGCTGAATGCCTTCGTTATTCCAGTAGAGATAGCTGAGATGATCTTTTGAGGATGCAAGATATGAAGCTCCTCCGCCTTCCAAATAAACCTTCCATATCATCTCAATGAAAAATTCTGGGGAACGCCGCAGAACACCGAGTTCTATAAAAAGGCTTTCTCGAGAAGGCATCCTGGCTGCAGCTGGATGAATAGTATCCACCAAGTCAGCAGGTATTGCTACTCCACTTCGAGATGGAAAGTATATCTCATGATCTCGTGAATTGACCCACGAGCCATCCATTAATGGTATTAACGGTAATGATACGAGTCGGGCTCTGAGAGAAGGCTGCCGTAAATATATATCCATGATTAATTCCGCTGCAAGAGTGTGCCAAATGTCTTCGGCCTCGGTTGTCATCATTCTTGAATGCCGAGTTTCCAAATCACTTTCAATTCTTTTGTACATCAGATCGTCCTCGATTTCGCGGATGCCGAAGTTTTCCTCAAGGATCTCAATGTCAGTCGACCGATATTTCAAGAGAAGATACCTTGGCTGGTCAGACAAGTCTTCGAAAAGCGGCAGTCCCTCGGCATCGAGATGTGTGCTTGGCAGTATTCTGAGTTAAAGGGGCTTTCGAGCTTGTGAGCTCACGTCCGGAAATAGAATTCTCTCTTCACGCAATAACCTGACAATTCTGGATGACAAGACGGTCCAGAGAGAATCACGCACTTCAGCTGTAGGTAGAAATCTCATCCACTGATACCGCAGCGGAGAATCAACGCTACAAAATTCTAGCACTGCATCACGAAATGCTTCAGCCACTCCGTTCAGAATGGCTTTGTTCCGGGGTGAATCCACAACGTCTTGCCTGCTTGCTTCCACGATGAAGTCGGCTTGAATAACGAACTGAACATTTCCATGAGCTAAATCATTATTAGATGTTGAGTTACTTACAGAGAATCCAAAGCTCCGAATTGGTAAGAACGCGAAGGTATTTTGCGGGGATATGAGAGGGCGTCCACTTTCTAAGGGAAACGCCAGAACTACCTCGCATTCATGGATATCAGGGCGCACGCGATCGATTGGAAGATTTCTTAATTCCCGCTTCACAATTCGATATTGAGTGACAGTGACGTCTGCTGCACTTTGAGCATCTGAATTCCCCACTGTCTTGACAAGTTCCACCATTCCAGTCCTAGCATCTGCTCTTTTTTGGAATGTCGTTACGGATTTTCCTTGACCATAGCCATGGATGGTAATTTTAAGCTCTTCTAGCGTCGATAAGAACAAGAGCAGGTTTTCGGGAATGTTGTTGAACTGATCAACCAAGTCCTCGTAGGAGATACTTTCAAGTGTGGTCAAAGTCATCCTCGTGATAGGCCATTCGTGGCGCGGAAGCACTTCGTCTTCGGGAATTGGCGTCACGATCCCGAGCTTTTCCTCACTTGTACTTCCTCCATTGTACTGAAAGGAAAAGGAGAATGCGTTGGACTGTATGTGGACTTTAGATGCGACCTGGAAGACGGATTTGAACCCGATGCCCTTTTCCCCGATGTAACCACGGGCCTTCTTTGAGCTTCTTCCAGTTCGACAAATCGACTGCACGTTCTCTTGGGTAAACCCATCTTCATTGCATTCAACTAGCATCCGATCAGGAAACACTTTGAAGGAAATTGACGGGATTTCTCCGGTTTTCGTGAATTTGTTATCTTCAGCATTTTGTATCATTTCAAGAATAAATCTAGCCTTCCGCGAGCCAATATCTCGGGCGATCCTGGAAACAAGTTCATCAATTGGCCTTTATGAGTTTTGTCCAATTGAACATATTGACGCACCTTTCAACAGCATCTCCTAGATCTTCGCGGATTCTCGCAATGGTTCTCAGAAGTCGTAGGGTGTCGGGGTCGGTTTTTTCCCGTATTCTCTGCTCAACCCAGCCTTTTCCCTCTGCAATATCAAGAACAATCTCTCTTGCCTGCAAAGGCGTAAAGTCAGTCGATTCAGACATTGTACTGTTCAATTTTGTTCGAATATCTTGTGCCTCGAAAGCTGTCAAACGGAGCCACCGAATTTTGTATCCATCTCCACCTGCTGACTCTCTATCTAAATTTGCACGCACCAGAAGCAGGGTGTTCGAAGCGCTGCGATTAGGATTGGGAGGAGGCTTAGCATCAGGGGACCTTCCAACGTGCTTCAGCGTAGCGCCGGGATCAGCCCAATCTTGACCGCAGCGCCTCGAAGAAAATATACTACGTTGGTCGTCAAAGGTAGGCAGGTGGTCAACGTCTGGGCATGTCTCCTAATTGATTAAGTGAGCTCTCGGCGGAGGCGTGGGGTTTCATGCCCACCAGCCCAGCCTGCGACCCTTGCTCCTGGCGCTTATCCAGCACCAAATCTGGCATTTTTAGCCCCTTGGCCTTCTGTGGCCGTTGACATACTTGAAATAGACCACTTGGGACTGGTTTCCGTCTCTCAGTGCTGGAGTTTTATCTCCGAGTACTACGTTGGGGGCTTATTCAATCACAAAGTTACCCACTCAATGAGGCACACAAGCAAAGCGTGGGTATCCATCAAAAGGGGGGAACATGGTATTAGGGTTGAATACTTCTACTGTGTATGAGCGGATCCAATGGTCCCTGCCACCCCTGACGTGTGGGTGTCCCTCTTATCTTGTTGGTGCAAACACCTGATTGATGGAGTCGACGCTGATTCTACGAGCCATTGTACCCTACCCTTAAATGTAACATGATGAGACATGGACATACTCGAGATTTGTGAGCCGTGCGAGGAAATCGTTTCGTGGTAGTTAAAAGTGAAGTTGCAAGGTCTCCCTAACATATGTCGAAGATACATGCCGGTTCGAAGATCTCGTGAAAACATGCACCAATCTATTTCGAAGCATGCATTACGTACAGGCTCAGAACAGGTTCAAAGCTACTATAGGATAGGGAACTCGGAAAACTAAAATAACTCAATGTCTGCTAAACTCGATACTTGCAGTGGATATAACTTCCCCATTGACCAAGTCCTTGAATGTGAGGTTGCTACCTTTGTCGCCGAATCGGACCTGGGTCTCGGCTTCGAACTGATGCAACTTCTTCCCTGACCTAAACACAGATTGTGCCGAAGGCCCGAAATCAAAGTCTTTGGGGAAATTTGAAATGATTTTACCCACTTGCTCAACTCCTAGAACTGGTTAGTAACCATCAAAGACTTTCGCAAGGACACTGACGAGGATCGGTTGTATATCTGGGTGGAGTATCCAAGGCAGTTGAATACAACGTCGTATGAGATCGTGTAGCTACCCCAGGCTTGTATTTGTGGATATATGACGAATTCAGGACAGTGTCGGCAGAGACGTTGTCCCCCTATCAAGGTGACCATGGTGTCAGGAGATAAGTGATAAGTGGCAGATGGTATCAGGGACTTACCTTGGCGACCATCCATACTATTCTGTTCATACAAAGCTTTCTACCATCCCATTCATCTTTGAATCCCAAAGACTCGGGGTCTAACCCCTCCTCGAATGTGCAATTCAATCCCACTCCATAATGCCGACGAGCTTTCTTGATACGAGGTGTAACTCCTTCGAGACCTCTTAGTGCTGCCCCTCGAACGACTGCAGATTGGCTACATAGTGTCAGCGAATGAGAAAACTTAATACCTTCTGAACTTATGGGTGCTCTGGGCATAGCAAGGTAATTTTTCCATGTTGTTGACACCATTCCTTCAGGACCTTATTGAGGTATGGTGACTCGCCGAATCCGCCCACAAGAACAATGCGCTGGTTACAATTTAGCTTCTCTACCAATCAGCAATTTGAGTTGGTGAAATACATCAATCGCTTTCTTCCGGTTCTCCTTCGCCTCTTTCACTTGTTGCTCCACCAAATTTACAATTTGGTCAATAACCGGGTCAAACAAACCCTGCATCTCTTCGCTTCAAGAATGTCAGTTTTATCTTCCTAGCTGGAAATTGACCCAACTTGAGTCTTAGAAACATACTGAGTAAGTGTCACCATTCGCTCTTCCTCATCATAGAAGAATGAGTCTTCCGTTTCGAGTCTTAGTGGGCTCAGTTCCACCACATCTTGCTCTTCGTTCCTACCGAAGTCACGCTTGTACATTTCAAAACATGTCATGAATTTGCTCCCTGGACCTTTCTGCGCATCCGGGACTTCATCAAAGGCTCTACCGAATCGCTTGGAAAGAAAGGCGTGCAGATTCCGGTCGATATATGTCGAGCCACACTTACCACCTATGAAATGAATCAATATGGTGTGTTATCTTGTTCAGACTGGTGGTTGCAACTTACCCACTCCTACATAAAGCTCATCAAATTCTAAACGCGGCTCAACCTCCACAATTGTATACGTTGTGATGTCGACCGTTCCACCACCACAATCGCAAATGAGGATATTTTCCCCTGGCTATCATGCTCAGTACAGGGCAATGTGAGGTCTCTGGATAACGTACCTTGATCTTGTTTAATGAATCGGTATGAGAGTACATCTTCAGCGTGGCAATAGCGGCAGCTTCTGGTTCTGCAATTGTGAAAATCTCATCTCCAGAACGGTTTGAAAATCCCGCTTTCTTGGCAGCTTGCAAAGTTGCAACTTTTGCTTCTTCAGACCATATCGCAGGTAAAGTCACCCAGCACTCCATTGGTGTATTATCGTAGACTACATCGGTCATCTGGCGACGCAGCTTTGCAGATACATACTCGTACACGCCACGAAGGAAGTCCTCACATACCTCCGGTGCTGTGCGGAATCTTGGAAGTCTCATCATGCCTTGGCCTGTCATGTTCAATAGAGCAGGGTCGTCGTAGTCTCCTGGTAAAGCATTTTTATCCAACAGGAGCTTCGTCCATGAGTAGGATATAAGTTTTGGACGGACTTCGAAGCCCTATTTGTTTTCTGTGAGCGATGGGTTCTCTCTTTGATATGCTAGACGAGTGGGTGTCTTCCAAGTAGTGTGTGGCTCGCCTGGCCAGTCTGAAATGATATTGATATCATGGATGTCGCTTTTGTCCGTGGTGACATAGCTTATTCCTGCAAAAGTCCTTAGTTTACCCAAGTCCGACAGGTGTAGGAAGTCCTACCTGAGAAAGTAGTCCCATAATCAATGCCAATTATGATCTTGTGATGAGAAGTTTGATCGAGAGACAAAGACTTCAGCCGCTGCCGAAGTGTTTCGTTCGCCATGGCCATTGAATAAATTTGACTCAACGACTTTCCACATACGCAAATTTGAAAGCTGAAGATGAAAGGCAGCCAGAAGCTTTAGAAGTAATGCAGAAGTCCACAACCACGGACGAAGACTCGATGGACGGAGTTTTGTTCCTAGCTAGAAGGTCAGACTGCCTTGAGAGGGAGGTCGGCTGAGAAGTGACCTTCTAGGCTTCCGCCCATTCCTGTTACTGTTTCGGAACTGCATGATCCTTCCGCGGGCGGGCGGCGCGTAAACAGGGGCAGATGTATCACATCCGATCGAGCTGCAGGAAGACGTAAGCTGCTCATTGGCTCCTCTCCACGTGGCCTTGAGGTGGGGACTGTTGGATATTTCCCCTCGCCAGCAGGATTCTATATGATCTTTCGCAGGATAAGAAACCCAAATTATAGACTCTCAAAATCCCGGTTGCCAATTCCATACAACTCCACCATCTGTAAGACTTGCAAAACCTTAGGGAGTCGAACACATCAGCAATGGACCAAAACGTACTCCCAACGAGCACGTCTCTAGCTCCAGCTTTGTCCAGACAATATGAGCCAGCAGTGGGTTGGAAAAACAACTCAGCTATGTCAGTTTTAGATCCAGAAAACAGGCGCTTTAATGTGGCAGACACAGCCGGTCATGGACGAACGACTTCGCAAAGCGAATCTCTTGACGCTGGTCGGAGAGATCACCACCAAGAAATAGTAGATCCACAATCACCGAAACCAAAATCTGGTGGGATGCACTCTCAGCAGCAGGACTCGACTCCTGGTCAACGCACCAGCTTTCTGGGAGACATTCGGCGTTACATTTATCCTTCAGGTGCATCTCCTTCACAACGAGAGGAGCAAAGCAGGAAGGAGATAGCGCGTCTTGCAGCATTACTGGAGAAAAGGGATCGCCAGATAGCGAAGATGCAGGCAGATCATAAGAATACTTTGAAGAACGTTGAGAATGATTTCAGAAAGATCCAGGAAGACAACAGGCAGAAACATCACGACCACTGGGAACGAGTCAATCAGGAACATGAAATGACAGTCAACAAACTACTAACACAGCTGCAAGAGATTGGGAAGGAGAAAGAAGTCATACAAATGGAGCATGATAGATTCATTCGGGAGAATCAAGAGGCGTCATTTGGTAAAATGGAGTCGGCCCGCTGGGCTCCTGCAGAGGACAGCAAGATCGTTGGGCAGCTCGAGAGACTGAGAAGAGAAATGAGGAGCTGGGCGAAGGGGATGGCCCTGAAAGACATGGCTCTACTCAAAAATCTGGAAAAGACAGACCAGGACTCTCTGATGGACTATTTGTCGAACGTAGTCGCACTCCAGAATGGTCAACTACCAGGCGGACTCGAGACACCAAAATCCCCGGCGCTCCTTCTAAATGCGCTGTTCACACACATACTGTACTCAACTCTTTTCCGCAGTCCGTTCTTCTTCCTTGAAGATGCCCAAAATGAAGGCTTGAACGGCTCCAGAGTTGCAGAGACTCTCGTGAAGATGTATGAAATGGCACAGAATTGTAGGTTTCCAACACGCGAAAGACAGAAATTTCTACAGTAACATCAGCTGACACAACCGCTTAGCCAATGCCCACGACGCCCATACCTGGCGCTCAGACACGCTAAGGCTCCTGCTCCCACCCCCTGGAAGTAGCACTTCTGAAGGCCAAAAGTCCCTACACGGCGTTACAGACAGCTTCATAGTTAGAGCAGCTGATTTCCACGCCTCAAGCTTCCTAATTGGGCCCGCGAGCCATTTGATGAAGCCGGATGCAGACCCCAAGCAAATCGAGAAGTGCAAAGCGATCTTCCAGGAAGCAGCGCGGTTCTCCTACCAGCTGTGGACTCGGAGGACGGAGGTCAGGTGTTATGGATTGAGGGAAATGGGAGAACCGACATTCAGCGTCAACAACCCGGAGACTCAGCCACACTCGTTGCTTCGGTACGACAACCACGAAGATCTGCTTGAGGGGAGACCGATCACGGTCGTTGTGCACCCTCTCATAAAGGTTTATGGGACGGGCGCTGCGGAACAGTATGACTGCGACAGGGTATGGATGCGCGCTGAAGTGTGGCTTGATAGCAGATGATTGTTTCCATGAAAGTTGCCGGGTGCAGAGACGGTACGATTAAGCCTATTTCACGTTGTTCCCTGACAAAAGTTGGTGAATAGTTGAAATCACATTTACTATCCACCTTCTGTACTTTATTTACGTCTTCCTCTGTACTACACAAAGATGGATTTGACAATCGCAATCAATCTCACTTTCCACCCTTCTCAGATTTACTCCCATGATTATCAGATGCATATTCCGCGTGCGTTCCAATCGTTACAGCCTTCTCCGCATAAACATCCAGCTGCAATTCTCTCATGGCATTGACACCAGAAGTGAGAGCATCCGGGCCATCAAAAAGGACCGCCACCTCCTCGAGAGCCTTTCCTTTAGTCTCGGGAAAGAAGAAGTAGATGAGCGTGAAGTTGATGCCAATGACAACGCACCAGACGATGTAGTAGCGCCAGGCGATGGCGTCCATGGCAACAGGATTGGCGAAGCTGTTGTACAGTCCGGCAAGATTTCCAGTCAGTTGGTAGAGCATAGAAGCTTTTGAGCGCAGAGAGAATGGCACGACTTCCATGATGTAGGTTGGAGCTACGGGTGAGACGAGGTGGTAGCAGAGACCGAAGATGAAGATCATGACGAGAACTCCGGCAGCTAGTCCGTGGTCTTTGAAATGGCGATCTTGGTTTAGAGCAGAGAGGATAGTCCAGATTATGTATGAGAAGCCCATGCCACCCATGCCAAGAAGGAAGAGACGGCGACGACCAACTCTGTCGACGAGTGTGGCAGCGAAAACGGCAGTGATGAAACTCCAGAGCGATAGGCACCCATTGATGATGAGTTGAGTACGGTGATTGGTAATTCCAATGGTGACGAGGACCTTAGCGAGGTAGTAAGAAGTGAGAGCATTCCCGGACCCCTGCAGCATAGCTGGAATGAAGAGAGCAATGAACAAACGGTGTCGCATGCCTTTGGAGGCAAACCACTGCGACCATTTCGACATCTTTTGCAGCTTCTCCATCTCCAAAGTGGCGGTAATCTCAGCCATCTCGAAGCGAACCAGTCTGGAGTCGGCGTCCCCATCAGCGTGATATTTGATCAGCATATCCAAGGCTTCCTGCCGGCGATTGTTGTAGATCAGCCATCTAGGCGACTCTGGTGCAAACAAGCTGAGGACTGCCTGGACGAGGGAAAAGGAGCATTGAAGCACACTGGGGATTCTCCAGGCCCATGAAGACCCAGTCATCTTGAAAGTTCCGTACGTGACCCACGCAGCAATGAGTGATCCGAGCGACCATGTGGTGAGATAGAAAGACACCAATTTGCCTCGATGTTCTGGGTATGCAACCTCACTCAATAGTGGAGGAGCTGCAGTAGCCACTATTCCCAGGCCAAAGCCGACGAAGAAACGCGAGACGACAAACATGCCGTAGTTGATAGACGCAGTCTGCAAAATGGATCCGAATATGATGATGAGAGACCCACCGCAGATAGGATATCGACGACCGAATCGCTCGCAGAGCTGCGAGGATACCAAAACGGAGATCAGGATACCACCAGTCGGACCGAATGTCATAGCGCCTAGTCGAGTACCAGTGGGTGTGCCGAAGAATGCCTGCCACTGGGGAAGAGACTGCATCCCGTTCAACATACTACTGTCGAATCCTGAAGCGATCTGGGTGAGCAGCGCGCACAACATGAGGACGTTGAGCTTCAGAAGGCCTGGAGTTCTGTACCATGGCTTTGTGCGCTTCGGGAGAACATCCTGGAGTGACAACCCCTCAAAGTCGTCGGAGCGTGACACTTCTGCCATGATGACTTGTGTGCGAGGCACTGTGAGGAGTGCAGTGGAAGATGGAGCCGGACAGAGAGATATAGAAGAAGCTGGATGAATCGATTAATCGGCTGCTGCATCCAGCTCTCGTCGAGGGGGGTGGATTCGCGCCTTTATATGATGCGTGCTCATTGATGCAGATGTAGTGCCGGACCTCACGCGGGCCAATTCGACGCGATGTTCTCCAAACCTGGCTGTGGTCTGAACGCGAGCAAACACCCGCGCGGTACGCAGACCAGATCCGGGATCATACCTCCGTAGAAGAGAGGGCAACGATGGAAGTCTGGGGTGTTCCTGTCTGGGGACTGGGATCGGGGCACTCGGGGAAAGCGGGGGTTGTTGGTCTGTTCAAGGTGGGGTCTGGGGAAATACACCTCAAGCGATGGGAGGCAAGGTACTGTACGAAAGGTACTGTACCACCAGTACTGTAGTGGAGGTTTTGACGAAGATACCTAGCTTAAGCGAGCCAGTCGTAGACGGCTGGTAGTGGTATCCGCCCAGCGGAGAGGACTTCCCCCGATGCAGGGATGCCGGCCATGCAACACAACCTAACGTCTTCTTCCACAGACGCTCCAGAGCACGAGGTCACACTCCTCGGAGACTAACGTACTGGAGAGGTTAAGTTCCTCTGTTCACGGAGAATGTGCCGTCCGAGCATTTATCCGACGTCGCCACAAGCCTTTTTGAGGGTGTGTATAAGAGATGTCTCCAGAGCCTACTCGCTGACCGCAAGAGATGCCGGATGATACCCCTGAACAATGTACCGAAAGTTGGCATTGCTTGGATCTCCAAGCTTTGTGGAGGGCGCTGGGCACAGGCTTAATTGTGGAAGCTTACCTCATCTTTTGTGAACTCATTGTTTCCCATGCCAAATTATCATGGACTGAGGTATCGACCTGAATGCTGTATCACACTAGATCAAGCTGTCCAGAGGATCAAGCGCATTTTCCACTGTCCACTGCATCCGTTACTGGAAGCCTTTGAGAAACCTGGTTTGCAGAACACGTGATCGCTGCTTCATTCTTCAAACACCGCCTGCGAGACCAAACCCTGAGTTTTCTCACGTGGCACAATTACGTGCCCCAGATTGATGTCGTATAGGAAACCTACGAACGTAATGAAATGGCTTACCTTCCGATACTTCGAATCTAAGCCTTTCTATCTTGAAACTCCAAGGAAGAAGAAAAACAATTTATATCTCGCTTGATTGTTTACTGGAGAAGGGTGATAATAAAGGGGGCGGGGCAGCTTTAGCGAAACAAATCTGCCCAGGTGTACACCTCCACCTCCAGCTCCTAAGATACAACTAGGTGACCATTGCCAAGAATCGATCTGCAATCCGGAAATGGGGATATATGTTTTTCCGGATCATTAATTAGTTCCTAAAGTGTAAACTATTGAGCCTTGACCTGGGTTTGGCGCTTGTGATATCATTTGCGCTTCTATCTCTGCTAGCCTAACAACTTTCGTTACCACACAATCTCATCATGAAGAATGTTCTTTTCTACATTATGTCACTCCGAAACTATTCAAAGTACGAGCAAATTGTACGAAACAAAACAAGATAATGTTCTTCTCGATTATCGACAGTCCTTCCTTAGTAGTCGGTCGCTGATACATGCAACTCCTCGCTTAAACCACCCAAGCAAACCTCTGACTCTGAAGACGACATCCCTCTTTATAGGTATTCTATACATCATCGTCCAATCCCATAATACCCGTAGTCTCTTAACCTTAGCTCCTAGAAGAAAATTAGAGAAGAGCAATGCAAGTGATCGTTCAGCCCGCAGGAAGTGTCATACCTCACATGAATACCCGACGAACTCAGGCATGAGTGATATATTTAGGAATGAATTCATCGCGTTTGTGCTAGAACCAGGTTCGTGCTCAACGAAAGGCTGAAAAGTAGCCAAGCCAGTCGGTGGCGGTAACGCTGTCGTGGCGTTCGTGGTCGTGCTGGTGTTGTCAACGAGGACTCTTAGTTTCTAAAAATTAGTTTAGGAATTAAGGTGCAATCATAAAGCTAGGAATTAGACTATATACTTACTTGCCACTGGATTCAGTGCTTCTAGCAGCATCCTGAGGTGAGGGTTTTGAGGGACCACCGAAGCCACCGAAGCCACCGAAGCCCCCGCCTGTTGAACCAGGGGTTGTACCTGAACCAAGCCCGAAAGGGCTGGACTTCGGACTTCCAAACAAACCGGTAGGTTTTGGGCTGCTTGTATGTCCAAAACCTGCGTTCGCTCCAAGATTTCCAAAAAGCCCTGGTTTGGCTGCTACTGGTGGATCGTGAAACGATCTTTGGTTGATTGGTCCAGTATCTGAATCTTTCTTAGTCACGGGTGCAGACGAAGGCGCTCCAAACAGGCCCCCTTGTGACGAACCGGCTGTTGATCCGAATCCGGCACCTGGGGTAAATATATTGCTCAATGGTTTGGAAAGGCTCTCGGCCTGAGCGAAATTGGAAGTGGATGCTGGTTTTTCGGAGGTCTTCTTGCCGGAGACTTTAGATCTCCCGGGGCTAGGTACGCGCATCCCTGTTATATTGGTCCCATCCGATGAACTATCGAGAACTGGCCATTTTAGCACCAACCCATCCAGTATGGGTCTGATAGAACTTACACTGTGGGCGCTTTGCATACTGCTTGCAAATGCGAGCTCCCTTTTCCAAGGTGTCCAATCTGCGCAGGATTGCTTCTCTTTCCACTTTTTTCTCCTCTGACTCACCGGCGATGCTGGAGACGACCTCCGCTCCCATCTTGTACACCGCTGTAGGGCAGAAAATTCTTGGAACCTCGCGGATGATTGGCGATTGTATTGCAAGAGTTGGGACATTGTCTGTGAACAAATTGATGGCAACCTGACGCATGTAAGTTTCATAGCAGTAGCTTTTGGGTAAGGAGGCCCTTCATACCTCATAATATGCATTCATGTTATCAAATGCTTCCTCGGCTGCAATCATATCCATGTCCAAATCTTCTTTCGTGGTAATAGCAGATAACATTGTGGTGATCTCGTCGACGCTCATAGGTTTGCCTAGTTTTGACCGGTCATTGAGCATTGATTCCAAAACTTTCTTGTTAGAATCTTGTCGAGGGTTTTTTCTGTTGCTTAGAAAGAGACTGTTTGTTGTCATTGGATAGTCTTTGTGGACTTCGAGAAGGTCATCCAGTTTGGAGTAGGCCAAATTCAACTTTTCATCCATGATAGGTTGCAACCAGAAGCGAAAGATATTCTCACAGACATCTTCATCCGTCAAGTATCGAAGAAGGAGCTCAATAAACCTGTTTGCTGTCTCCCAGACTTTCTTAATGTGTTGCCGTGCAAGATCTCCCCAAGGGCGACTATAGAGACGGAAAAGTTCCCCAACAAGGAGAGGGTTCGGCAGACCAGGGAGCTGTAAGAGGGTCTGGTCAGCTTGCTATTTGGATAAATTAGCCACAGGGATGATGATATCGCTTACCTCGCGACCACGGCTTCTCTTTAACAGCAAACAGGCTTCTTTTATCGCCTCATCGCGCGATCGATATCTCCCAGTGAACATGTTCTCACTACCCATAAGCCAGTATGACCCTTCCTTTCGAATATTGCTCGCGAAATCAAAATGCATGTTCATCACACTCGCGCAAAGTCGTCTCTCTGGATTCAAATCATGCTGGAAGAACTCGTGGTCATATTCACCCTTGACAGCATCTCGGCAGATGGTTTGAAAAGTTTGACTGAGGGAAATGAGAAATTCGCGCTGTTGCTCAGGCTTGCTTCGACTCGGTCCTAGCTTGTCGCGCGCAAGCCTTGTCGCTGTGATCTGAGTTTGAATGTCTTCAACGAGACGTGGAAGTTCGCGTCGTACTTGGCTGAAGAGGACTTTGCTCAGGCGAGCACGTAAAAACTTGATCCCAAGAGTGTGTGCTGGAAGGCGATTGAAGCCACCTTGTTCGAAAAAGGCGGCCTCTTCCTGATCTCGAGTATTCTCCTGCTGATTTTGGCTGACGGCGGAGTCAAGATTCTTGACCATGTGCCAGCCCAAAGAAAATTTGACATCTTCATTCTTGGCGAGGGCGATAAATGCCTCCTCACTCTTCGAACCTTCCCTTACACAATCTGGCTTAGTGATAATTCCCAGGGTCCTTAGGCCTTGTGGATCAACTTTTCGTGCATTCCGAAGAATAATCTGGTTCCCGATATCGTTTTTTGCCGATACCACTGCTAAGATTATACTTCGAGGGTTTTCCAGATACCGGGTAACAAGCTTATGTACTAGTTGCACATCTCCAGTGGTTTGTGATTTTGTTTCAGAATGAATAAGGCCAGGAAGATCAACAAGTGTTAATTGAGGTTGAGATGGCCCACAGAACTCAATTCTTAAAATATCGTTCGAGAATGATTTCCCCGAGGACGACAGTCCCATTTCAGCCCTTGCACTGTGGAACAAGTCCCCAAAGTCATCTATGGTTCTCAACTCGCGGCGAAATCGATTTAGTCGGTCCTGGTCTGTCGCAGCCCTGTCCTCACCTGGTACAATCGAGACGTTTATCTCAACTCTCGCAGCACGACGGAGGATCACCTCGGTCGCAAATCGAGTGCATAGGGTATCTTGCTTGGGAAAAGGAATCCCGGAAATCGCTTCTAACACCGAACTCTTCCCGCTAGACTGATCACCACAGACAATCAGTTGTGGCAGCGCGACGAGCTCGCTGAGACCGCAAGCACGAAGAGAATCCACAATGTCCAGGACTTCCATCTGCTCGACCGACTGCAGCTTCTGCACTGAAGGCAGGTCAAGATCGTTGGCCTCGGCCATTTTCTAGAGAAAGTTTGAGTTGAATTCTAATGACGGATGGCTGATGAAGAGGACTGAAGAGTAGAATAGAAGAACGAAATGGAGGAGTGCCGGGAGCTCATCTTGAGTTTCATGAATAATCCAACAGCGGCGCAGCAGCGGTACAGAACCGATTGTGTCAGAATTGCAGTTGTATAGAGAGCTACTACAGAGAGAATCTCCTATATAAAGGGGTAGCGTACTCAGTAGTACCGCCTACAGTACTGAGTCTACGCCTACAAGCCCCATATTTCTAACAGATTGAGTTGAGGAGATAGCGTGGGCGTTTATTTGCGGGCCGGCCCCTTGCGAGTGCAGCAGCGCTAAAGTTAGGCTACAGGGCGGCATCAAAACGACCAAAATAAGGCAAATCAAACCTACTGATTGATATCTTTCAACAACATGAAACGGGGGTGCAAGTAACAAACGGAGCTGTCTAATCAGTGGGTGCTTGGGTGCCGCAATCATCACTTGGCGATTTTATAATTCTCCTTGTGTAGACCCCGTGCTACACCCTTACTTCGTTACATCTCTATACCTTAGAGGCGAAATGAGGCCAAAACCCAGTGACAATACAGCGCTTCACTAAGTAGATGGTTGCACGGCTATCTAGCGCTCGTCAACTTTTTAAGGGGTTCTCAATGGAGAGTCTACCGAGAGTCTACCGACTATCAAGCAAGGGGGTGCGGTTACTGTTAACTTAGCGCTGTATTATCCCTTGGTCTCGGCCGCATCTTTCCGTTAAGGTAGCTCGGAACCAATCATCAGATTCCTGAACTGGTCGTGCTCCGGAAGGGAAGTGGAATTAGGCATCACGTCCACTCTGCCTCACATATGCCTCACATTGGCACACGATTACTTAAATAGATAACTGCTAGAGAATACCTGCTGTTTTATATGTTTTGATCCCAGAGAACCAGAAACTATTGACGTCGCGGAATGAGAATAATCAAGGTCAGCATGGAAAGTGCCAGAGCGGACTGGTTGATGCTTTTGAATTTCAATGCATCAGTGGTCCTTTGTGATTTTGAGCAACGATGCAATTGGCATGAATGGTGTTCTCCGGAAGTTCTCTATCGTCAGTACCTCGAGAATCTGCGCTCCAACCAAATAATCCGTCCAGGTGATCGCTGGTATGACCTTGTCGAGCTCTACTCATGCAAATCCGGACAGATAAGAATAGAGACACCAGGCACCGACACTTCGATCGAAGACTTCGTATGAGCAAAGGACCAAGCCTGGTGCTCTTTGACTACAGCAAGTCAGGAGAAAGCTCAAGTTTACTCTCTCAGTCTTTTCATTTATCCTGGATTCGACAAGCTGAGTAAAGTTCGTAAAAGTCTCGGAAACTCTTACATATTCGATTCGGACTTACAATTCCCGAATATGAGAGAAACTACATCTCAGGTACGACGGCTCATCAGGCATTGCACAATCGATGCTCCAGAATGGCAAAGATGCCTCTGTAAATCTGGATCTGCCTATGAGCGCTTCCATACCCCTCCCTCAACGGGCTAGGAGAGTCATAAGAGCAGGTGATAAGCTCTACCCTGAGGACTGGGCAGCTTTCGACGTAAGTGGGGAGGATGTAGTAGTTGCTGGTCGCCAAACAGCAATGGAGTGGTGGACAACGAGCGAGCGAATGAATTTGCGAAAGGCGAGGAATGACAGAATGGCAATTTTGGCAAAGACAGACCGACTTTGAGATAAGTGTTGGAGCAGCTCGAGTCCTTAGAAATATCTCAGCAGTAACATTGAGACCGGCTGAAGGCAAACCCCAGAGGGCTTCTTTCCCGTTATAGACATGCTCTGGCTGGGTGGCGATTCTGTAAGGGAACAAATCTAGATCTCATAATTTTGCAAGTCACTTCGAGTTCATTAGGCATAGATCATGGCCAGAACAGGCTGTTCAGGATATTGTCAAATATGAATTGCAAATTCAACTTTCTGTCTCGAGTCGGCGACCGAAACCCTCTGGCAAAACAAAACGGGGCTGTCACTCCTAAAAGATTCAACTTGGGTGTGATTTTCCTTCTTCACTCTGCCAGTATGTTTCAAGCGCATCGACAACGACTTGCGCCATTGCGAGAAGCTTTTCCTCTTCCATCTTCCTTGCAACAATTTGTATGGAAGCCGGAGCGCCGTCGTATATTTCAGCATCATCTGTTTGCAGTCAATCTTTGCAACAAATTAGATAAACGTAAGAGAACTTACACGCTTCCATATTCAATCGATCCTTATCGGTCAGCGGCACGAAATCGGCTGGCACAACATCGATCTTCTTGTCGGCGAATGTGACTGGAATGACAACTGTTGTGTAATCCAATACAGTAATAAAACTTTTGTATGCTGTTTGATACCATTAGCCAATTTAAATCTAATGAAGGTGATCGACTGATTGTATATTGGCAGGTCCACTCACGCGAGTGAAAGAATTTGCCCGGCAACACAGCAGCATAAGGAGAAACTGGAAGGATGATTGCTTCCACAGGACGGCCTGGGAGTGTCAGTAACTAGACTTCAACGTAGCACATATCTTCCTCCTCAATACGTACCATTGCTGGTCTTGCTAGCTGTAGAACTCCAGTAGTCATGGTATCTCTGGCGATAGCTTTTCATATGCACGACCACTTTCTCGTAGTCTACAAGGCTCATGGATGGCTGTAGATTTCCATTGGGGAACAAATGTTGAATTTCCGGAACAATAGGCTCCCCAGAAAGCTTGTTAGCCTCGTAGATATCAGGACATCCGTCACCTCGAGCAATAGGACCCTAGTAAGTACAGTCAGTATGCTTTCACTGAATGAGAAACTTCTACGTTACTGACGTGGATAGCAATCGACTCGTTCACTGAGGGAGGTTCCCAAGGAATTGTCTGCCACCCTGTCATCAACACGTGAAAGTAGGTCCTTTGATTGAAGTTAAGTACCTCGTGTCCGGCTGCAAGCATAGCTTTCTTCACGATGCCAAGTGCGCGGGAAATCTGAGGATGTGGGGTCACAACGCCATCATGATTTACGAAACCGAAAGAAAGATTGTCATTCACTTCCATCCGGTAGTCTCTGAATGAAACTTGAAGAACATATGGATCATAAAGCCATGGCTCTGTGGAGAGTAGTGATTTGAACACTAGGCGAAGCGTCGAAACAGAGTGTCCCAATATACCGGCAACGGTAGCCATGATCATTTGGCCAGTGCCCTAGATGGTTAGAGATGCGATCATTTCTAGGGCGGATCCAACATACTGTATTCGCCACGTCCTTGAATGAGATACGACCAAAGGAAGGCTTGAGACTGAAGACGCCATTGAATCAGGCGGACAAGAAATGGAGCCACCTGGGAAGCGTCAGCAGCTAGAAAGGTAGAAGTCTTGAACTTATATACCTATGTCGGTCCCAATTCCGAACGCCCTTCCTCTCAAAGCCTGCATTGCTCCTTCTCCTGTCAAAGATTATTAGCATCTTACATTTAGAAGGTCAGGTGACAAATCAACACACCACCTCAGGATCCGCCGGTGGATAGAAGCTGATTATGCGGATTCCATGCATAGCCAAGTATATTGTTGTTCGTCTCAGGAGCCTTCGATGAGTTAGTCGTTTTGCCACAGGATTATAGATACTAGGTTGGGGGTGATCCAGCTCACCGAGATACTCTGGACAAGAGAAGTCTGAATCAAGCGTGAGTAAACGTTTCGATACTAGGCATGCTTGGAGAACACTTACCTTTCCGATGGGGATCGCGCCAAGGCTATAGAGCTCTCTAATCAATTCCCTTTCTGTATTGTTCTCTTTTCCGGTACCCTTCTTTCCCTCGAAAGTGCCGATCCAACCAACAAATGCCATGGAAGTTTCAAGGCCTTTGATGTGGAACTGGTCTTTGAGTATGAGAGGGATTCCAAGCAGAGGACCGATGGGTTTTTGATTCTTCTTGAAGTACTCGTCAAGCTCCTTGGCTCTTTCAAGTGCATTATCGAAGGCGATTTCGAGAAGGAGATTTGACTAGTAGAAGGTTATGTAAGACTTTTGGTTGAGCATAGGTGTTCACTAACCAGTTGGTGTGCATATGCAGCTCGCTTTGAGTATGCTGTAATGACCTTCACCGCGGTGAGGGAACCATTGCTTGTAAGCTCCACAATTTCCGGGACATCGAGTTTGGAGATAAATAGTGTCTCTTCATCCAAAAGATCTTCAATGAAATGTCCGGCGATGCTCCGTGTTACGTGGCTCTTCTTAATCACCGATTCAGGCAAGATCCAATCCTTAGGTATCTTGTCCATGTTCTGGCATCTCTTTTCGGAGGCAATCTCCTTCCATGATCGAGTTCCTGGGATGAAAATGCTGGAGTTTATCTTCACGGTTTTCGACCACAGAGCAACGAAGCAGATAGTGAAGAGTACGAAAGCGAAGACGATTCTTGTTGAAGAACACATCGCGATTTTAAGGAATCTTTTGAGCAGTACATGTACGCGCATCAGTCTACAAAGGGTGTGCAGATTTCTACCTGACTGGGTACTCTGATGTTTTTGTGTCCCTTGCCTAAGGTTCACCCAGGCTGCAGCAGGCACTGGGTGAACCAATCAGAAGATCCCAATTCTGGTGACCGATGAAGACCGCTAGAATGAATTGGTCAATTGCCTGTCAGATTTGGTAACATACCTAGGTACTCAAAGGAAAGTTGAACCTTCACCGAACATGAAGGCGTTGGAGTCTGTGAGAGCTTGCCGTGGGGCTTGCTTCGGGTGAGGAGGTGCTGGACCGGGAAGCTGCAGATGCCGATATCCTGGTTTCCGAGGCTCCTAAAGAAGAAAGATTGACTGATTGCCACGTACGCCTTCCTGTAACAAGCCGAAGAGATGAGAGCCCCAACAAGGGCACGCTTCTGGCGCAATACAAGAAAACCGAGAAGACTAAACGAGGGGTCCTCGTGGAGGAGAACGGTAAGGTGATCTCGTGAGAATGCCCTCAGCCTGGACCGATGAGAGGTTTCTCAATTGGGCAGAGCAGGGCCATATCTTCCTGGACCGATGAAACTTCCAGTTTCTACAATTGAACAAGCTGAGTCATGGACGGATGAGTTGAGAAGGCAGTCCTTCAAGTCATACAATGGACCGATGAGACCTTCATTCCTTCGAGCAAGTAGCTTTGATGCCGCTCGTTCCTCCTGAGTCTTCGTGTATATTTGAGAGAAATTGCTCGTGACCATTCTGGCAATTCTGTACAGCAAAGCCAAAAAAAAAATCAATCTCAATCCTATCGACTTCAAAACTCGTCAACTTCCAAAGTCCCCTTGAACATAATTACAATTGTAAACAATCAACTTCCGTTCATCATGTCATCGAAGCAAGAACACCAGCGAGAGACCATAGAGAAGGAAGACGCAGGGTCTTACCTGGACATGATTCGTTGCAACGGTAATCAGCACCCTCTTTTTCGTCATCTTACCAAAATCTGGTACAGACACTGATCATTTCAAACAGGTGATTTCTCCGCCTCTGACTTTCCTACCAAGACAGACAACCAGAAACAGGGCAGTTCCCAGCGATGCGTGCAGGGTTCAACCACAGGCACGATGGCTACATATGACAATACCAGTGAGGAAGGCGACATTGGCGTCGGGGAGTCTAGCGGGCTCAGGTGACCCCCAAGATTGGTCAGACCTGTGTATTGGAGTAGATAATGAAGATTGATGTCAGGGCAAAGGAATTGTGCCAGTTTTGGCGGACGGCGTTCTTGAGCTGGGCGTACAGCTGCTTCACCCACCGCGAGTGGATTGTAATCTCCAGGGAGGTATCTTTCTTCGCCGGAGGTTGCCTCTTTGCTTTCGGGGCAGCTCTGGCTTTGGATTTGGGTGTCGCTGTCGTTCTTCCTTTCTTCAGCAGGGGACCATCTTCCACACCTGTCGGAGCTGCACGCTTGGATAGCATCACGACATGATCTCCCAAGATTTTGACTTCTGTCTGGAATTCCAGGAGCTGACATTGGAGGTCGGCAATTCGTTTTTCTGTCATAGCCTCAGATCTTGCTGTAAATATGGATTTATAGAGAAAGATGACAAGTTTTTGCTAGTAAGGAAAAGGATAGTTGTTTTGTTACTTTTCCCGCTCTGTTCAAACATGATCTCACGTGTAAAAACGTGAAAGAGGACTAGAAACAAGGTAGTGTTTCACTGGCGTACGTGCGCATGAAACACTACCTCACCTCTGAAAACTCTACTAGCCGGCCACCTCCTGTTTTGCTCGGGGCTCGCGTACAAAGCCCCGAGCAAAACAGGAGGTGGCCGGCTAGTAAGGGCCACAAACAGCAACTAACGACCCAGTATATTTAGAATCACCTCAGCACTCATTTCTGCTTTGTCTATATCCCTAAATACAGTGATTTCTGCCACATACGACCATAGACTGGTGAGACCTGGGCATCCCGTCCGCTCTGCCATACATAAGCACCAGATCGGCAGATTAGTAGTTGGGTGGGTGACCACCAGCGAATACCTGCTGTTGTATGTTTTTTTTTTTTCGACTCATATTCTGAGGTCCAGAAACTTTCATGTCGTGACGTGAGTACCCCCTAAGCCGTTTGGAATATAGTCCTCCCCCCGGTTTAATTGTCTAGCACTGTCGATGATACAAGTGCCGCTCTTGAGGATCTGCAAAAGTTTCAAGATGGTTAAGCCAATCAAGACGTACTGTATCAACAATCTGATCTTTTGATTGGATGCATAACTTTAAGCAACAGGGTTTAAAACATTCAAATAGCAATGTGCTGAAAAGGCGCTAGACAATTAAACCGGGGAGGGGACCATACAGTCCCTATCAATGTAGTTTCGGAATACTTAGCTATAGGTAAGGTATCCGGAAACTGTTTGCAACTTGCTTTTCATTCCGATTCTCAGGGTCTACACCATTCCCACGAGGTTTTTTATATACAAACAATCATACTGCTTAGGCCTCGTAGAAAAAGCAACGTTTCTTACCTTATTCAAACAACTGCCAAGTATTCCGAAATTAAGTTACAATAGACTGTACACACTTTACAGGGCCCAGTGTAGCGCATTCGCCCTGTTATACAGTTAGTTGGTTGTTAGAAAGTTAGCGACTCGCTTCATTACTGCCCCCTGGGAGATTGTGTTAACGGCAGTTTAAGGCATTATATTGTCCGCAGCGGACTGGCTGCTGATTTTCAGTGTGCGCGTTGCGTGGTCAGCCCCGCGCGACCTCCGGAGAATCTGATCTGACCTCACTGAAAACTCAGAAGCCCAGTGTGCACCCGTAATTTTTTGATTCTTAAATGGAAATGTGTTGATTAGATATTTGAGGCTAATTGTACTCCTCAACTCTCATCGCACAAGCTGTGTTGAAATCCCGTGATCAAGTCATCCTTTTTGTTGACATTAAATGTGGTAAGCGAGAGGATAGTTCCTTGGCACCCTCCCTGCCCAAAGCACTCCTGTGGGGCGGGAGCAGAGCACCAACACAGAGAGAGCGTTTACGTGATGTAAGTTTGAGGAGTAATCAATGCTGGAGGGAAACTTCTTACGTACTAAGTAATTTCGATTTCTTGTAAAGGTTTCAAAGAGTTGATGGTTTTGCAAGTCCCTGAGGCCAATCAGTTAGTGAGTGCCGACGTGAGGCTGATGTGTGATAGACTGAAGAGAAAACGAGTTTCCTATCGCCCCACGATGACCAAGCCTCAACATTCAAACTCTTTCGAAACCTCTAGTACTCTACCAACGATTAAGACTGAGTAACTCATTACCATAATGCACAAATAAATTTGATCACATCCTAGCTAGCCTTGAAGGTAGCCGATTCTTATTTGCTGTCATGTCCCTGTGCTTAGGAATGATATATCTCTTTCATACGCAGCCAGTTCTTGCCTGCCAAAGAACGATTTGACGCGGCTCGGAAACACTCGAATAGGTGAAGCCCAACTTGAAGCCAAGAGCAAAGGAGAAGACATTCAGGCTTCCGAGCTCCTGATCGGCGGTCTTGATTCCAATAGGCAAATACAGCACCCAGAGCACACAGGCACACTCTGTGATTCAGACAGCTGCAGACAATATAAGTTTTACATTAAAGCTAGTACGCTCTGAGACTCACTGCTTTTACCTATCCCATCTAGAGAAACTTTGTAACGGACAAAGGATATTAATGCATGTTGGTTTGTTTGAGACAGACTCACCCAAAGTGATTATTAGATATAGAATAGTGAAGTTGTTTACTTCAGATATGTGATGTCTTGAGATGTTCTAAATTCAATTTTTGGCATCAAAGCAGTCCTTGTGCCATGAGTGCTACCTCTCTTGTAGTGTGGGTGTTCTGCGTTTGGCCCGCCACAGTAACAAAGGAATATGTTCTCAAGCGGGGTAATCGCATTTAAAAGAATAAAAGCCTTCCTCTAAAGCCAGTTGGGAAGTTGTCATAGTTTTATTGCGCATTATTAAGATGTCGTGCACCTGACGCACCTGAGGCACTCCCTAAGGCGCTCCAGCTAACTAGAGGCTACTTATATAACTAGAACTCCTAGAGCTTCCTCTTATAGGGGAGCTCTAGAATACCTTAATAAATCAAGACTTTCACACTACATAAAGCTCCTCCTTATAGTACACGATAATTAAGAGCTATATTCGCTCGTTTAAGCTATTATACGAGTATACTACGTAGTATAGGTAGAGTTATAGGTAGTATCAAGAGATACTTACACTACTACTTAAAGAACTCCTTCAAATACCTCCCTGAACTTCCCGAAATACTCTTAACACTATTAGTTCTATAGAAAGCCTCTCAGATATATTAATATACTTTTAAGATAAGTTAATTAAACATAAGAGTGATACTCTTAATCAGAGAAAGTAGTAGCCCTAATAGTAGATAACCTTCTAGTACTATACCGAACTTAAAGGAATCTAGAGATTTATTAACCCTAACGCTGATAACATTAGAAATATTATTAAGTAACAACCGAATCTCCTAAGTATTAACGATTTTATATAAGAGGAGACGAATAGTTACCTTAGTAAGTAGATAGTATTATTAATATAAGCTAACCTAGATTTACTAGCGAAATAGAACGCCGCTACTACTAAGGAAAGAAAGAATATAATAGAACTGCTAGTGTCTATAAGTAAGCCCTTAGAAGCTAAGTTTAAAGATATTAAGGTACTCTAAGAAGCTTGAATAAGGGAGTACTCGAATAAGCTAGCTGAATAGATAGCGCTTAATAACTATATTCAGAACCTCTTTAACTAAGTAAATAATACTATTAGCTAGTCTATTCTAACTAACGTAATTAATAATAATATAGCCGAGGGCGCCGTAAGACTATAAGCACTAGTCAAGTCTATTAAGTATAATATAGCACCTTTAGATATAGTAGTACTAACCTCTATTATTTCGGACTACACTAATACACTTAGCCTACTAATATATTAAGATAAGAAGTCGCGAATTAAACCTCGCACGTAGTATAAGCTATAGTAAAAGAACTTCTGTCTTACGAGAGTATATAATATTCCTAATATATAAGAAATACGTAATATACGAGCTTTCCTAAATATAGTATTAGTTTAGTTAAAGACTTAGGCCGCTTAAGTACTCACTGATATTATAAGAGATAATACTCTAGGATATTAGTATAGTATAACACTAGAGGAGTATAATCTAGCGTTTATAGCGAATATAGAGGAGTACTACCAGAATAGAAGTAAGAGAGCTAATAGTTTCTACGCTATACTAATACTAGGTAGTCGTTCTAATATAAGAGGCTTATAAGACTATTCCGGAAGCTCTCAGAATCGCTCCTATTTAAATCAAGGAGATAGGAAGACTAACTACCTCTATAGAATTAGATACTAGCACCCTCTAATTAAGTACTAGAAGCTCTGTTTCACCTATAATAGCTTTTAAGCTAATAGTATAAGATTCTATCTAAATAATAAGTAAATTAAGAGGATTCATAAGACTATCTAAGCACCTAAGTATATAGAACTATACTAAGAGATCTCTAAGGAAAGCTAGACTACTATCTCTATAGCTCAGATTACTAGGAAGAAGCTTAGTAAGAACTAAGAACTGTTATCTTAGTAAGCTAAAAGGAAGTACCCTAGAAATGTTAATATAGCTACTATTAATTTAAAGCTCTTAGACCTTAAAGAGATACTCGGAATCTACACTACGGACTTTATCGACGTTCCTTATATACTCTTAGAGAGTACCTTAGTTAATAACTATAGCGCCTAGCACTTAGTTAATTATAAGAATAAGCTAGTTTTAAGTTCCTTTAAGAGATTAACTAATAACAACTATATAGAAGCTAGAATATAACGAATTCCAGTAGTTAGCAGAGGAAAATAAGTATTTAAGAACTCCTTAGCTAAGTCGAATAATCTAAATACTTAAGACCTATCACTTAATAACGTTACTATAGTCCGTGATTTCTATATTAATATTATCTCAGAGGTATTACTAAAAGACACCGGGCTATAGTACTCAGGGAAAGATACTACTTTATAGTATAAGGAGATTCAGATAAGTATAGTTATTAGATAACTAATTCAAAAGTTTAACTTAACTTTCTTTAAATATAAGCCTTTCAGATACTCTTATCGCTCCTATAACCTAGTGACCTTAATATACACGCCTATTATAATATACCTAACTCTAAGTCGTAGCTTAAATAGGCAAGGTTTCCAATTATTAAGTTAACTACTTAAGGAGTATTCCGTAACTCTATAACTATAGTACCTATATACTAGCTATTTAAGAGAGAGTACTCTATAAGCGTTACTTAAAGCAGGGAGAAGCGTATAATTTAACAGAGTATCGAGAATCTAGTATAAAGACTATACTATTATATACGCTAGAAATATTATATTAAGATAGAAGTTAGAGAATAAAGTAGCTAGGCTATTCTACTGAATCCTCTAGGACTTATTTAACTTTAATATAAGTTATAATAACACTCGCTAGCTACTTATTATTAAAGATAAGTATAGTAGGAAGCTCTTTAGCTA